CCCTGCAACATTTGGATAACAGAGTTTAATTGCATTTTTTCAACATATGTCCTTTATTTGTTATCCTTTTAATATCTTGAATGTTACCATTTAGGAATAAGCAGATCAGTAACACAAAAACAAGGACACGTTATCAACTGTGGTTTTGTAACAACTGCTGCTTCTCTTTCAATCCAAGTGATGCTGAAAGCTAAGTCAATTTACAGGAGCACAAGATGAGAATTGTTCATAGGAAGCACCGGGCCTATGATGACACAGATTACCCATACTGATTCACTTCAGGCAGCGGCACATAAAGTACTCTTTACATTGTCACCAGTAAATATTTGGGATAGGGGAAGCAGGAACAAACTCGTCACTCAAGTTTCTTCCTGAGAGCTTATGCCACACAGCTAAAAACATCTCTCACTATAAATGCATCCCACTCATCTGAGAAATGCAATACCGCGAGCCTTCCTTGCTCCTCCAAAACAGTCTTAATGGGAGAAAGAATGCAAGCTTAGGCGGCTGCAAGTCATTTTAGCCCATTCCGTTAATCCCCCTCTGCATTAGTACATCCTGTCCCTGTTTTACTGACAATGGTGTAAATAAGGGTTAGAGAGAGATGGGGCTCCTGCACCGTTATTAAGGCTGTGAAGATCCTGCAAGAATGGTAATTGAAAATTGTTTAGACCTATCTATTGTAGCACTTAAATTGTCATCTGGAGCAGCTGCACCCAATGCTTTCAACAACTGGTACAGAATGTGCTAAGAGTAGGCAGGCTATTGTGTAATTCGGAGGCCCCAGCTAGCTGTAAACACTGCCTATACCCACTGACGTGTTTAGGCCTAGGTTCCATTTAGCAGTGGAGGGCAGTACTGTTGCACAGTTCAGAGTACGTAGCCACTCCCTATTGTAAACTTCCAAAACATAAAGGATTTCTTGCGCAAACAAGAACATACTTTCCCTCCCCCCTCCCCCCATTTTGGGTTAAAACTTGGCACACTCAGATACCAGCCTCAGAACAAATATTTTTAGAAAAATGTACAAGGAGAGAAAAAAACAACATTGGTGTGCCTGAATGAGGCAATAGTTTATCCAGACTATGCAAGAGACATCTACACTGCCTGTTTAAAAGCAGAACCTTTTTTTATCATTTGAAGTTCGGGGGGGGGGGGAATAAACATTCACTAGGCATTCTTCTGTGGGAGAAACATATGTCACCCCATCTGCAATGCAGTCCCTCAGATATATAGATCCATTTGTGACATGCAATGTTTTAAATGTCAATGCGCAGATACATAGAGATGAACTATTTGCCAATTCCCCAGTCGTTGAAACAGTTGATGTTTCGGTTGGGAATTTAATAGGTTCTCTTTCGTTCTGTCTTTCTGCTGTTGGCAGCACAGGTACATGCCAACAAAATGGACTGGCTACTGAAGGATAAAATAGTGCTCTGCTTCTAAAATGCGAAGGACAAAGGCTTATGCCCAGTGGTGTCACCAGGGAAGGACTTTGAGGCAGGTGTCCATGGCTGCCTTTCAGCAGAGTGAGCAGGAAGGCTTCCCAAAAAAAGCATGGATGGCTTACCATGTTTTGAATAAGTGAGGTAATACACATTATCATCTAAAAAGGGGGTTCTCTGTAGCACTGTGGAAGTCTGGAATCAAAAATTACACAACTGCACTACTATACATGCCTATGTGAAAATGTGAAAGCCAAGCCATTTGTCCTAGTAGCTCTTAGGGCTTATCCACACTTAAATTTTGCCCCACGCTTTCCAGGCACAGGTTCCTGTTTTAAAGATCTGTGTCCAATTACTCTCCCCCCCCCCCCGGAATTTTTCCTGCAGAAATCCGTTCTTTAAAGCTGAAGGGCAACAAACAGCAATTTGGATTTTCCATGGGATTGGGGCAACACAATTAGTCAGGATAAAAAGATGGTGGATTAGAGTTTATGCAGCTCAACAAGAGGCATGCAATGTGGGGACAATGTAAAAAAAGAGTGCATATGATCCAAAAAAAGGACAAAAGAATGCAACTATTTGTATAAAATTTGACTATGCTAACAGACACACAAATGTAGAAATAACTGCTGTCATTTAAATAAAGACACACGTCATCATAGTTTGGAAGACTACATGTCCTGCGTGAATTCTCAGTCTGCTGTCTATATGCTAACTGTTGATTGTCAGCTTCTAGGCTCCTACTCTCTCTTTGCTTAGTGCTTCACCTTTAAACGAGACCTGGACCAGACAGCCCTTCAAATAGAGGACTGTCCTCTGTAAATTAGGACACATGGTCACCCTAGTCCTTAAGATATCCTGGCCCAAACCACGTTGAGTTCAGAGAAACAGCTCTCATCTTCAGTAAAAAATAAATAAAAAATAAAAAAGTGATTGTGCCAGAATATTGATAAAAATATACATCCTGGGGTCATTTGAAAGTACTCCATCGAAGGCAAGGTGGGGCTAATAGACCACATAATCTGATGCATGTATGAATGCACATCCAGTTTACAACTGGATACCTGATCCAGCAAATGATACATGCTCAGAAGTGTGTTCACATATACTGGTATCTACAACTGGATTGCAGTATCAATGGGTGGGCACTTGTTCAATAGCATGTTCTTCTTTAATGTTACAGTGGTGCCTCCAGTTATGAACTTAATTCATTCTGGAGGTCCATTCTTAACCAGAAACCGTTCTTAACATGAGGTGCGCTTTCGCTAATGGGGCCTCCCGCTGCTGCCGCGCCCCCGGTGCACGACTTCCGCTCACATCCCCGTGGCAAAGTTCGCAACTAGGGGCATCTACTTCTGGGTTAGTGGAGCTTGTTACCCAAAGCATTCGTAAGGAGGACGGTACATAGCCCGAGGTTCCCCTGTACTGAGGATATCCATGGGATGAGTAATATTGGAAACAGATCCTCAGGCTAAGTTAAACTCTTTGGTAGGTACCAACCCAGCTTGTGGGAAATCAGGTTTCTGGCTTTGTAATAAGATCTAATAGCTTTCTTTACATAGAGAGATTTGAAATTTGTCATACAAGTGTGCATTTCTGGTGGTAAAGGTAGACATCAATGGACTATTAGGGTGAATGGGGCAGTGCCCCCTCAACTTACCTGCCTGCTTTCTAACTTACAACCAGTCCAGCGGGTGGCACTGGCTGGCAGCTACCCCTCCCCCTTCTCCTTAGTCTCCATGTTGTCCTTGTGGAACTCAGAAGGCAGGAGGATGGAAGCCAAAGCAGGGTTGGCTCTGCCTGTCATTGGGTCTGACTCCACGTCCTGTTGGTCTGCCTGCCTTCCGCCCTGCCAGTCCCAGTGGCCACCAGCCTCTGCTGGCAGACGCAATATAAAAATAGAACTCACATCCTGCCCCATCACATCCAGTAATGGGGTGAGCCCAGCTTCCTCCTGCCTTCGCAATTTGAATGGACAGAATACCAGACAATCAGCTGCTGATTCAGCTGTAAGACAGAACTGCTGTATTAAGGGCAAAACAAAAATAAAGAAAACAATAAAAAAGAATTAAATCTTTTAAAAAATAAATAATAATGAATAAAATGGTGCCCGTATCAGTCATGGTGAACCCTCAGGGATCACAGCACTTGCCCGGTCATTCTGGGTGCTGATGCCAGGTCTGGTTCTTGGTCTCTATCATCTTCTCTACAGTCTATTGAGTATTGAGCATCTGCTGAGTGATTACAGGTAAGAGCTGTTGATAGACCTACTCTCTGTGCATGTGCCTAATCCTTAAAAAGAGAGAGAGAGAGAGAGAACCATCTAAGCTAATGGCCATCACCTCACCTTCTGGCAGTGATTCCATAAGTTAATTATTGCATTGTGTGAAGAAGTCATGTGAGCAACATTCTTTCATGAGGCACCTTGAATTTGTTTCCCCCTGTCTTTGCAAACAAGGCTAGGTGTGGAGAGGGTAGGGAGAGAAGCAATACAGAGCATGGCATTGCTGCAAATGTGGTTGTTTTTGGATGGGAAGAGAACTGCGGGGAGGGGGGAGTTAATATTTGGGGCCTCTGGCCCCAGCTCCAATTTGGAGTCCATTTCTGGTCTTGGGAGGGTCCATCTAGCATTAGTGGCCAGGGAAAGTCCTCTCTGAGAAGCTTATCAGCAGGGAATGAAGTAGGGTGGTTAGGTGTCCTACTTTACAGGCTGAAGTCCTCTAGCTGAAGGGCTTCCCTGCCCTGGTCTAGTGTAAGATAAATGAGAGAGAGAGTGGAGGCTTTGAAGTTGCTCATCAGCAGATAGCACCTAGAGGCACACAGATTCATATGTGGTCACAATCTCTGTTCCCCACTACAGTGAGATGGATTCTATTTCTATTAAAATGATATAAACTTAGAAAGAATTGCTATCTATATATTAGCATATGCAAATTAATGCAGATCCATGTCCTGTTATGTTTGCTGATGGATTAATGGCTATGCTAGCATGGCAGGCAACAGGTCTGCCTGCAACGTTTTGTTGAGAAATGTCTCCAAACATAGACGCTTCATTTAGCTGTCCCACCTGACATGAGGGTCCTTTGTGGGCAAAGCTGAAGTGAAACAGTTTGGGGTGAGTGGAGGCAAGGTGGATGGGACTTGAAATGTCCCCACTTTTTTGAAGGGCCAGATGCATGCGCATGGCAATTATGCTGGCAGCCGTGGAAGCCAAACTTCATTTTGGGATACGTGGAATCATTGCTGAGAAAGAAACATTTATTTTACCACTACTGCATCCAGGGCCACATTTAGCATTGATGACGCCCTCCCACCAGATGTCAAAGAGAACAACAACTACCAGACTTTCAGAAGACATCTGAAGGCAGCCCTGTTTAGGGAAGCTTTTAATATTTGACGGACTACTGTATTTTAATATTTTGTTGGAAGCCACCCAGAGTGGCTGGGGAAACCCAGCCAGAAGGGCGGGATATAAAAAAAATGTTGTTGTTGTTTGCTTGCTTTTATCTTATATTTTGGAAATGTACATCCAGGTTTTTTTTCCTTTAATTTTTTGGGGGGCCCCCAAGAGAGTGGATGGGATGCGGGTGGCGCTGTGGTTTAAACCACATAGCCTAGGGCTTGCCGATCAGAAGGTCGGCGGTTTGAATCCCCACAATGGGGTGAGCTCCCATTGCTCAGTCCCTGCTCCTGCCAACCTAGCAGTTCGAAAGCACATCAAGTGCAAGTAGATAAATAGGTACCGATCCAGCGGGAAGGTAAACGATGTTTCCATGCACTGCTCTGGTTTCGCCAGAAGTGGCTTAGTCATGCTGGCCACATGACCCGGAAAAACTGTCTGGGGACAAAAGTCGGCTCCCTCGGCCAGTAAAGTGAGATGAGCGCTGCAACCCCAGTTGTCTGCGACTGGACTTAACAGTCAGGGGTCCCTTTACCTTTACCTCAAGAGAGTGGGGCCCTAAACTATAGCTTGTTTAGCTTATACGTAAATCTGGCACTGACTGCGTCACTAGCATGGGGGAGGCTCCAACAGCCACCTTAAAAGGTACACAGGTCTGTTGCAACAACTGCAGTCATATTGCTGGAAGCTACTTTTTGTTCTTCCTGGGTAACGTTTGAAGTGCAGGTCTGAAGAAACCTGCAAAACCAGCTTGTTGAGAGACCACTGCAGGACAGGACAGGGGGTGGCAGTGGTGGAAAATAGAATGTGCATCTCTGGCTATAACCATTCTTCAATGCGCTCTCAAACTCTCAATCAATACTCTCTGAAAAGGCTTAGACAATTCAAACCAGTTTGAAATTGGCTTAACTGTCAGAACTTCCCCAAAGAGAACCATGGGAACTAGGTTTTTGTTTTTGGACGGATTAAGTTCCTAGTAGGGATCCTCAGTAATGAAACAAGTTTCCTATTATTCCTTTTTTAAAATAGAGACATGGGTTGCATACACACGATATATTTAAAGCACAGGGCTTCCCCCCAAAGAATCCTGGGCAATGTAGTTTACCCCTCACAGAGCTACAATTCTCAGCAGCCTTGACAAACTGCAGTTCCCAGGAATATTTGGGGGAAGCCATGTGCTTTAAAGGTGAGTACTCAGCCGTGCTCTTATGAACCGCTGCCCAGACAATATGCAATTTCAGAATTTGCCTGTTTAGACCTGCTTTCCCATCTATAGAGGTTTTATGACCAGCTTAGCTGGTGCTTCCTATTTATTTGGGGAAAGCACTGCTGATAGCCATGAAACAAGAACCAACATCCCCACCACACTGTACTGTGATGTGGGTGGAGGGAGGAATGCATTTGACTAGGGGTTGGCAACCTAAGGCCCATGGACCACAAGCAGCCCATGGGGGTTGTTTAACGGGCCCATGAACCCCCGCCACCCACTTGGGGACCCCTGCCGCCTGCTTGGTCGACTCCCGTGAGCCGCGCTAAAGCAGCGTGGAGCAGAGCGGGGACCGCCTTCCGCAATGCTGGCCAGCTTCCCATTGGCTGCGGGAAGCTCCTGCAGCCAATGGGAAGCTGCGCATGCCTCCTCTGCACCGGAAGGAGCACCGGAAATAGTGTTTGTGCGTGCGTACATGCATGCGTGCGTGCACGCACACACACACACTCTGGCCCACCGCAGCATCTGCGGGACCGTGAACAGGCCCAAGCCACAAAAACTTTGCCGACCCCTGCATTTGACTTTGGCTTCTTGATCCTCTTTCTTCAAAGCTGTGTGCAAGCGATGGGCCTCATTCAATCCCATTCCTCCTCTTGGGTTTTCCAATACTGGGGCAGAGGTCTTAAGCCTGAGAATGAGCCATAAACACCCAACATCCAGTGGTCCTCCCAGCTATAGCTGATAAGAGGAAATGGATATGACTTTTTGTCCACAACCCCCCTTCCTGGAACTGCACACCCAAACCCAGAGTTCTAAAAACAGGAGAAGAAGCATTCCGTCCACTCTAATTCTTCCCCAACTATTATGCCTCCTATCGTGCTTTTGGCAAGAGTTCAAGTGGAAGGGAGGAGGAACTGACTAAGTGCTAATCTTCTGCATCAGCGGCTTGTACCACAGAAAACCTGGTGTGTGTCCCCCACCCCCACCCTCTTGTGGGAGTTTGCATTAGTATGCATAATTTCCACAGGAGGGGGAAATAGAATGTCTGTACATATAAAGAGCTTCCTTTCTATGCCCCCATCCCAAGGCAATAAAGCATTATGAACTTTAGCTAACCTGGAGAACCTCTAAGGAAGCTCATTGGCTCTTTTGCTTTTAAATACCCAAGACAGGGATTCGTTATGTGGTTTTTAGAATTTGTATAAAATATCTGCAAGCAGCCATGCCAGGTGAAGGACTGCATTGGGTTGAAGTCACATGGTGACCCACTGACTACCAACAGACATCTATCCCAGCCAGCATGACCAGTTGTTGGGGATTATGGGAGTGGTAGTCCAGCATCACCTAAAGGGTCCAAGGGTCTCCACCCCTTCATTGCAGGAATACTATGCACAATTGAGCTGTGGACACATTAGTAACCTAAAAAACAAACAAGATCGGTTTCCCCTACTTCATTTCAAGTCACATTTGTACATTGCAGTACACACCAGAGAGGGAACAGGGTGGTGCGTATTGCCAGTTTGGTTTCCCCACAACTGCAGCCCCACCCCCTCCTGTTCATGAAGTTCTCATCTGCCCATGTGCAAAGTCTATATCAAATGTAGACACCTCATCTTAACTGGAAAGCAAACATGGCTTATGTTTTCAAATTAGATGGAAGCTGGTTTGAGGGAAAGCATATCAAAAAGCAGTATTTCTGAAGAAATTACAGGATAGATATGGGTTGTGGCTAACGTCATGCACACATGGCTTCACACACCAGCAGTGGGAGTGCAGTGGAGCCATAGTAAACAGCAATGTGTAGATGGCCTGAAAGTTCATCTGACCCCTCTCAAAACTGCAATGCATATGTGCTCTAAGACTGGATTCAAGCATCTTAACAGAGCCCTGATGCCAAGTCTCTTTGTTTACAGACAAAACTGGTACAATTGCTTTACATTTGTAGGGAGATTGTTAATGTGAGGGCACGTTGATTGCAAACATGTGATCTCCATGTGCATTCCGAGATGGTACAGTCCCATGAGAACAGCATTACGTGCCTTTCCTCAGCATCTGAATCAGCTCTAAGTGTTCTGGAGCAACACAGTCGTGAAATAACCATGGTAACACAACCGCTCAATTCAGCCTTGGTACCTGACTACTGAAAGGTAGATAATATAACACCAGCTTTTAACAAAGATCTTCACTGGCAATTCTGAAAAAGCTTCAGTGACTAAAATAGCCTGATGCATATGTGCTTATCAATATGCATTGGTCTCAAAGAAACGTATGGCTATTTAAACATTTAATATCTGACTTAGGATAAAATTGCTGGCCAAGGGCAAATTGATAACCCCAACTACTTGGCTCCTTATTTTACCTACTAACTCTGTTGCGCTTCCCTCCTGAGTCAGGATTACCCATTGACTGTTAAGCACCACCCACTCATTTGCTGACCTCTGGCAGACAAAACCTCTGGTTCTTTCTACAGCCAGATGCCCCCGTATCTTTTCCTGATGGAGCCAATGTTTGCCTTGTACATGTGAGTCAACCATGGGATGCCACAGTTGGCTTACCAGGTTTAGAACCTGGCCGGCTATGTGCCATTCTATGTTCTAGTCTCTTGGAGAAAAGGACACAATCTTTTCCTATCGTTTTCACAGGTTCCATCAATAAAATAGGCTCTGCAGATGGATGTCAATTCAGATAGAAGGGGCAAATGGCTTCATAATGCCCTGTGGAGAATGTCTCTTGCAATGGTATGGGTGGGAATGGCTCACTCCCTTAGTCTAGAGATGTAGAGAGTGAAACTGGAATATGGAAAGTGACCGTTGCCTACAATGCTTCTGTTTTTCCCTAAAGCAATGCATCACAATTTTGCTACCTCAAAATGTAGTGGCTTATTGTATTTAGCTGCCCGAAAGTTATGTTCAAGAGTACAATTCTGCTCCTGGTTGCCTCCTCCTCCTCTTTTTTTTTTATTTTTTTTAGAACAAATGACTCCTTCTCCTTCCCTAGGCTAATCTACCCCCCCCCCTGCAGCCAATTTATTTTTCTTCCCTCATGTTGAGTGGGATGCCATACTGCTAGCATCAGCTTAGTGGTGGGGTGATGATGTCAGCTCTGGTAGCTTCAGTATCTGGAAAGGTCCTAAGATGCACTGAGTGGGCTCATGACTCATAGAAGATGCAACTGCTCTGCTTGGAATACACGAGGGTTGCTGTTGGTGGCTGCCCAGAGTGCCAAGCTCTGAAAGATAGTGCCTGTGGACTGAAGCACACCTAAAACCAGAACTGGGAGGATGGAGGAGGAACTCTAGACGGTGGGTCAACTGTGCTGGCACCTAGTTAGAGTCTGAGCAGTGGGTTGCTCTGCTTTCGCACCTGCTCCCTGCTCAGGTGGAGGTGGGGGAAGGAAAAAAAAAGAAAAAAAGAAAACAATTCCGAGGCATGGGTTATATCCTGCACTCAACTGCTTTAGCATAAGTATTGCCGAGATCTCGGAACGGTGCAACCTTACATAACATACGGACTACTGCAATACACAGGCACAATAGGGTGAGTCAAGGACAGAGTGGCTGCCTTAACAGAGAATTTCCTGGCTTTTGTCAGTTTACGTCAATCTCACTGTTATTTTAATGTGGGTTTTGCCATTTTTATTTCCCTTTAAATCGGCACCATTAAGTAGGGGCTTGGAACTAGGTAAGAATGAAATGTGTGCGCAGTTGTCTTTCAGATAGTTAGGCTGGGCTGTCTGAATTGCAAAGGCCAGCTCAAGACAAAATTCCATAACACATGGAGAACTTTTAAAGAGCAAACCAATCATCATTTTTGTGGGCTCCTTTCATACTAGTGTGGGAGCTCCGCCTGCTGACTCTTTGCCTGGATAATGAAAGTGCTCAGCATTAAACAGACACACAAACATAAACAGGTTAAATGAATACCAAAGCCCCATTTCCGCCTCCTGCCTCAAATCGTTTTTAATAATAAATACTTAGACACCTGCATTTGTCCCAATGCAGTCCTTAACATTTTGTTTCTCGGTGCATTGTTCTTTCTTGTTTCTTTGTGAGCTCTGCACACTGTATCCTGTTTACAGTACATACTCCTACTAAGAAATATTTATTTAGTGCCAATGGTTGGTCAGGCACTGTACAGCAAAGAGAAATAAAATGATTCCTGCCCAGATAATGTCTAATCTGTGCTAGATGGACATGACTGGCATGAAAGGAGGAAGATTTAAGGGCTGAACATGGAAATGTCAAGAGATAAGCGTCCATTGGCAATTGGGGAACTTAGAAAAGGTCTTTGTGGTGATACTAGCACAGCCAGTATTAGATTGCAGAACCAGAGAATTGTAGAGTTGGAAGGGACCCTGAGGGTCCTCTAATCCAACTCCCCGCAATGCAGGAATCTCAACTAAAGCATCCATGACAGATAGCCATCCAACCCCTGCCCAAAAACCACCAATGAAGGAGAGTCCACAACCTCCTTGAACAGCTCTTACTGTCAGAAAGTTCTTCCTGACGTTTAATTGCAATCTCCTTTCTTGTAACTTGAATCCACTCGTTTGGATTCTACCCTCCAGAGCAGCAGAAAACAGCCTTGCTCCGCCTTCCATGTGACAGCGCTTGAGACATTTGAAGATAGCTCTCATATCTCCTCTCAGTCTCCTCTTTTCCAGGCTAAACATACCCAGCTCCCTCAACCGTTCCTGTTGTGCACTTCTTATTCATATGGGGTTGTATCCAAAGTAGAGCTGAGCAGGGCATCTTAAGTGTGCAAGGATTTCTTCCTGTAAAATAATAGGACTCCCCCCCCCTTTCTTCCCCAAATCTGCTCTGGGCAGGTGGGGAAGAGGAGGAAGAGTCCCGTTGCATAAGCAGAAAAGCTTGCACTGAAAGGAGGCACAATAGCTGAATATTGTCCATGCTTGTGTTAATATGTTATGATTTAGTTATACACCACTTTTTGGCCCAAAGGACCCCAAAGCAGCCAGCAGCCAGCAGCCTATTAATGAAAAAAAAAACCACACCAAACCACAGAGTAGGCTGCAATAAATGCAGTGAGCCTACAATTCAACCCTGCTTTGTACTAGTCAGGGGCAGGGGGAAGGTTTGGGCTGGACGGAGGTGTCACTTTTGCCCAACTCTAATGTCCTCTACTAGCATGGAGCTCCCCATTCTGTCCGCCAAATGGGCAGAAGCTCTGTGGGTGGAATTCCCACCAGTGGCACTCCATGGATGTGCATTTCAGGATGGAAGTGTACATTTTTAAAAAAAAAAAATTGCCAAAGGAATAGACCGCTGGAAATACACCCATCTTGGATATTGCTAACAACTTTTTTTAAAAAAAGTTTTGGTATCATTGATGGAAACATATACGAGGACAGCAATTTTGCAAACTATATTGGATGTGCCAAGTTAAAAATAAAAATAAAAATTGTTGTTATGAACATTGGTGAATAAGTGGAAGTACATGGCAACCATGTTATTTTATTTTTTAAGCTGTAATCTTAAACACACTTATACTATGGGGTAAATCCCATTGCATGCATTACCAAGTTAAACAGGCATAGGGCTTGCGCTGTCCAAGATCAAAGTAGAGCTGCTCCAATGGCCAAGAGGAAACGCTTTGGGAAATGTTTGTCCTAAAACCTTTTATTAGCATTAAGACACACCATGGGAAGACTAGTGTCTTTGTGAGGCACTAATTTTGCAATGCAAATTGATACAGGGTGTGGTATTGTGTGGGATGGCATGAGCTACTAGTACAGTTTCTATCGGGGCAAATCATGAGATAAATCGGAGACTGGCAAATACTTTACACAGACTACAAATCACCAGACGCTTGGGATGAAAAGTTTAAAATCACTATGAATCTCCCTACAAAGCCTCCAGACCCCACACAAATAATGAGCTTTAAAATTACAGAGTCTTGATCTCTCAATGTTGTTGTACACCACCCTGGTCTATAAATATTTTTATAAATAAGCAAAGGGTTGTTTTTTTTAAAAAAAAGACATTTTGCATTTACATCGTGGGAGTTGAAGGAAAGGTAAAAGTAGAGCAGGAAGCTTAAAATGTATGTAGCTGCAATGAACTCAAATGGCACAACCTGCACTTACTCATCATTTCAAAACTGTGAAATGAAACATATTAAAAGACATACTAATTTCAAATAACAGTGGAAGTTCGAAGAAAGCATAGATCTAATTATCGGAATATCTACAGGACGGGTGCCATGAAACTGCTAGCATGCTATAAACCAAAGGCTGCATCCCTGCAATGATTACTCACTAGGGAAGAGAGTTAGAAAGTTCTGTACATTTACATTTGAAAGAAGACAGGGAAAGGAGGCCCGAGCCAGGGGCATTCTTGCTGTACCGGATGCATGACCTATGGTCTCCCTACACTAACTGGCTGGTCCTTTCTATGTTTCCTGTAACTGTTTCCTGTTTCTATGGATTGCCATAGGAACTGGGATGCTCCTCTTGAATATATGTATGGATAAATAGAGAACAAGAGAGAGCACACTCTAGGTAGGATATTTCTGTAGTTACGGGAAATGCCTTATTCATCCTTTTTAAAAGCTGATGTTCCTTTGGAAGGAGGCAAAATTCCTCATTGCCACCTCCTGAAACATCCACAGTGGTACGCTGCCTCAGGAGAGGAGTTGGACTGGCTCAATTATACTTAACCTTTCTGTTTCTGCAGTCCAAATCACTATTCTAGTTTGCTTGTTCTTTGTGGACCACCGCGTTTTCTTACACTGTGGTTGCTTCCTTGAACCTGAATGAAATTCAATTCCTCCTTCTATATCCCTGTTCAGTAGTAATTTGTTTATTTGTACAAAGCCAAAGCATCTATCTGTATATGCAGAGATCCCTTCCCATGTCTTATTGCCAAAACTGGGGGCAGGGGCCACAATCCCCTTCCTCCTTCCACTTGATCAGTGAAGATGAGATCGGGGCTTACGTCTCATTTTGGTTTAGAGAGCATGGGCTATCTGGGGAGGGTGGGTACTTTTTTGTTCTATATGACTATATGAATAAACAAACAGCAATATTAGTATATGAACCTGCCTTGGGACCGCATAGTGAATGGCAGAAAAGGAATTGAAATTATTAATAGTAATATCCCAAACTTTCAATAATTTAAAAAATACTATCCCTCAGGTTTGTTGTGAAAATAAAATGGTGTAGGGTGGAACTATGTATATGTATACCATCAAAAGATCCTTGAAGGAAGGAAAATATAAAAATGTCATATTATACATCACTGAATTTTATAGATGTTATTATTTTATTAATCTTTTTATTCATATTATTATTTTTATTATGAATGATGATGTGTCGCCTAAAGGTGGGTGTGGCAGTGGGGACACATGTTGTGCTGAGCTTCCCTGCAGGCACTTTGTTACAGCTGACAATGCGAATGGTTGCTTATAAGCGGAGTAAGTCTCCCCCCCCCCCACAAAAACGCACTGCATTTATTTCTTTCTCTTTTCCAAATCATTCGCTCCCTGTTCCATCAGTCTAAATGCACTCACTGTAACAATGCCCTGCTTGGCTAGCAAACCAAATTTTAACCATCAAACAAACTTTTTTTTTTAAACACCCAATAGGAATATATATAAAGAGGTTAAAGGCTGGGGAGGGGGGAAGCAAAAGGAACAAAATGAGCCACTTGTTTCCTCAAAACTACGTAACTTTCCTAATCAAAGGTTCCCAGGACGGCTCCTCAGACTCAAAAACCCAAAAGCACAAAGCTTGGATGTACTGTAAGTTGTTGTCAACTCCCCACTCCTGCTAGCTGTTCACATCAGCATGGCTTTGTTAGTGTCAGATTTGTTTCTATTTTTGCACACACCAGGTAGCGTTGACAGGGCAAGGATGCCTTTGCCCTCTGCAAAGGTGTTCACACCTTGGCTGGAAATGAAGTAAGGATGGTTTAAGGGCTCCAACCAGTGTGAAGGTGGTTTGAGAAACAATGCATCAAACAGTAGCACTTCATAAGAAACTGTGCATTTTGGGCAACATTGTGTGTGCATGGATTAAAAACCCAGCACTGGAAATGCAGCGGGTGCACAGCCAACAGGAGTGTGAACAAAGCCTTATGCCAACAAAGGAGTTATCCAATTCGTCAGAGCTCCCAGACAACTTCATTAGTGCAAACTAATCAGGGCTTTCTTCCCTGCCCCTCCTGAGCTCCTTACTCAGCACCATGCACATGAAGACCAGCAGGTTTCCTGAGATGGGATGGATTCACAACCAAATATACATCTGAGTTCATTAGGGCTAATATATGAACATCTAGGGTCACTTGTTCTGCATATTCAGGCTCACCAACATTCTGCCCCACATAATTAGATTGACCATGAAATTGAGCTCAAGTTGGGATAGCAGAAGGGTTCTTAATGGCAGCAGTGACTGGGTGACTGGCTGGGGAGGGCAGGGCCCCCAGGGGCCTCCTTTTCCATTCTCCTAGGTAAATGAGGGGTTGCTATTTGCTGCCATGGGGGAAGGTAAAACTTTGCCGTGTGAGACAGGAAGAGCCAAAAAGAGAGCCACGGGGTTCCTGGAATAGGGACAGTGTAAGCCAAGATTAGCTCTACAAACAGAATGAGGTGACTGCTTCAGGCAGAGGATGCTGGGGGTAGTCCAGTGATGGAAGAGCCTCACGCCCCATAGCTGTTCCTCTCTGTTGGTGGATACATAGATAGAAAGCTGCTCACACTGACTGGCAGAAGCTCTCCAGGGTTTTAAGCAGGGGTGTTTCCTACCTGGAGAAACTGGGGTTGAACCTTGGACCTTCTGCATGCAAGGTAGATGTTCTGCCACTGCACTATGGCATTTCCCCATAGGCAAGATAGAGATACACGGGGCCTGGGGCCTGGCCTGTGTGGTAGAGGTAAGGTTCAAGTGCCAGTTCAAGAGGAAGAACTATGAAAGAGAATCAGGGGCTTTGGGGAGGGGAAAAGGCAGAGAGGGGTTGGATGTCAGTGGAGAGAAGCAGAGATAGAGAGGAGTTGCGGAGAGATAAAGATGGTAGGATGTTTTTAAGGAAGGAGAGTTGGAGCAGAGGACAGGGGTGGTGGGGTTTTCATTCTCCGGTCCAAGAAATGCCACATGCCTTTCACTGCTGCATCTGAAACTGAAATGGATGTAGTTCTCTTCATGAGGCCATTCAACACTCTACCCCAAGGTCCCCATCTTAGGGCCATGACAGCTTCTCCAGTTCTTATCAGAATTCACAGCTATTGCTTCAAAGTGAGAAAATTGCTTTTTGAAAGCTGAGATTCTTGGCATGCTAGGTGATGAATCTTGTACCAGATTCACGGACTCACATAGCACATACATACACAGTCCTAGGAATAGTTTGATTATCTACCCACCTTGGTAGGGAGAGACAACTTTTTGCATGAATCCAGTGATACTGAAAAACAATGAGAGGCACACCATGGGCGTAGCCAGGATTTTTGTTAAGGGGGGGCAGAACCAGTGTGATTGGTCAGTTAGTTAAGTATATTTCTATTGTTTTACCCTGCGTGAGGCAGCTCCCCCCCCCCTTTGCTATGCCCATGCCACACACACATCCAGCAGACTGGTGTGCTAGGAATGTGGTCTGAGTAGATCCATGCAGAGTTCAGCATGTATACCTAATGTGCAAGTTGACTTTCAGCTGTGTTGTAATGATGCAAACATGTGGATTAAGTTGGAAGTCAGGTGACGGCAAAACAATCTCACAACAATTCTACCACATACCATACTCAGGCTTTGCACACTCATGCCTTATGAACCTTTCTTGTACTGCTGCTGCACATGTCTAAATGTTTACCTGGTACCGAATACAGCTATTTTTAAATGAAATTGACCTAGTCAAAGGTATGTAGGTTTTACATCTGTATTATAGATGCAGGAATAACCAGTTTAAGCCTCCACACACGTTTTGAACTCTAATTGGTTGTGTAAATTAGAAAGACTACCGGTAGTTTCATTGTCCATGCTGGCAATTTTGTGTGAGAAGTTAATATTTAAGTCAATAGAACGTGCAAGTGGATCCTGCAACAAAATGTTGCAGTGTGGAGTACTGCTGTTTAGGATTCCAGCCATTTCATGCCATTCCCCTTCCTGTCTGGGTTTTCTGCCCCCCTCATTGGTCTGGGAGTACATAGAGAACACTCAGTCCTCACTAGTCTGTTTGTGATTGTTGTACTCCCCACAAGCCTGCTGACACATCCCTCCTTTATGGGGATGGTACTGTTTGGCTGCATACGGACACTCAAAGCAGTTTAAAGTGTCCCTGCATAGGATGCCAGGCTACACCATTCAATTCTCCATTCCATCCCATCCCATACTCACAGGTTTTTCTGTTCACCCAAAAAAGTTGGTCAGCATTCTATAGCCACAGAGCATTGCTCAGTTCTCATTAGGCTGTTGGAAGGAACATTTTTGATAATTTGTACTTCTCAAACCTTGAGATCCCCCAAAATCTGCTGATACCTCTCAGTTGCATGTTGGTGGTGCCATTTTGGCTACACAAACAGCAGCACTCTCACTTTGAAGATTAAAATGATCATATCAGGGGAATGATTACTGGAAAGAAGACTGCAATGTTTAGCTGCCTAAACAGTTTGATTCATCAACTGCTTTTGATCAATAAAAAAGTAATTGGGTACAGTGTGTGTGTGTGTGTGTGTGTGTGTGTGTGTTCATTATTGGGAATGCCACCTGCTTTTTTACAAGTCCTATTTTAAAAATCTTACAAAACTGCAGGTGGCAGGTTCCATCTTCTCTTTTGAAGCTACTCCTTCCCACTTTTTCCTGGTCAACTTAGAAGAGGTATCCCAATATGGTGCCTGTTGCAACCTAGGCATACATCACTGGGTAGTTTTCCTTTGGAAGGATTCCTTTATTCTTAAGAAAATGGGTGCAGATTTAATCAGTTAACTGTCCAAAACTCAAAGAATTAATCCTGCAAGATTATTTAATTGAGCCTTTAGAGGAAAAATATATAGGGGTCACTATCACCACAAGCATACAGCAATTGCATTTCTGCTTTTTCCACCATTTGACTTCTGAGAGGTCATTTTTCTAGTCGTATTATGTATCATCTGAACACATAATTCTTTCCTAATGTGTTTCCTTAGGGCGCATATATATATTACATACACATACACAAGAGGAGACAAACTAGGAAAGAATTATGCGTTGGAATAATGCTGCCAGTCTAATATTAAGCCCACATAACCAAGGAAAAGCAGCCTTCAGTGAGCATTTAACTCCATCCTCGCTCCTTGTTGTTTTCTGCTAAGTGACATAGCAGATGTGCAAACGCAATTAACCACACTCGCATCTACACGGGTGAGTTAAGGACAGCAGTTCGTGTTTTTGCTGGCTTTGGGTGACAACGGGAACCCACAAACTTACCACCTTCCTTGGGGAGGTGAGGCAAGTTTTCATCTACACCCCCCTCCCCAAAAATGTGGATGCACACGTGGGGGGGTGCGAGGAGGAGAGAGAGGCGAGGTCGTCACGTCAACAGCCAGCTTTCCCTTGATGGCCCTCAGGATCTCGTGATAGTCCTCCTCAGGATCGATCCAGTCCACGGCCGGCTTGCTCGCGATCTCCCAGCCCCGTTTTCAGGAGAAACAAGCCGCTAGGTGACCTCTTGTGTTGGAGAAGCTGGTCGTAAACATTCATAGAAATGGCGGTGTGTGTGTGTTTAGGCTGAGCGATAGAAGTGGTCTCCACGCGAAAGAATTTGGCCAGGAGAGACGGATCGAGGTTTCGTAACATTGTGGAAGTTCCCGGAAAAACAAAAAAAAACGTACACATGCTCCGCGATCCGCCGCCCTCCTCTCCCTTCAGAAGAGCGCGCAGCTCGGCGAGAGTGGCCCGGCGACGCAACCACCTGAGGGGAGGGAGAAGGCAAGTCGCCGGTGGCTCATGGCTGGCACCTTGCAGGGGAATCGGGGAGATGCAATCCCGCCTGCCTGCGTTAATTAGATAGTCAGATTAGCCGGCTCGAGCCCGGGTGCCATTTAGTCGTGGCTGAAGTTGTGCACGTGCTGCGTTTGCCCTGCATGGGTTCCTTTCAAAAGCAACAGAAACGATCTCCCAGCAAGGAGACTCTCTCAATGTTAGGTGGGGGGGGGGGCAGCTCATCAAACTGGAACGCATTCAGTGCCGGATTTACGTATAAGCTAAACAAGCTATAGCTTAGGGCCCCACTCTCTTGGAGACCCCCCAAAAAATCAAGGGGAAAAAACTGGATGTACATTTCCAAAATATAAGATAAAAAACAAAACTTACATATTTTGTTATGTGCAAATGGCTTTAGTTACATGTTAGGTCCATAAATTACCATATAGCATATATAGTCAACACAAAAAATAGCGACAATTTGTTGTTGACAAAGGACAGCGGGACATATAAAGGGCCCCATTACCTTCAGCATTTTAGGGCCTCATCAAACCTAAATCCGGCCCTGAACTCATCGTATCAATACAGTCTCTCGAGATATTATGTGAAACGCCGCACCGTTCAGGTCTCTCTCTCTCTCTAATTCCCCCCCAACCCTTTCCCCTTGGTTTTTGCAGCATAATTTTGTCCGCTCCTCTCCAGCTCCCGACGCGAAAAGCCGAAAGCGAGATCTCTCCTCTTCTTATTTTGAAAGGCGTTGGCAAAAGTTGTGTTCGAGCCGTTCCGTCGGAAGGGTTCACTCTCTCTCTCTACTCAGATCAAATTACACAGTTCAAAGCAGTCAGCAATGATCTTCGCGAGAGTTACCGAAGTCTGCTGCGTTTCCTGCCCTCCACCTGCCTCCTCAAGTCGCTAAAAAGTTTGCTTCGGTGGGGTTGACTGAGGTTAAGTTGCTCAATCAGCCTACATTTTTCGATCCCTTGTGAAACTTTCAGAGAGGAGCAGGAAAAGTACACAGGGGGTTTGTGGTGTGAGAGAGAAAGAGAGGGTGAAATGCGGTAGTAGTTGCTCTACATAGGGAGAACCGGGTTGCCTGAGGCGAGAGAGCGCCTTCTGCGATATATGGGGTTTCTCAGAACTGCTGCCCGGGACATCCTTGGGACTCGCTGGGGGGCCAGGCGGCTTCGGCGGGCCGCTGCCTGAGAGGACCCGGGGCTGTAGCGCCGGGCGGGAACTGGGTGCTTGGTGGGACTATGGCTTCCCCTCCCTCGATCTCTCGGCCTCTTATTTATTTTCCCGGAGGGAGGATGGGAACTCGAGACTTCGGACTCCCCTCAGGGCAGTTTGATTGTGGATGAGCGGGAGGCGCTATTTACATACGGGCGGGGAGAAGCGGCCCAATGAGAAAGCGCCATGGGGACCGCTCTCCCAGACGGGCAAGCGCCGGGGCCAGTAGGCAGCAGGAGGAGGGGCTTTGCGGAGGGGACTCGCGGCCAACGCCGGTAGCTCATGTCATTCCCGGTCGGATAACGCGGCGGCAGCGGTAGAAGCAGCAGCAGCAGCAGAAGCTGGCGGCAGCGGCGGCGGCGAGGGCAGGTACCCGGCGTTGGCTAGCGGGTCCGGCGGGAAAGAGGCGCGCTTTTCTCGCTCCCTCGGAGGGAAGGAAGGGGCGCTGCTCTTGGGTTGGCGGGACCTCCAGCCCGGTCTCCCTCCGCCTCAGCCTCTCTCTCGGCCCCCGGCCCCTTCGGAGAGGCCCCTTTCGCCCTCCTTCCTGAGGGGAAATCTTCCGGGCAGCCCAGGCACTGGTTGCCACCATGGCGCGCCTCGCACACCCTCTCCCCGCAACCCCATAACAACAGGCGCCGGCCGCTCACTTCCCCGTAGGATTCAAGCCCTGTTTGTTCTTCTCCCCGCCACGACTTCCCCAGCCAGGCGTTGCCTTGGGAGACTTGGAAATCGAATTTCTCTCACTCGCCGTCGTTCTACCCGACCTCTTCTTTGGAAGAACCCCCCCCCCCCCAAAAAAAACAGCCCCATTCTTACTAAAAGGGGAGTGGGAAAGGAGGGGAGGAACAATGGCAGATGCTGTGTGTGTGTGTTTTGGGGTCGGGAGGTGGAGGGGGCGATGGAAATAATGAAAGAACTGGGAGCAGGGCGAGGGTGAAGACGCTTCTCGCCCCCAACACCACCACCACCACCGAGCAATCACTTCTTCGGATGCTGATGACAAGACACCTGGCATTTCCAACCTGGTTTAGAGAGGGTTTAAAAAAAAAAAATACAAACGCTGCTGCCTCAGTCATTGCAGTGGAGCAGAACTGCGGAGAGAAAGTAGTGATGTTGTTATTAGCTCCCCCCCCCCCGTTAGTGTCTCCTCTTCATTATGTAAGGAGGAGGTGGAGATGGAGTTGGGGGGAAGGAATTTAAGCTCTCATGTTACTTCCCTTTTTTCATACTATCGGAGACTTACTTGGGTGATGGCTGATTTGGAGCTAGGCAACTGGACCTACTTAAAGATTTGGGAAAAGACCTTTGGAAGAAAAGCACCCCTTTGCTAAAGTGGTATGTTGGAAGTTTTGAGACAGAACTGATGTCTCGGTGTATTTTGTTGTTTCATGGGCTCCTGACTTCTTTGTTTTTGAGCTATAAGTGTAACTCAGAATAAACGAGCAGGGTTCTGTCTTTGGGAAATTGAGAATGAAAAGTTGACAAAGTTTATTTATTCCAAACAGCAGTATCTGTCCAAAGCTGCAATATATCATTTATTAGAGGGGCATTTCCCACTTGTATTTAAAAATGTTTATTTTTAAAACTTTTTGTCTAATCTTGCCTTTCGAAGCTTTGTGTAGATTCATCTCCAAAATGGTACAAAGGCTCCTTATATAGTGGAGGTAGAAACACCATCATATTCCCAACATTATATACTTTACCAAAACAGTATTTGGAGTTTCCATAGAAATGCCCTAATGCATAAAAAGAGGGAGCTCTTAATCCACTAGAAAGTTTTAATGTGAAAATCCCATTGAAATTTCTGGCAAGAGGAAAACATTGTAGTATATGAGAGAGAGAGAGAGAGAGAGAGAGAGAGAGAGTGTACATTAGTCCTATTAAGGAGTTCCTAATCATTTTAGCGGGCCTGTGCAAGAGAACCACGCCAAAAATGGTTTCTGAAAAGGAAGAGCAAATCTGTGGATTATTATTATTATTACAGTCAATATATGTGTGTATAATTTGCTTTTCTGCCCCAAAGCCCCCAAAGTGGTAAACAACATGTTAAAACAAAATATTTAATAAAAGTACAATAAAATGAAATAATAAAGTCAACAAACAAAGCAATATACAACTGCAAAATCATGACATAGGAGGGCCATAGAGCATTTGCAAGCCAGAGGATTAAAGGATCCTCTTTCCAATCCTATAACACACACTTAGGGGGACAAAAGCCTGTACAAATTATTAGAAATACTAAAATAAATTTGCCCCTACTAGAAGAATTAAGGTTGCTCTCAACACGATTGTAATCCAGGCTGGATTATATTGGTCACAAATGGCAAAATGCTAAAAGTAAACTTCAATAGCTAGTTTATTGCATTTATTTTTTATTTGATGAACGTACTACTAATAAATAGGCACATGTATTGATAACAAGGGATTGTAAAAACTATGAAAGGTAAAACTGAAAGGCTATGTAATTTATCTTCTGATCTAAACAAACAAGAATAAACTTCTGATTTGAATCCTTAGAAACATGTTTCATAGTGCCTTTCAAAGAGCAACATAAATTATTTTCAACAAAAAGTATTCTGACGTCATGGATCCTTAGCATGCTAATTGATTGAGTTATTTTTGTGTGATCCGTCATTTTACACTTTCACTGTATTCATACTCCTTTTAGGAAGATGGAATTTAATGTAAAGTTTAACAGACATTTTGAGTTTAAAAAAATCATTATATAACCTGTTTCTGAGAAAAAGTGAAGGTAGTCATGAGCTGTGTCTCATAGGAAAATTCTAAAATCTGTATTAGGGCAATGCCTTTATTAGGCCAAGGAAATTTCACAAAATATTGGTAAACAAGGCAATGGTAAACAAGGCAATCTGTTGGAGAAATCTGTTTTTGGCTGATGGTACAGCCATGGAATCTGCATATGGCCATGGTGTTAAGATGAAATTGCGGAGGAGGTAGCAGACATTCAAACGAGAGTATTTATCTGCTATGCTGGCATCAGGTTGTACCGTGGCCTTCCAGGAACAAGAATAATAAAAATGGCTGATTCCCAACCTCTGAAAATACAAGAATTATTATTACCCAGGTCTACCCATCCTTAGGTTAAACATATTGGTAGGTAGAAAACAACTACCTGTTGACAGTGGTCAGATGTGTATCCTTCAGGAACCAATACTAAGTGAAGGATAAAAGCCTGCACTTCAGTGTTTAAATTGCCAGGAATTTTTCTGTAGAATACAAAAGTATACTAGTTGTACTTTATGAAGAGTACTCGTTTCTATGCAGTTTGTTGTCAGTAACCTCTAAGTCAAAATATACTTGTGTCTAGAATTGGGGGATGGGGTGGGGGAGGAGATAAAGGCAGATTGGTGGCCAGGAGTTGTGGATGAAAATCAATTCATTGTGGGATGATAAAGCACCTTTCCCCTTCACAGTTTCTGTGCTCTCAAGAGTGCCTTACAAAGTATAAGGGGACTCGAAAGAACTAAAGTTATTGTAAACTTGTTTTGTGGAAACTTCTCTGAGTGCTTTTTCATTCTAGCATAAGTGAGATGGAACAACTAATTCATTCATCTGTTTTGTTTAGCAACCCAGTTGTTATTTTATTTGTTCCAGTCATATACCGTTTAATGGCTGAACTCTTTGAGTCACTATGGAGACACAGTTTATAGGATTGATTATGATTAAGAAATATACAAGATGTATACAAGGCTGCAACAACTGGTTTTATGTGAAGGCCTGGGATTTGGCTTACCACGAGTACATGCTGTTATACGTGGGTAAGCAAACTAAGGCCCGGGGGCCGGATACGACCCAATGCCTTCTAAATCCGGCCCACAGACGGTCCGGGAATCCGCGTGTTTTTACATGAGTAGAATGTGTGCTTTTATTTAAAAAGCATATCTGGGCCCTTGATGCATTGTGGTGCTTCTAGGGGGATCCCAGTAGGTCATCTTAGCTGGAATGAAAGAGAAACCAGTGGAGCTGAGTGCTGCACTTTTGAAGTAGTGAAAACTCAGAGCTGTTGACCAGATTATTGTTTTTGGTGTAGATAAAGGAGGCCCATTGCATCAGGTAGACTGAAAACAATCTTGTGCATTTAACTGAAATTGTAAATATTGTACTTTCAGTGCTGTGCTGGTAAGAAACAGTTCCTGGGGCTCAGAAGGGGCAATAGGTGTGCCTCACTCTTGGTCTCCTACACAACCATCTGATGCCTGTTTTTGATGGTGGGACTTAGCTCCCTGTTTGCCTAGGGGCAACTGCCACTACCTTGATACCTTGAGAGCCAGTGTGGTGTAGTGGTTAAGAGCGATAATTAAGACTCGTAATCTGGGGAACCAAGTTCGCGTCTCCGCTCCTCCACATGCAGCTGCTGGGTGACCTTGGGCCAGTCACACTTCTCTGAAGTCTCTCAGCCCCACTCACCTCACAGACTGTTTGTTGTGGGGGAGGAAGGGAAAGGAGAATGTTAGCCGCTTTGAGACTCCTTCGGGTAGTGATAAAGTGGGGTATCAAATCCAAATTCTTCTTCTTCTTGATAAGTGTTCTTGTGGCCATCTGGTTCAGCCTAGGATTGTTCACAGCATTCCTCCAATATCAACCCTCTTTGCTTCTCTTCTACTCTTGTGCATTGAGTTTCCCTCTCTTCTGGGAAAGTTTTGATCCTTGCAATCCAGTTCTGCACAAATATATTTTAACTGAAATAATATAGATTTATTTTCATATAAATCTGTTTAGAAACTAGACATAAGTAATCCATATTTTAAGTGTTGGCCAAGGAACAATACATTAAAAAATAGAGCATCCTGTGGCACTAGAAGGCTAACAATTGTATTACAGTATAAGGTTTTGTGCAGCCGAACCACTTCATCAAACGCATGAAGTATAATCCTTCCTTGTTTGTCCGGCCCATAAAAGCTTATACCATACTACATTTGTTAGTGGTCAGGGTGTCATAAGACTCAGTGTCTTGCGGTAAAAACAAACATGGCCACCTTTATGTAATTAGATAATTATATATTTAACAAAAAAAAGAGCTGGTATTTGAAACATGACTTTCCTGTGGCCTTTTTGCTTTGAATCTGTTCTGAGGGCAACTCTGGAAATTTCCGTTCACCCCCATTCCTAAATATTTTGTGCTGGTGGCTCAGAATTAAAGTACCGTATTTCATCTTTGTACAGAGCTGGTGCTTTAAAATGTTATTCTGTTTCCTTAAACGTTATGAATGCATCCAATTATTTTGCAGAGCAATCCTATACAGTACTCATTGTATGTTAGAAGTGGATATACGCCACTGCTATGCTAGCAGAAGAGCCACCATATCCAAGGTACGCTTAGCTGAGGGGGGGGGGACACAAGGATGCCATTAAAATGTTGGACATGCCAATAGTGTGGCCTTTATGTTCTTTGCAATCAGCATTTTGAAACACAGCACCAAAGGGGAGGAAGGAGACCCCACACAACACAGTACCCACATAGCTTTGGCAGGGGACCTGCAGAGAGCACACATAGCTCTTGCTCAAGATCCACCCAGGGAGGGAAATATATTTTTTACAAGCAGCCAAAGGGAGGGTTGGTGTAAAGTTGCATTGTTAAAGGGGCTATAGTTGAAGGGGCTATAGTTGTGGAGTGAATGGTTGCATCCACACCATACATTTAAGGCACATGCTCCCCCCCCCAATCCTGGGAACGGTAGTTTGACTCTTACAGAGTTACAGTTCTCAGCATCCTTAATAAACTACTGTTTCAAGGATTCTTTGGGGGAAGCCACGTGCTATAAATGTATGGTGTGGACATGACCAGGGACTATAGGGTGCAGTGGTACCTCGGGTTACATACGCTTCAGGTTACATACGCTTCAGGTTACAGACTCTGCTAACCCAGAAATAGTACCTCGGGTTAAGAACTTTGCTTCAGGATGAGAACAGAAATCGTGCTCCGGTGGTGTGGTAGCAGCGGGATGCCCCATTAGCTGAAGTGGTTCTTCAGGTTAAGAACAGTTTCAGGTTAAGAACGGACCTCCGGAACAAATTAAGTTCTTAACTCGAAGGTACCACTGTATAGCATAATTGTGCTTCTTCCCTGTGCCATCCTTGCCCCACCCATAAGTCCATCCTATTTACGTGTTCTGTCAGCATATCTGTCGTGGATACTATAGTTGACACCAGTCCTGTGGATATACGGTAACTGGCCCCTGCTTGTCCTGTGTATAAAGAATACCTTACAATTTGTGCAGCCTGAGGATGCAGACAGGCTCCTTGGAAAGGTGAGAGCCACCACTTGTGTATGGAATCCTTGCCCTCCATTCCACCTAAATCTTAGGAAATTGTTTTGGTGCTAGACCAGTGTCTGGTGTCAGTGATGGACTGGATGAGGGTGAACAAATTGAAACTTAATCTAGACAAGACAGAACTTGTTCCTGGTTAGTTAAAAGGCACTTGTGCTGGATAGGGATTCATCCCTCCTGCCCCCCCACCTGAAAACTTAGGTTTGCAGTTTGAGTATACTGCTGGATTCATCCCTGAACCTAGAACACCCAGGTTTGGGCAGTGGCCAGGAGTGCACAATTAAATTATTATTTTTATCTGTCATTGTGGAAACATATCTAGTGTTCGGCAAACATAGCTGGGATGCTGCCAAATTCTTTTGCATCTCAGCTGGTAAATCTTGAGCATGACTGCACCCTGAAATGTTTTTCCAGACCCAACTGAAAGGATGTTTATATTGAATCAAAATTGAAGCACTGTAATACAATTAGAATGCATGAGAATTATTGAGATTGGGAATGATGAAACTGCAAGGATTCTTGCATTTCTTATTTTAAGAAGAAAGTTTCATTTTACTGTATTGAAAACTAATAAAATGTATTTTTTTGGGAAGTAAGTTTCTACCTCATTACAGTTGAGAAAGTAATGGAAACATGGGTGAGCATATACTTCAGTAAAAACCTGACATGATTAAATAGATTAAAAAAAAAAAAAACTTTTAAAAGCCAGTAATAGCTTTAGGTGCTTTAGATGCTTAACTAATGGCAGCATCCAAATTCCGGTGTTTCTGTTCACTCCATCTGGTTAGAGTGAAACAGCTGGGGTCCACTGTTTTTGGCAGCAGGTCTGCTCTTTTTGATCATGTCTTCCTTTCTCACACTGTTGTGTGTGAATGGTTAGTTTTCACTGCAAAAATTACATCTTAAAAAACCCACAATGTACACTCACACCTTTATGGGTATATGTGCACATAAGTAGCAAAGGGGCCTGATGGGAAAGATTTGTAAGCTGTATATAATCAAAATGAGAGGGGAAAGTCTTGATAGGAGAAGGCAGTCTAATGTTGTCAAGCTTCACAGATATATAATTAAAAGGTACCAAAATAAGATTAATATGGCTAGATAAAGAGTCTCAAAATTTTAGTGTAATTCCATGAGTTGTGGGAACTTCCTTGTTTTGTGGATAAATAAGTGAGGACAACAAATTTATAAAAGGAAAATATAGATTATAACCATAGCATTCAGGCAGGCATTTACTGTGATGTTAAAGGGCTTACTATTTTTTTTCCCAACCAGTCAATATGCAATAAATTTATCTTATTTCAAGGTAGCATTTTTTCAAATCTTGAAAACACAGTATCTTGTATAGCAGAGAACACGATACTGTTGTTTTTCTATCTAACACAGCTATTGCAATGAATCATAGTATCATACAATTGTAGAGTTGAAATGAACCCTGAGGGTCATCTAGTCCAACCCCCTGCTATGCAGGAATCACAACTATATCATGTGGCCACTCGAATATCATGGACATCTATTGGATACACCCTCCCATCAGTTGTCAAGGAAATAAACAACTACCTGAGAGGCAGCCCTGTTTAGGGAAGTTTTTAATGTTTGATGTATTTATTGTGATTTTAATATTCTATTGGGAGCCGCCCAGAGTAGCTGGGGAAACCCAGCCAGATGGGCGGGGTATAAATAATAATAATAATAATAATAATAATAATAATAATAATAATATTACCACTACTACTACTACTACTACTATTATTATTGGTACATGGAAGCAGATTCTGTTATCAGATTCCAGAGCAGAATTCTACATGGAATAGAATTCAGTTGCAACTTCAGATGCTTCCTGTGACATGAATGCTGCTGAAAAGCAGTCTATTCAAGCTTCCTAAAATGTAATAATGGATTTACTTATGGCATTACAGAATTAAAAGTACAGTAATATAAAATGGCTATGTGCCAATTGTGCAATGTGGTAATATGTATTTTAAAAAGATATACCAGCATACCTAGGGGCTCCTTCAGACTAGTGGTCTTCTGTAGGTGTATTCTGCAACATGCCATTGATGCAATAATAATGCATTAGTGTTGGGTTGTTTTTTTACTAAACCATCCACATTCTGGTCCTAAGATGCATATGGCACTGGGTTTTTGCCACCTGTAGGGGCACTGTTGTGCCATAGTGCAATCAAAACAGGACCAAAAAACCCCCACACAGAATATTTGTGGTATAAAAAGTTACGGAAATTCAGCAGAAAGCTACGGGACACGCACTGACTGGAAGCAAAGTGGTATGTCCACCCAAAAACTTCTGTAGGCATAAATGGTATTGAAAATGAGATACGGTAATTGCCTTGATATGAACCCAAATCATAATGGATGCAGAATAAAATGATTTAAAAATGAAAATGAAAGACTCCATAGAGGGCCCACAGGCTAAGACCTATTGAACACAGAAAGCCTTACTGTGAACTCTCTTCTCTCTTCTCTCAGCACCCTCAGAGACAGACTAGGACTGCGTTTTAATTGTACTGTTTGTGTGCTGTGCAGCTGTGTTGAAAGATATTCCAGAAAGCAATACTAGTGGCTGCTTCATACTTCTGCAGTTATTTTCTTCGGAAGTTCCTTGTTTGGTGTAGTATCATCTTTCTGTTCAAACTAACTTTTCTTGGTATGGGTTAAATTGGTAGATGGCTTGAGGTGTAGTATTATTTTAACGGTATGTCTATGTTTTTGTTTAATATACTATTACATGTCTTAAGCTTTTAGGATACACAACATTTGCATTTGAATCAATAAAAATATAAAGCATAATTGGGGAAAATGATATTGGTGAAAGTCTAAAGTATACAAGCCCTTTGCTGTTGATGCACAGGAGAACTTTGGAAGTGACTAGTTGCCTTAGATTTCCCCCCAGAAAAATAAAGAAAATCTGCTTTCTAGCTATCATTTGGATTTCATCAACAGTAGGGAAACTGTTTTTATAAATAGCATTAAAAAAAAACATACGGTTGAGCTTCTAAGCAACAGTTCTTCAAGGCTTCAACTCTGAGAGTTGTTATAAATCCCTGAAAACATGGTTAACAAAACAGTCAGAAATCAAATGGTATTGCTGAAGATAAAAAACGCTATGTTAAAAAAAAGTGAATTTTAATGACAGGGTCTTAGGTGAGTCATTAAGGGGTGCTGAGACTGTTGCATTTACAGTTAGTATTGATATAGGTCCTACTGGTCTACTTTGTTCCTTTTATTAGAAGTGATAGGTTATTCGTAATATCACACAGCTCAGTGTGCATATAAAGCTGGATCAATATATTTTAATAGGCTATTGTTTAATCTATGCTTTAGTTTTCTAAGAGAGTTTATTTGAATCCACCAGCAGATCATGGAATGCTTGTGAATGGATTGCTAGGTTGCCAGTGTTGGGAACAAGGCAGTATAGAAGGAATCAGATGAGTTTCTTATTGGGAATCGTTTTAAATACTAGAGGCCTGTAGCACAAGATTTGGCTAAGAAGTTACAGTCAACACGTGTTATCTGCAATTTTGTTGTCTCCCAGCTCATAGTCCCCCACCTTCTACCATTTCATATGCATATTGAAGCCTCCACTGTTAAACTAACTCCTTTTTAGTGAGAGATTTGTGAGTAGACAAAGAATGCTCTGAGCAACAACGACAGGAATTGTGATTTCCTTTTCCACAGCAACTGAGCCTATACATATATTTACTTAAAAGTAAGTATCATTGACTTAAATGAAATTTAGTAAGACTAGGCTTCTTTGAAATCAGTGATAATTGTTTCCTAGTAAAAATGTATAAACATGAGTTATAAGTAGGTAGGGTGTGTGTGTGTGACATCTGGTGGCTACCCTGGGTACAGGGAAAAGCAGTGGTTCCTTTGCTCTGGAGAGGGGGAGTTAGGATAGCTCCCTAAATAAATAACACTTTACTCATAATTTATGTATCTGCATTAGAATGGTAGCTATATTCACACCATATAGGCAGGGATTCAGAGACCTTTGAATACCCACACAGTGCTTTTGCATATGTGGCACTTTTGTGCATTTGTTTAGGGTGGTTCTCCTATTGTGCTGCTCTGAAGGATCTCCCAGTATTTCAGGGTAGCATCTTTAGAGAAATGTGGAAAAGTCCTCTGTGTGTACTGCATAGTGTATGTGGCATTTTGTATTTTTATTTGCATTGTTCTCGGCGGGACTTGCTTCTGCATAAACAAACACACACTGTTGGCCCTCCTGGGTGAACTAGTGTTCCTATTCACACCCTCAGTCTAAACTTGGCTCTGCAATTTGCTTAGTTATCAAATTGTGAATATTTATAACTTTGCATGTTAACCGGTTAGAATCATTTGTTTGCCATCTTATGGGAATACAACTAGTTCTGGAGATTCATTCAACAAATACAGTAAATGATTTACCTGGCAAGCACGCATACAAACAAATCCATGTTTTTCTCCACTTCTTTGATACATTGTTGGTCCTAGGAATGAGAGGAAAAGTTCAGCAGTATTGTAATTATATTAATTGGCCCAGTCAACAAATGAATATATTCAGCTGTTTCAGCTTCCCAAGACTGAATGAAAAACAGAAATACTGGATTTTGAGAAGTTGTTTCTTGATTCCACCCATTCTCTTTTGTTCAGCAACATGGAGCTTGTGGTTGCAATCCTGTGTACGTTTATTTCAAACCAAGCACCTCTGAACACAGCAGAACTTGCTGCTGAGCATAGGATTCTCCTGTAAGGAATGCAGTTACAATAGAAGATAATAATGCTAATGACTGTGGAGATGAGAGGGAAGATAATGATCTGGTTTCAACTTGAATGAGATCAGTCCGATGTTGGTTTAAAAGTGGGGTTTCAGTACAAATTGGAGAGGAAACATTATTATATGGCTTGATTCTATGCATATTTTCTTGGAGGTAATTATTACAGAAGAAAATCTGACTTACTTCCACAAAAATATACATAAGATTGTAGTCATAGAATGTCAGATCCTAATTAATGCAGAAACATACAGTTCTAGGTCAAATCAGTCTTTTAGTGTGTAATAAAGAATGCTATCAGTATGATTAATTGTTTTCATATGAAATAATCTCCCTCCTTGCCTGCCATGTTACTTAAATGAATAACTGATACACAATCTCATTGTTGCATTCATGTTGAGAAATGTTGATTAAAACATAACTGGATTGGTCCATTAAAGCAACCCGATAGTGTTTGTTTTGTATTCCAGAGGTTTTTGAACAATTGATACTGCCACTTGGGGGAGCTAGGACAGTTTAAAATTCCAAATTGTTTCTGAATCCCATTAAGCTTGATGAGAAAACAAGGAAAACTTAGGGGGGGGGAGCTATGTATTATTAATCCTTTGTAACAGTTTACAGCACCAAATATAATGTTCAAACTTGTAAAAATCTGGAAGTACAGATTGCTGTTGGCTAATTTTATTTTATGAAGGGGAAGCCCAGCTTCTGTAAAAATCTTGTTCAGAGAAGAGAGCAAGCGGCAAGCAGGTAAACTCTGCAATATTGTTATAAGAATAGTGTAGACCATTGTTAGGAAACGTTCCAAGAATAGGGCGGGTAAAGCTTTCCTTCTCCCCCTAAATTTCCATATCATAAATTAAAGTGTTTGCAATATACTGTACAGTGGAACCTCGGTTTTCGAACATGATCTATTCCAGAAGTCCATTTGACTTCTGAAACATTTGAAAACCGAAAATCAAAGGGCTGTCAGCAAAGTGAATAGTGAAAATGGAAAAATGCACCATGGAAGCTGTTCAACTTCCAAGGCGCGTTCGAAAACGGAAGCATTCACTTCTGGGTTTTTGGCGTTCAGCTTCCAAAACATTCGGCACCTGAGACGTTTGAAAACCGAAGTTGCACTGTAGTTAATACTATTGAATATACACAATTAATATATATAATTAAATACATGATTAGTAGATTTAATATATTTATTAAACAGATCAGAGCCATTCTTTTTTTGAAAAGAATTGACCAGAAAGATCTGAAAACAATGAGGCTACTGGGCAGGAAAGAGAAGGGAGAGGGAGAAAGCAAGGGAGTTCTTATTGTTATTCTATCTTTTGCACTCATAAGCAGAAGGGCTGAAGTCTGGGAAAATATAAACTATTCCCACCCTCTATTCTTTTTGCATGAAATGCACATCCTAACCTGCAGTTGTTGGAGTGGATATGGAATTATGGAAAGCTCAGATTGCTAAAATGCAAATAAAATGGTGTCATCTAATAAGGACATCCTTAGGTGTTCATTCATATATCACATTTCCATGAATTGATCCATGGGGCCAGATCCCCAAATCCTCCATTCTCTGCAGGTCAACTTTGGTCATAATGACATCAGGTGATTGAACTTTTACAGATGGCAAAGGGGATTGCTGTAACTGCCTGTCAACTGATGGGCTGCTATGATAACCACCTCTGAAGGGACGTTGCCATCCCCAGGACCGGTTTGGGGAGTTCATCTTCAACGGGGCTTGTACATTAGCACAAAACAGTTTGCATTAAAACTGCTTGCTAAAATGGGGAGGGGAGCTTCATATTAGCAAGCATTTTGCATGTGGCCATCAGGCAGTTGGTTTTCTCTGCTGCAGCTGCACCATCCAAGTCAACAGAGTGATTGACTAGGCCATATTACAAGCAACTTCAAGAGAACTGAAACAAGACCCTTCCTCTTCAAAGGTTCTGAACCCAGCACCCTGATACCACAGCATCTTTAGACCCAATCCTCCAGATGCCCCTGTCATTCATTTAAAAAATCACAATATTTCTGTTTCCACCCTCTTTTAACTTTCCCTACTGTGCTGTAATGCTAAAGGGCTCATGTTTAGGCTGGCTGCCCAAGCACTTTTTGCTGTATAGTATAGCAAAGGAAGGAGTATTTTGTAGAGTGGAAAAAGTAATATCATTTTCTTTCCTCTCTCCTGCAGCTTCTTCACAGAGTGCAGGGAGATGAATTTTTAGCCTCATAAAGCCCCTAATCCTAATCTCTCAACATTCCGTAGGCTCTGGAAACCACTGAAAATAGGTCGTTTTTGTGCCACTTCTAGGGGTTTTGAATTTTCTTTTAGTTTACTCATTTATATCCCCCCTCCCCACATTTCTGAGTGGTCCTGTTTCACTGGCAAACTGATAGGTACTGGACTACACAAGTACAGTAACTGGTCAAATAATAATTCACACCTACCAAAATATTTTGATCACAAAATTGTAAGTCAGCCCGCTGTATTCTTTATGCACACTTAGTCATGCCTTCAGAATTGTGTAAGCCAGTCACCAAAGTCATGTCTTGGTTCACCATCTGATTTCAAAATGGCACCCAGTACCCAATGGTCAATGAAGAACCCAGTCTTGTGAACCCTCCTGAGTTTGGTGATATCTGCCAAAAAATAGGTGAAGTCATACCATAATGATGTCTTAGTCCACCATCTTGATTCAAAGGGGCACCCAGTGTCCCAGTAGTGCCAGAATGTGCTGCCCCCACCTCTGGGACCCTTGTACCAAGTTTGGCAATAATGTCTCAAGATACGGCTGATCTGAATCAAAAAACAGGCAAAGTCATACCAATGTTATATTTTGGTCCTCTATCTTGATTCAAAATCGCGGCCAGTGTCTCAACATCAATGAAAACTGCCATCCCACCTTGAGAATTCTCATGCCAAATTTGATGACAATATCTTGAGAGCTGACAGTCTATAGACAGACAGACAATCCATTTCCCAAGATATATAATAGATCATATATTAAGAGTGGAGGTTCCCCCTGAAACTGCCCTCCACCAGCTGTTTTTCTCATGACGTGGATGATGGTAGCTATAGTGTAACAACATATTGAGGTCCATGGGTTAGCCATCACTATCTAGAGTTTATGCAGAAAGCAGGAGGCTGATGTTATAGTGGTTTGGCTGTTCATGTAGTACCTTCTAATTGTGGTGTTTGTGGATTCTGGTTGTGTGATAGTTGCAGGGAAGGGGGGAAGAATATTTTGGCATCCTCCTTACAGCAGAAACTGTCCCACTTGTGAGAGTGTATACAAAAAGGGACGATTTGTACTCCTGAAGCCATCCAGCCAATGACCTGAATTCAAGCATGAGCAGGAAGCAGTGGTGATGGTCAGAAAGATGTGTAATATTCCACCTACATGCCCACCCTTAAAATGCTTGCTTTGAGCAGACACTTCTGTGCAACTGCAGTCACCCCCAACTCTAAGATGGAGAGAAATGGGGTGGCTGTGGCAACATTTGGATCTGCATCTCCCCACCAGCAGGAGCAACCCCCAATTTACTTTTCCAGTGGGTGAACGGTCCTTTATAGAAGCATATGAAAACCTCTAATAATGAAAATGATTGATTGGCGAGACCCAAGTTTTATTTCAAGACAATCTGTCATAACCCTAACATCCAGATTCTGCTAATGGGTTTTGGCCTGTTGTTCTCCCTACCTCATCAATTTGTTGAGAAAATTGTTTCCTGTTGGTTATAAGCTGTAAAAATTAGCTTCATGCAGTTACATAACTCATTTATAGAACTATAGAAGGGGGCTGATTGCTCATTTGTTTTGTTCTCCCACTTTGTTACAGATGATCCCTAAACTTAATATGTCTGTATATTCTTTAAATCAATTTTGAAAACCTCTATAAAGTCTGTGACCCAACATCTGGAGGCTAGTCCACATTTAAAGTGTAGTTATAGACAAACAGCATTAACTGAAAATGAAATAATATACTTGCTTTGTATATGTATAAGGAACTTTGGAAAAATTAAAAGCTGCCCTACTTGAGAAAGTAGTATTTGAGAGAGTGTGAACAACTACCATGTCTGATTATTAACCAGGACACACAAATGCCAAAGTATCATATGTTATTGACCCAGAAAGAATTCTGTACCATTTAGAGTTCTCATTTTTAACCCAGCTAAAGAAAAATGCATTTGGAAAATGCTAAAGAGGAGAATTCTGTCATTTTCTTCTTGCATATCTGTTGTTTCACAAATACAGGCAGCACATTAGCACAAGTAACTGAAAATATTGGCTCTCATTTAACAGTTTCCTCTCTCCAGATTGAGATGGCTGGTAATCAGTATACTGTAGCAAAACAAAGCACCCATCTGTGCTAATGTTCTTACAATTCAGAAAATATGCATTCATGACTAAACAGATTTTTGCAAGTCAGTCATACAAATTATTGAGCCTTTTCTTTTTCTAGAAAAAGAAATCCACCTAAGAATGTTATATATGCAACAGGAAGTCACAGACTTAGAATATTTTCTACATTATTCTAGAATTTACTTTGATATTCAGCACCAATAATCCAAACATGCTTAGGACCTAATATCAAACAGGTGATGAGAAAGAGAAAAAATAGGAGAAAGTGGTGCCAGAAAAAGAGAGAAGAATGGCATTAAGAACGAGAAAAGAAGTCGGCTCACCCAACCTTGGTTCTGGTTCCAAGACCCTCACCAGAAAATAGTTTTTCCAGCCCTGTTGTATACTTTGCCAAATAATATATTGTATCTTAAAAAGCAGAGACATCACCTTGCCAACAAAAGTCCGTATAGTTAAAACTATGGTTTTCCCAGTAGTGATGTATGGAAGTGAGAGCTGGACCATAAAGAAGGCTGATCACCGAAGAATTGATGCTTTTGAATTATGGTGCTAGAGGAGACTCTTGAGAGTCTCATGGACTGCAAGAAGATCAAACCTATCAATTCTGAAGGAAATCAGCCCTGAGTGCCCACTGGAAGGACAGATCGTGAAGCTGAGGCTCAATACTTTGGCCACCTCATGAGAAGAGAAGACTCCCTGGAAAAGACCCTGATGCTGGGAAAAATGGAGGGCACAAGGAGAAGGGAACGACAAGAGGACGAGATGGTTGGATAGTGTCTTCGAAGCTACCAGCATGAATTTGACCAAACTGCGGGAGGCAGTGGAAGACAGGAGTGCCTGGCGTGCTCTGGTCCATGGGGTCACGAAGAGTCGGACACGACTAAACAGCAACAACAACACTTTCAAAATACACCTACCACCCTGCCCCTGGCATCTAAGAACCACGATGGGTAGCCATGAGATGCAGAGTATTCTTGGTGGTTATAGTCCGATTACAGAACTTTCTCCCCATCTGAGAGCTTAGCTGAGTATAGCGATAATATAGGGACATGCAAGTTTTTAATTTTCATACTGCACCATCTGCTAACCTGCTGAACCCTTTCTACCATTTGCAATGAAGAATTAATCAAGTCTCCTTTCATTAAGACAACCTGGGCATACCTAACTTCCTGATGTATGAATTTGTAGCAAATAAACTCATTCATTAACTTTAACACTTGGCACTGTGTACACATTTTGACATGCATGAAAATTATATCTGTGCAAGAAAATCTCATATGTGAGGCTGTCATCATAACTACTATTGCTCAGATACACTTGTTTCCATAAAACCATATTTTATTTTTGTATTTGTATTTTTGTATAAGGCACTCTGGATTCATGCTGCCTCTGGATTTATACTGCAGGGGAACCAAATGGGGTTTAATCTATTGACATCCTGAGATTTACCTATTTGGAGAGCATAATCCTGGCTCTAACAAAGATGCTTGCTATTACAAAATACACACCTTAAGCTTATCTCACTGGAACAAGAATAACATTAAGTAATATTGTGCTCTTCATGGCTGCCATTAATTTTTCCTGCAAGCTCAGCTGTCGTGTTCTGAAAAGAAAAATCTTTATTACTCTATTACCACATTAGTCAGTTATTTTGATACCTGACTCACTACCAAAGAAGGCACATTGTGTTCTTCCTGGAACCACTTCAGAATTAGAAACACACTAAAACAGCTCCAAACATCAGTCCAAGGCATTCAAAGCTCCTTATATTGAGTTTCTGGCCTTAAATTTTTAACATTTTAAATTGTGAAATCAGTTAAAAACATTTGTGGTTGCAGTTCCCAAATGTGTGTGTGTGTGTGTGTATACGCGTGTGTGCACACACTTAAGTTTATTGTTTTAAGTACGTTATAGCATTGAAGGGATGCAGGTGGCACTGTGGGTTAAACCACAGAGCCTAGGGCTTGCCTATCGGAAGGTCAGCAGTTCGAATCCCCGCTACCGGGTGAGCTCCCATTCCTCTGTCCCAGCTCCTGCCAACCTAGCAGTTTGAAAGCACGTCAAAGTGCAAGTAGATAAATAGGTACCACTCTGGCGGGAAGGTAGACGGCGTTTCCGTGCACTGCTCTAGTTCGCCAGAAGCGGCTTAGTCATGCTGGCCACATGACCCGGAAGCTGTACGCTAGCTCCCTTGGCCAATAAAGCGAGATGAGCACTGCAACTAAACACGACTGGACCTAATGGTCAGGGGTCCCTTTACCTTTACTAGCATTGTACTTTTTACATTTTGAGGTGGCTTATGATCAGCATTAAAAAAAAATTTAAATAGCTTCTTCTAAAAAACAGGTGTTATTCAGAATGTCAGGAAATATCTTGAAAAGAGTCACAGTTAAATAAAGCTTTAACACATCACCTTGTTGTCAAACATTCACTGGTAAAGTACAGTGGATTGTAATGAGCCTCAGTCTATATAGAGGGAGTATAAATTTTAAAAAAATAAAAAATTCTGTACTCTTTCAAGCTTGTGTTAACTGTTGCTCAGAAACAAATATGACAGAGCTAAAGGACAGTTTATAATAAATATAGTTCTATGTGCTGTCCATTCTTTCAGAATGCCTTTTATTTCAGGTTGTATGTAATGCCTTTTGAACTGATGAATTTTCCTTCTGGCTATATTTTCAAAGGAAAGTTTCACAGTCATAATTACTTGAATGTCTGCTCTGTGTAAAATACTGCTTCCTAATTCTGTGTCATGCATTTCCTGATTACTTTGCTAGGAAACAGATTTTAAAAACTTCAGGTTGTGTCCTACAGTCTTTATAAAGTTGTGTCCCTAAGCTTACTAAATCTTCTGTTATATCTAATGAGGTATCTACAGTAGGTTAGTTTGCTATATCTATTCATCTCCTAAACCTGCTTCATCACCTTCCCACTAGCTTGGTTTATGGATGTCCAAATCTATGTCTGGACTGGCTATAGATTAGGGATTCTAACAGCACTCCAAAACTAGGCAGCAGGGCTGCAGAAAACCTGATCAAAGCCAACCAATTAACACTTCTGTTCCACAGATGAGGAACATGGAGACTGAGAGAAAAGCCGTTGATTTTAGGCTATGGCAGACTAGGTGGTTTTTTTGCTTACTATTCTTATTATACTGGGAGTCAAGAACTGTTCTGATCTACCACAGATCATCCATACATCTACCAGTAGATTCTGATCTACCTTCTGCCTGTCTTCCTTGTAGGAGCTGTGTCCAGTTGAGTGTGTCCAGAGACATATACACTCTTAACCACACATGTCTGTTGAAGAATGCAAATACTGTATTTTAAGTTTGCATGCTGAAGTTTGGTGGTGGTAGGGTGGAGAAGAATGGAAACAGTCTGGTTTGGTGTAATTCCAGTTGGTTGGCAATTTTGGTACAAACTGTGCTGTTACCATTAAACAGTGAGTAGTTCAGAGCATAAGGTTTAGTTTTCTTATTGAGAAGAGCTAGTCCTGAGGCATAATACTAACCCTCTGATGTTGATGGCTGAAGGGGTTAATGTGTGTAGTCCTGAGACTGGTAGAGAAAATCACTGCTGGGGATGCTCTGCCACAGCAGATACGATGGTATTGTCCATGGTTGCACCACCAGTAGTAGCTAACAGCCTCAAAATGGGGCATGTTACGGCAGGCATGGAGTGCTGGAGGCTTTCAATCCATGGGATTCCCCAAGGGACCCAATCCTTTGGCTACTCAGCTGTACCAGTCAGGTGAAAACCCACCGTCACCTTTTGTGCTGGCAGGCGTGGGCAGTATGGGGTTAGAGCTACCACCTTGTTGTTCTTGGTTAGGAATTTGGATTGCTCTGCCTCTCTTAAGAAATATTAAGTGGTATTTGACAATACATTGAAAATTCATTTGGTATAGTGACACAGTATGTGGTTAACTAATAAGAAGACTAGGCCTACTTATTGTGTTTATTACATTTTAGATCCTGCCTTTCCTTCAAGGAGCTCAAGGTAGCATACATGGTTCACTCCCATTTTGTCATCACAGCAACCCTGTGAGGTAGGTTAGGCTGAGAGAGCATAACTGGGCCAAAGTCACCCATTGAACTTAATGTGAGTGAGACACTAACCACTACAATACACTGGCTCTAGATTTGTTGTTTCTTGCTCTTTAACTTCTTCTCACATATTCCATGTACAATGCAGAATATCTAAAACACAGATTAATGAATTTGATTGATTCATGTGTGTTATAATCTCCTACTTCGTGAGTATTTGCCTCTGAATTATTCTGTTAGAATGTCCAGGGATTCCAATAAGGAGTTAAGTTTTATTACTCTATTCATACTGGCTCAGCTTTTATTATTTACAATGCTGACATAATAAATACCAGTCTTTAAGGGTTTTTTTGAACCCAAGTAGGACAGGTTATCATTCTTCATTCATTGTTTGCATCTGTGTGTGTTTCTAAAGGTTGTGTCTGTGAAATGAGACCATGACAACTGATGAGGCTACAAAGAAGGAAGGAGATGTCCAGAGAGCAACTCTTGTTGAACAAGGCGAGGATATCACACCAAACAAAGACAAAGGAGTTCTGAAGGTGAGGCTTTGAAGAAGCTAATTAAATGTTCCTTTCTAGCTCCTGGACAAACACCAGTATCTTACTGTTCCCATTACAGCAAGGCAGAGGTTCTTATTCTGCTGTGAAAATATCCGCTTAACATAATACAACAAAACAAAAATTCTCAGTGTGTGATAAATCCATTGAATGGTGTAATTGGAGCAAATATATAAGTGCTTTACATTGATTTTGCAATTACCTCACCTAATTTCATTTCATTTTATTTTATTTGTCACTTGACCCACTCCAAAGGCTTGTGAACAGAGGGGGAAAGAAAATCACAAGATGTTAAAAATGTTTTTGAAAACCTTATGTAAGGAACAGTAGATTTGAAAGACCAGATCATAAAGGACTTCCAAAGCTTACCTCAAAGTCAAAAGAAACCTGGAGTCAAGGAGAAGGAAGACAGATGAGGACCAACACCCATCCCTCTTTCGGAGGCCTTGGGCAATTAGAAAATAGTCTTATGAAATGCCACTGATGTATCCCTCCCCACCACTGTAACAATTAGTTAATAATATTTGTCAGGTTCTGCCAGTTTTAAAACTCCATCTCTATTTTACCTTATTCTTGGCTATCAAAAACCAGTTGAAAATCTTAAGATACTCAGACTGAGTTTCCCAGAAAATTAAGTTTGGGGACAGCTCTTGGAGGTCTAGATTGGCACCTGAATGGTAAATGTAAAAGGATGAGGAGGAGCTAGATGAATGGACATATTAAATGTTACAACTAAAAGGCTTGTCCTTAAGGAATCACAACCTACCTTACCTAGCCTGGAGTGGGTAAAGCTCTTTACCTCATTCTGCTATATGTGGTAGACTAGGCATCATCATATGATGAACAGAGATTTGGGCCTGTAATGAAACTCTTCTAGATCTACTTTGTGTGGCCTTCTGTAATGTGTGCCACTGTCCACTGCGATTTTGTTTATCTTTATTGGCCCTCACATGGCTGATTGACCAAACATATAATAACAGCTTTTGGTTGTATGAATCAACCCTGTATTTCTGGGTTAGAAAACAATGAAAACTATTAGATTGAGGTTCATCAAATACAACTGTGAATGGATCGAAAGTAGTATAATTTCTAGGAAGTGATCCATATACAATTCCTCATTTGCAATCTAGTGATAGATTTTCAGATATCCCTCATTCCCCGTATATGGATGTAGAGCGCAAATATACAAATCAGTGTACTGAACTAACACGAAAGACCCTCTGGAATAGATTAGCCGATGCACATGAGCTCTTATTTCTGATATCAATTTCTTTTTTCATATCTTCATTCTAGATTGTGAAGAGGCCAGGGAATAATGATGAGTCTCCCATGATTGGAGATAAGGTTTATGTCCACTACAAAGGAAAGCTGGCCAATGGGAAAAAGTTTGATTCCAGCCGTGACAGGAATGAGCCATTTATCTTCAGCCTGGGCAAAGGTAAAGAATGGAAAAGGTGGAGAAAGGTAAAGAGAGCCTTAGGGATATAAAATGGGTTCTTGCCAATTAAATTACAGTTGGTTTATAATCCTGTTTTCAGAAAGACTGTGTGACTGAGAGCAAGCAGGGAAAGAGCTGAGTATTGGAAGATGTCTTCTTTTGCTATTACTTTTCAAACCTAATCACAGAGCAACAAAGGAAAAGAATCTCGTTGTTCAACATGCCATCTCAATGGCAGAAACCTGTGTGATCATATGAAGCTGCCTTCATTCTTCATATGAAGAGGCCATTGGCAGCACCTCTCCTTAGTCTCAGGCAACAGTCTTCTTTGGCACCTGTTACCAGAAAGGGCACCTCTAAATGTACTCATCAGTCCTACTATAGTTAATCCAAATAACTAGGAATCTGTTTAGTGGCAGAAAGAAAATAATATATTAAAAGAGTGTAGTTACTACTCATTAAATTATAACTCTAGGGCTCTAGAGCAGTGGTTCCCAATTAGCTAAGTGGGCCCCTGTTTTTCAAAAGCCAAACTATGGACCCCCTCACTTCTGAAAAATTGATAATGTATCTCTATGGTAGTTTTTGTTATGTGAATGGTGCCACGGACCTCCTGGGTGGGTTACATGGACCCCCTAGGATCGGCAGACCACTGCTCTAGGACAATCCTTTTTGATCATTAACAAAATGTTCACTTTTGGTTTCCCTTTACTGTTCTCTGGACACAGTCGCCTTGAGAGTGTTGACATCTTTCTATTTCCTTTGATTTGTCAGAATGTAGTAAAACAAAGCATGTGTTAATCAGCACACAGCTGTTGTTAGTCTGTAGCATCAAGAGCTTGTTAAGGATTGTGGCATCTTAAAAACTAACATAGAATCACAGAATTGTAGAGTTGGGTGGTACCCCAAGGGTCATCTAGTCCAACTCCCTGCAATGCAGGAAACAGATTTATTAGGGCAAATGTTTTCATGAAGTATCACTAATAATTCACAAACCCTTTAGAGTCTTATGATTATTATTTAGAGGTTTTAAACTCCCAAGTTTGTCTTCTATACCTGAATTCAAAGAAGAATGAGCATATTAATTGGCAGTTACTATAAACTGGAAGAAATGCCAAAAAAAAATTATTAGGGATGGAGTTGCCCCCTGAGAGTGTGCTCTACTCCTCAGCTGCAGTGTGTACCACTGAGAGACATTTTCTGTAAATATGCCCAGCTTTGTAGAATCCTTGCCTAACTGGTATATGAAATACTGAAGCTGAGAATCTTTCAGCCGAAATGAGACCATTGCTTTCTGGCAAGCATTTAATGGTTTCAAAAAAGTATTGGTTTGCTTTACTTGCCTCTTTGCTTTTGCTTTTATAAGTTTTGTTATGCTTTGGGAGTTCTTTGGAATAAATGGATTACCAAAAATTAATAGCTACAGCTCCATAGACCCAGCAAGCTGTTCTTATGATATTTGTTCATATGGCCATGTTTGAAATTAACATGTGCTCCATCTTAATTGCTTTCCATTGGGATATGTTGATTTTTCTTCTGTCCCCAGCCTTGCTCTAGTTCTTAAATGATAGGTGCCTTGGCCAGAGATGGGAAACATTGAGGCTTGGGAGCCATATATACCCTTCCAGCCCTCTCTGGACTCTGCCCAGGTCACACCCCACCCCAGACCCTACTTTATACTCTCCTTGAAAGTGTCCTTGAAATCTGATCATGCTTCTTGCTTGCCTGATTGGAAGATAGAGAGGGGTGTGTAAGTGTGTGTAGAAACTAGCTTACCTTGCAAAGGTAAAATTCTCATTTGCTTTGGTCTTGCCCACTTTTGCCTCTGGCCCCACCTACCACTGCCATGTGAACCCTGGAAAGTTGCCTAGATGGCACCATAGTCCATGAGCTGAAAAATCTTCTCCACCCATGCTTTCAACCATAAACTTTAAATGTGGTTTAAAAGTGAACATGCAGCCTGCTACTGCACAGTGTGAAAATCACTGAATCCAAGCTTGATAATCTCTTTCTCTCTCTCTCTGAACAAACCTTGAACCTGGGTTCAGACATAATGCTAAGCACTCAGCAGCCATGGCAGGAGCAGAGAGGTGCAAAGCAGTCAGTTTTTGCACTGGGAATCAGCATGATGTGTGCTCACCTTTAAATCATAACCAAGGTTAAAAGTGACAAGTGAAGGCTGCTAGTGCTAAATGATGGTTTAACATTCCTTGTGTGATATTCTGGTTTGTTTTCAGATAACAGTGTACGTAAACAAAAATAATCTGCAACTTACTTGAGCAACTATCTGATGCAGAAGCAATAGAAACACACAGTTTAGTATCATGGATTTTGCATAACAGTTCAGTTATTTGACTACTACACTGTACATGTCTAAATGACACAAATTGTAAATTTTTTTTAAAAAAATGTGTCTGTGTCTTGCTTTGGCAAGCTTACTAACTGAATTTTTTTAATTGAAATTTCTTGTTATTAGGCCAGGTCATTAAGGCATGGGATATTGGGGTTGCCACCATGAAAAGGGGGGAGATCTGCCACTTGTTGTGTAAACCAGAATATGCATATGGTTCTGCTGGCAGTGTCCCAAAGATCCCCTCAAATGCAACGCTCTTCTTTGAGGTAAGTGTATCTTTATTTGCTTATTTTATTTTGACTAAGTACATTGTTACCTAATGAGTGTAATTTGCCAGTAATAGCAGATGTGCAGCACAATGTTTTATGGGCAGAAGTGAAGCAAACTAGCAATGATCATGAATCCATCCACTAAACTCCACAGTTTTGGGAGAGGCCCTGAGTTAACTAGATAGGATATTGTCATGGGAATCTTCCTGTAAAGGCTAAAATGCAGTTGGGGACCACTTTGATTGGTAGCCCAGGAAAAATACGTATACTGTTTTTGGATCTAAATAAAGTGGGGTGCCACTGTTAATTCTGATAACACTAATCATCAGCCCATTGAAGGTGAAACTACATTCAGGCAACTCTTCACCTCTTTCCCAGTAATCTCTCTGCCTCCCTATTCCTGCCCACCAGAATTGGAAGAGTTGGCAAGAATGCAGACAGAGGGGCTATAGCACACATTATGTGGAAACATGTTGAACCCCAATATCAACCAACCTACCTGTATTTGTTCTTTCAAAGAAAAACAGCTTCCAAGGGACACCGTTGATTCGTAAAACAAAAGGGAAGGGTGCTTAATTATTTTGGTGCTTGCTGTTTCTCTATTGAGCCCAGACATTTTGGACCCCATGGGGAGAAAAGCTGTTTAGAAGAGAATTTTAAGCTATGATTTGGGGGACAAGAATTGTGTCCTCTTTTTGCCTACTCAGAATCGTCCCCTCCAAAATGGTGTGTGTGTATTTTTGAAGTTAATATTGTGGCCCTATTAGCTTTTTTGTGTGATATATAGCTAGCCCCAAAGCTTAGGGCTTCTGCAAACATTTTATGGCACAATGCAAGCATTTTCACTCTTCTACCCTCTAACTACCCTACTCTTACTGCAGTAATGCTTGCTGTTGAAATGTAACAGAGGGGAGAACCTTGCTGACTGGGGAAAATCCTATGCTGCCACTGTTTTATAATGGGATATGCAATTTGGAGAGTGAGTAGGCATAGGCTTCAAATGTTGGAAAATCAGCTTGGGGTAGAAAATGCAGATTTGGGGGAGAGTATTTGTTATCCAATTTTGTAACTCTTCAAAATTTTGTGGACATCATGCTGGAATGGGAGGAGTTGTGATTCATGAATAAATTCATTAGCATTGTGCAGCAGGGGCACATTAAGGCTCTGCAGGCTGTGGCAGAAGGTGAACAGAGGTAGACATTCTGGGTCAGCCTGACTCTCTGTTCTTAACATATGCGGTAATGACAAAGACTGGGTAAGCACTGAGTACTTTTTACTTTTTTTTTTTAAATGATATTTATTAAGAATTTTAAAATTACAAAAAGAAAAACAAAAAAGAAAAAGAGAGAGAAAAAAACAAAAGAAAAACAAACCACAATCGAACAATACAAATTGATAAAAGTCAAAATCAAAAAATAACACGACACAATTAAAAAACAAAAATATGCCACAAACATTTAAAAACAAATCCAATATTCTCAAATCCTTAACTGTCATTACCTTCTTTCTTTGACCTCCTCACTCCTCCCTTTTTTTGTATCCTAGTTATTAATTGTCACAGCAAATCCTTTCCATATTTCATAATATTCTGTCATTACATTACCTTAATCTATTTTAATCTTATCTAACTATAAAAGACCTTAAAACTTAAAACTTAAATCTTATTTATACCAATTTCTCCTAACCATAATATTCTTACATAATTCTTTAAACATTTTTGCTAAAGCCAAATAATTTCATTCCAACATTTTTCTAACGTTCATCAATTTTATAAAACAATCCTAATAATTTTTTTTTTCTTCCAATCTTCATCCAGCATCTCTTCCTCCTGGTCCCGGGTTTTGTCAGTCCTTTCTATCCCATCGATCTAGTGCATTAACCTGGTAATCTTATGTCTGAGGCCCTTAAGTCCCTTCCATGTCCCATCCGCAGTTCTTCTTCATATTTATACCTGTACTTTACTTTGTCTCCTGCTCCTTTCACTCGTGGGAACTCCAACTTAACAGTGTTTATGACCCTTCTCGACAAATCAGCCCCTTTTCCACAGTCCATACTAAACTCCATGTGGTATTTTAAAACATGTTTCAAAGTCCCTCCAAAATTAAGAGCCCCCACAACCCCAAACATCTCACGGCCCATTGCCAGACTTGAAAAGTCCAAACATCCCTGCATAGGGGGGGTCTATCCAACCCCCCCATTTCCAAACCAAACCAAACTTTATCTTTCCAAATCTGGCTTTTTCCAAGTTCATTTGTCAAATCCAATAATTCATGTTCCTGCTGGGCCACAGCTCCCTCCATCTCTGGCACCCAAGATTCAACAGCATCCTCTTCCCTCATCTGTTCTGTCAGAGCACACTCCTGATTTGATTCCTGGGTGGGCTCTATATAGTTTCCCACTACCTGTCCAAAATTTCTGATCGCAACAGTCATCAAGTCCGTCTTCTCATGTAGCTGTTCCAGTAGGGCACTTGTTTTACAGAAAGCACGCAGCAGAGCTTCTGAGTACATTGTTCTGCAAGGTCAGATGTCTATTCCCACGATCGTAATCTATTGCAGCTGCAAGCTCCCCGGTTCAGAATTGGTAACAGTTTCACAGGTTCCCTCTAGGGGAAGAGCTTCTATTTGATCTTTCCTTTTTAAGGCAGATCTAACAACAAAGTTTCCTTTTTCAGATATTTTGTCAATATTTGTTCCTTTAAAATGCGAAGGGGAACAATGGAATCACTATGTTTCTCTTCTTTTAACTATCTGTCAAAGACGTTTGTCTCTGGTCAATGAGCTTCCCAAAGAACGTCAGTCCTGACACCCTGCTCCAGGATCAAGACTGTGGAAAGTTACTTTGTGTTACACTCTCTTCTGCAGGTTTAAACAGTCCGGAAAAAATCCCCCCTCTTCTCCTGCTTCCGAAGGGGGTTTAACAATTTTAAATGATGAAAGTTAATCCTTTACAGGCAATTTTCTGAACTCTAGTTTGCCATGTCTTTGCTTTAATCTATCTACAAGAAATGGAAGGCTGACTTCCTGTTTAGACCTTCCCGTTTCAGTGCCAAATTGAGGTAAATTTCTTAGTCCAATTTTCCTTTCTACTCGCAAATCATTATTTGAAGTCCAATTGTCCGAAATTTAAGTACTCACAGGTAATTGTTTTAAAAGCCAAATTGTCCCAGGAAAAAGGCAGCGCTCTCCGGCAATGGCTGTGCGGCTTCGCTCCACGGAAGAAGCAGTTGACTCTCAGCACCGCGCCACTTCCCCCTCTTCACTCTGGAGCCCGTTAGTGGGTTCCTTTGCGGGTTGGGGGGGCGCTAAAGGTGCCTGCCGAGTCCCATGGTCACAGGCTTCATCCGCCTGTGATAGTACTTTTTACTTTTTAGCCAGTGCTGGCTTGCCACTGTTCTCCACCTCATAGGAACTTACTTTCCAAGAAGGAACCATCCTTCACTGCTTTCCCCAGCTCCTTCTTTCTTTCCAGAATACTAATAATAATACAGTGGTACCTCAGGTTAAGAACTTAATTCATTCTGGAGGTCCGTACTTAACCTGAAACTGTTCTTAACCTGAGGTACCACTTTAGCTAATGGGGCCTCCCGCTGCCACTGCGCCGCCGGAGCACAATTTCTGTTCTCATCCTGAAGCAAAGTTCTTAACCCGAGGGTTAGCGGAGTCTGTAACCTGAATTGTCTATAACCTGAAGTGTCTGTAACCTGAGGTACCACTGTAATTACTTTTCAAATACATGTGATAAAGATTCCTGAAAAAAGTGAACCCCACACAACTGTTTCCAAAAACCGTTTCCATTTCTCTGTATTTTGAAGCCAGAAAGTTGCATAGTAGCAAAGACAGAAAGCAGACATATGGGGGTTCAGCTTGCCCACAGCAGGAGTCCTTGCCCCCACTCCTCCACAGCATTTGCCTTCCAATAATTATTTCCAAATTAACATATATATCCATATAAATGAACATATGCAACATTTTTGCCAATTGGCACCCTCTTGGTTTGCGCCCTGGATATTTGAGCACCTAGCAACCCTCCAGGGGGAGCATCACAGTGATTTGCTCATATGCCTGCTGTGCCTGCAAGCTCTTAGTCACCTCAGAGTCATTGGAATACAGCCATACCTCGGGTTGCAAACGCTGCGGGTTGCGTGTTTTCGGGTTACGGACGCGCCGAACCCAGAAGTACTGGAACGGGTTACTTCTGGGTTTCGGCGCTCGCAAATGTGCAGAAGCACTAAATCACGCTTTGCACATGCGCAGAAGTGCCGAATGACGTCACATGCATGCGCAGACACGGCGCTGCGGGTTGCAAACGTGCCTCCCATACAGATCACTTTCGCAACCCGAGGTCCCACTGTATATGCAAACAAAACATCAAAACTGTGTCTTAGAATTCTGTATAGAATGCAGTGTAGTAGACAGATTGCACCCTAAATCTGGGGAAAAGTTGTTTCCAGATTTCTACAATTTATAACTTTTTCTAGTGAGGCCTTATGCAAATAAGGTAGCATTTGCTATATTGTGGGACTTCACTAGCTTGCTTCTCTTTCTCATTGTTTTGTCAAACTCTTTGTAGATTGGGCATATTTTGATCCCCACTCGTTGGTTCTAAGAGCCGTAGTGCAGGGCTGGATTCACATGAGAACTCTGCTTGCAGTTGATGCTTTTTTGTTGCTTATGGTAAATCTGTGTGATAAGGAGATGGCTATCCATGAGAAATATGGGAGCAGATGCTACGAATGGAGTGAATAATCCATGTAGCCCTTTTGTCATGTGTGGGGTGGTAGTGGAAGCAGCTGACTAGAAGGGTAGCCCATGTGAGTTAGCCCATAGATCCAGTGTTTGTGTGTGTTCCAACCCTTGTGGATTATCACATATTTGAAGTTTGGTCTTATTGTTGTTACCATTATTTTCAGATTGAGCTGCTAGATTTCAAGGGAGAGGATTTATTTGAGAATGGAGGCATCATCCGCAGAATCAAACAGAAAGGTGAAGGATACTCCAATCCCAACGAAGGAGCTGCTGTACAAAGTGAGTGTTGGTGTTCATGTCAGTTGTTTGCAGCATTTGAAATCTAGGGGTACTTTGCTATCTCTGTTCATTACCAGCTCTTATTCATAGAGACAGAAATATGTGAACCAACTGCCCTGGCAAACATCAGCTCCAAAACCTGTCCTTCCAACCTAATAATAATAATAGTAATAATAATAATAATACTTAGCTTTGTTTAGAGGATTCAAGTGTAATGTTTACAACAACCCTGTAAGGAAAATCAGTATTATTATTCCACTATACTGCAGATGAGCTGAGGCTGAGAGAGAGTAGCTTGTCAAAGGAGGCCTAGTGAATCAAACAGAGATTTTCTGATTTCACTGCTCAGTTGCTTAGCCACTGTGCTGAACCACCTTTCAACCATTAGTTTTTACTCCTGATCTCATGTGCCCAGATTCGAACAGCTACATTTCCCCATGTCACCCTATTTTCTAATATCTTCTTCTCAATTTTGCCTATTCCTTTTTTACCCTCCATCAGGTACATTCTTGAAACCTGACTCTTTTCATCTTTCTCAGCTTTGTTATCAGCTTGAAGTAGCCACTTACTTCATGGGGTTCATCCCCTGATTCTTCAGAATTCCATGTTTCTTCTGTTCTTGTCACAGCTGAAATTCAGTACAGATCAGAATGTGCACCTGCTTGCTGATGACCACGTAATGTTTCTTTTAAGGCTTTCACCTCTTTAACAAAGACCCATCTAGCACTTTAAGCACTTTCAGTTACTTTCATCTGCCGGGGAACTGGCAGCTTCAGACAATTTGATTAACTCCATAGTTTTGCACACCCCATATTCTTGCAGGCTTTGATGAACATCTAATCTACAAAATATATGTTCCACATGAAGCTTCATTTTCTCTCAGTTTACAAAAGCAATGGGGGTGTTGTTGTTTGAGAACTGTTCTTGTTTGAAAAGCTGAGTATTAACACTCAATAGGCTTTGAAAAACAGTTGTGTTTTTGTTTTAGAATCTGTAACAAAGACCTTTCCTCTTCTGCTATCCAGTTCCTGGTTTCAGTTTAGAACACACTGATTCTTTTTTCTTGGTAAATCCAACTGAATAAGCACCAGGACTACTGGGTTCTGAGGGTGTAGCCCAGGGGTAGGGAACCTGTGGCCCATCAGATGTTGCTGAACTACGGAACTTGTCATCCCTAATGACTGGCCATGCTAGCTGGGAGTAATGGAGTCCAACAACATCTGAAGAGCCACAGGTTCCTCACCCATGGCTTAATGGAAAATATTATAAAGCGAGGGCAGTTAGCTGCTGAGGGAAGGGTTTGCTGGTAGGTCACCTGAGTTCTGAGTCATAGTAATCCTTTTTCTGTCATAAGGACCCCTGTGGTAATGACTGCAAACCATCCTTAAATTCTACAGCTGTAAATTTTTGGCTGCAGGATTTCTAACTGATAAACAGAAGAAAACTGGAAGGTGTAAAAACGGATAATCCAGGCTTTAGTGTCCTCATTTACAGTGTTCAGATCTTGAAGTTCAGTAGTAGGGCACATGCTAGGCAAGCAGAAAGCCTCATGTTCAGTCCCTGGTATCTGCAGGTAGGGCCCTAGCCCTTCCTGAAACCTCCAAGGTTTCAGGTCCTTCCTGAAACCTTGGAGAGCGGCTATCAATCATTGTCAGCGGCACAGAACTATATAAACCAGCAGTCTTACCTGGAATAAGACAGCTTGCTGTTCTGGATGCATTGTAATGATAGTGCTTTGGGACACACCATACAGCATCCTTTATCAATCTCAAAACCATGCTTTGTATATGATTATGATTGCAATCTCACATAGGTTTTTCTTCTGAACTCATTATGTAAGGCATGTAGTGGCAGGCACATTTGTGATAGGTATCTAAAACCAGGTAGCATATTGTCAGTTTTATGTTGCCTCTGAATCTTTTCTATCCTTTGGGAATAAGGCTACCTATTCTTCCTCCCTCCCCACTTGGCTAAATCCCGGATGATTGAGGTTTACAGGAAATAGCTGTTGAAGTCTGTGGTTTATTTCAAGTTTAAAAACATGTCCAAAGGGGTTGTTGCAGGAACAGTAGGGTAGTTTAGTGGAGTCTTCCAAGAAGCTTCTTTCTAGCAAGCTGGAAGTTCCCAAGGGCTCTCCCTCCCTTCCTCTTGGTTGGAACATTTGTGCCAGACCACAACTCCCACATGAGAAAAACAAACCAACGAAACTTCATTGGTAAGCTGCAGACACCTTTTTTTAAGGTTGCTTTTTGTATACTAATGAAGTACATTTTACAGTTTATTATGCAACAAGTAATTTATCTGCCTAAGTAATACTTGCTTGTTGACATGGAATAAGAAAAGTTTTTGTAGTATGATCTGACGTGTGTACTCAAGTCCCACTGAGTTAGATTAGACTTCCTTGCAATAAAGTATGCCTACAGCAAAAGGCTTTTCAATTAGGATTTCAACTCCCAATGAGAATTCTGAGTAGTCATGTTCAGAACTGAATTGTAAATTTATTAACAATTTGTTCTTTTCCTGATTAGTTTATTAATTCAGAAGTGTTTTCAGTATCTTATAGATTTAGTTGTGTGGTTCACGAAAATAACATGACTCTTAAACTAAAGCAGAGATATTAATTTAATGATTAAGTTTATTCCCTTTGAACAGCTGCTTTGTGAGAATCATGGAAATAAAGCCATCTGCAGCAGTCTTCAGAATACATGAAGTGTAACCCAGGGGAAATTGGGCACATTAAGAGACAGTGATACCAAGTGCCCACCTTCCTGCCCCCAGTTGGTCCCCATATTGTCAGTAAAGCAGAAGTAGAGATGGGATGTTTTGAAGAAACTAAATTTATGTTTGCTACCTCTGTTTCTTGTTCCAGTAGATAAATGCCTCTGGATTGAGAGCCGCATTTCAGACTCATTGTCAGCTACTGTGAAGTGGAAATGTGCTGATAATTTGACTTGAATAGAGCAGGTTGGCAGAAAACCAGAAGAGTAGTTATGATTGCATTTAGAAGCCAAGCAGGTGGTAAAACCTCGGCAACTGTGCTTTAACTGATAGTGTTTCTGCTCAGTTTTAGTAAAACCCAATATTAACTTGGGAGCTGATACAAAGATTCCTGGCAATTATATTACTGCTATAATTAGAATGGGAGGAAATATGCATGGAGCAGAACTGAAGTCTTTGAGCTGGATTTTTGTAGACAGTGTTATTAGCTTGACTGATGGGGCATAATTCACATCTCTGCTTCCTAAAACACAGGCTGCAGTTGAATATTTGCATTCCAAGTTGTGTTACAGCTCCTCTGCTGTTTTAATCAGAGTACAAATTGCTGTCAGTGCACAGAGTTCATGTGCCAGCCACATTCAGAACACAGTGTTCTGTGCTCTTCAAAACAAAATTGCTCTAGGCACTGAGAGAACAATAAGTTAGCTCAGCAGCTGAAGTGATGTTCCCTGGTCTGGCTAGAGTTTCTGACTGTGTAATCCAAGTGTAATTCTATCCAAATGATCTGCTTTAGGCAGCACTTAAGTAACTTTGATAATCAAGTTGTGGAGTTTTTCTGATATCATGTTTATACAATTCATATGAAATCACTTCCTCTAATAGTGAATGGGGGTTGTCCAAAGTGCCTATCAACTTGGAAGCAAAAGAAAAGCACCCCAAAATAAGGGACATGTTTCTGTACAGTTAGGGGGTTTCCTGGGTATGCAAAAGTATAAAAGTTTGCAAATCTAAACCCTCCAAAAATGGCTTAGTGAGGACTTTCAAGGACTGAGGACATAGAGATAGCAAAGTTCACACTGAATGAATCCCAAATACAGGAACTCAGGTTTTTTGGTGCTACTTTTTTCGCAGTGTATGATTGAGAGCAACTGAGAGAAAGAATATTAGTACAGTATGTCAGTTGGGGATAATGGGGGTGGGAGGAGTTGAGGACAGGTTGAGAGCCGTTGAGACATAGACCACGATCAGGAACATTGATCTCAGTGCAATAAATCATGATTTATTTGGGCGAAAATGAGCTGTGTGCCATGTGTTCCCTCTTTACTCTTTCCCTTGTGCACCCAGCTTTCACAAATATTTCTTCCATTTCTTAAACTGAAATGATTTCCTGTGTCATCAGCTGGGTAATGGTAGTTTAACAAACTCTGGAAGGAGCTTATTTGGCTGAAGATTGTTACTTTTGAACCCAGCCACAGATTTGACGATGTTGGTTGAAAAACAAAGGGAAACCTAGGAGGAGTTGATTACATGGCTCTTTTCCACCCAATCACATCACCCATCTAAACTGAGCATCAGTTTGAGGAGGCCAAAGACTCCCATGTTGCTGGTGTAATTGGAATCCTTCCAAACACTCCCCAGTGACTTACCATAGGGAGCATACTTACACACTGCTGGGCAATATACTATATGTGAAAGAATAATAAAAGAAGTCCTTAATCTCCAGAAATGCTCTTTTATAATGTTTTCGTATTTATAAATCACTGGCATTTTATAATTATATAATATTATATATCTCAGTTATATATTATACTATAGTGTATCATATGTTTATTATATTATTTTGGCTCAGTGACAGAACACATGTTTTACATGTGAAAGTTTCAGTGTTGGCATCCCCAGGATAGGGACAGGTGCATATAGAGTTTGTCTGAGGCAGCTTAGCCTTCTGAAATCTTGGGCAAGTGTACCTAGCTGCCCCCTACCCTCTGCATGCGCCTGAGTAGGGCTGCATTGAATTGCAGAGGGTTGGACTAGATGACCCTTTGGATCCCTTCCAACTCCACAATTCTATGATTCTATGGCTGGGAAAGACTCCTGTCTGAAACCCCAGAGAGCTATTGCCAGTCACCGTGGGTAATTGCTTCAAGAGCTAGGTATATTTAGCAGAAAGCAGGACAGAACTGAAGAGATTGCTACATAGGGAGAAAGTGAGGGATATACTTCTGTGCATGTCACTAAGTGAAGTTCACCCTTCAGAAATACCTAATATGATTTGTCTTTGTTCATGTTAATGAAGCTTATGATGGATGGTTGCAATACTGTTGCAACCCTGTTGCAAATTATGCCCTGCTGAGTTCTGGCATCTAGTTATGTTTTTGTTTCTGCATGGTGTTCATGCTTGATGATAAGCAGACATCTAGAAATCTTGATGTTTGCTTTCTATGCAAATGGTGGTCAAGGGAGAGGATTGTTCTGGTTTCTTTTTGTTATTATTTACATGAGAAACTTATTTTTTGGTTGAACATACAGTTTGGCTTAGGGGTGAGAAGACCATAGGTTTAGAAGCATTAGGCAAAGAGGTGGAAGTGTGCCAGGATTGAAATTGTTTCTTCACAGCCTGTGTTCTTTGATTTGCTGCTCTCCAGTAGAAACCTGAGTAGATAGTACAGTTCCTGTAGCCCTGTGTGTGATGAATGACTAACCATCTACAACTTAATGAAATATTGCTCTAAATTCAGAGACTGGCCTGCTGTTCACAGGGCTGGTTTTCCAGCTATTATGAATGTTCTGGAAAGAGGCACTAACAGTGCTGATCTCTCAGCTGCCTGCCCTCCACCTTATTCAGTGCACCAAGTACAATGTGAGCATTCCATTCCAAGTACAGTTGAAAGGATGAACCTTGTTGTTCCTTGCGTTTTGGAGAAACTTCAGAGATCTCTAGCTATCAGAAACACATAGCTATGTGAACTCTGACAATCAGCTGATTCACAGGGCTTTCATAGGTCCATGCATGAGACTTTACAGATGCCACCAATAAGCTCATGGTGGTGCCTGCAAACCTTCTTTAATTCAGCCATGTCTTTACCTGCCATCTTATATGGCATCTAGGGATAGGTTATCTCTGTTTCCCATTTTTCCAATCTTACATTCAGTTCTCCAGGTTTCTGTAATTATATTTTGAGATCAGCAGTTTCCTCTTTTAGGAAGAATAAAAGTTGGTATCTAGTGCAGCTTAGGTAATAATGTGAGTCTTCCATTCAAACTTTACCTAAACTAACTAACTTTACCTAAACTAACTAAATGGCTTTAGGAAAGCTGCTATCTCTATAACTGCTATTATGAAAACTGGGCTGAGCTTCTGAAGCACTAACATATTTACAGTGGTGCCCCGCAAGACGAATGCCTCGCAAGACGGAAAACTCGCTAGACGAAAGGGTTTTCCGTTTTTTGAGCTGCTTCGCAAGACGAATTTCCCTATGGGCTTGCTTCGCAAGACGAAAACGTCTTGCAAGTTTGTTTCCTTTTTCTTAACACCGTTAATACAGTTGCGACTTGACTTCGAGGAGCAACTCATAGAACGCAGTGTACATAGTAGCCTTTTTGAGGTTTTTAAAGACTTTGGTGATTTTTGAAGCTTTTCCAAAACTTCTTTTGCAGCCATTTGGTAAGTTAAGCTTTTAAAACTTTTTGGGGGGTTTGGATTTTGGGTTGGGGTGTTTGGAATTCAAGGACTTGGTGTTGGGGAGGGGTTTGCAAGAATCTGGAAGCTTGTGTGTTTTTTTCTGCATTTTTACGATTTTCTGTGACCATTGGGCCACTCTGCTGTTTTTTTAAAAAATTTCTGGATTTGAATTTCTGTGTGCTGGGTGGCTGGGGGAACAGTTGGGGAGGGGTTTGCAAGAATCTGGAAGCTTGTGTGTTTTTTTCTGCATTTTTACGATTTTCTGTGACCATTGGGCCACTCTGCTGTTTTTTTAAAAAAATTCTGGGTTTGAATTTTGAAATGCTCTTTACAGTATGTGTGACTTTAAAGAGCACTTAATAAACTCTTGTTGTACCAAATTTGGCTTTGTTTGGACTTTTTTTGACCATAGGAACGCATTAATTGATTTTCAATGTATTCCTATGGGATTTCGTGCTTCGCAAGACAAAAAATTCGCTAGACGAAAAAATTCGCGGAACGAATTAATTTCGTCTTGCGAGGCACCACTGTATGTGTAAGCATAGGCGATCATACCCATATGTAGGTAACTTATACCAATAACTATTGGACAAAAATTATGGAGGGAAGTGTTGTTCTGCAGCCCATATACAAGCAAAAGTGTCATTGACTTGTTAGAGAACTTTGACTTCAGTATGATTTTGAAAATGACTTATTTGAACAGAATTCCAGTGAAACAGCCCTGTGAGAAAAGGGAAACATGTTCAGGAAAATTCAGTTTCATTGATTTTCTCATTTTCTTTTTTGGTGGGGTTGCAGGAGCAGGAGGGAGAAGCAGGATGATGGTGAACCAATCATTCACCTTAAGAAACCAGGGTGCAAGGCCAGCAGTAACTGTTGAATAGCATTCCAATGGGATCTCCCTCTGTTTCTGATTATATATTTTCGAACATGAAGAGGGATGTGTGTGTTCATTTGCTGCAACAGACTAAGAGTCTTGTGGCACCTTGAAGATGAAGACGAAGAGTCTTGTGGCATAAACTTTCATGAAGTACTATCCCAAAGTGGCTGGTATATATACACATTGTGGTTTGCTTCCCCCTGCCCCATTTCATTTCCCTCTGCCGGTTTAGGAGAACACTTCATGCACCTGATGAAGTGGGCTCTGGGCTATGAACATCTATGCTGCAATAAATTTGTTCATCTTTAATATGTGCCACAGAACTGTTTGTCGCATATCTTTCAAGTCAGTTTTTTAAATATATGTGAGTGAATGTGTTATTTTACCTTGTTGTGTTCTAGCACTAAATATCAAGTAGTTTTCCTTTAAAGAAAACTTTGTAGCTCTTTTTGCATGTGGCTAGCAGATACAGCTATAACAATATTTGCACACTTTGCAATAATCAATCTTAGATTTACAAGTCAGCATGTCAAAACTCAATATCTGGATCCAGCAGAGCTGCTTAGAAACCAGGAAGCAGACTAACCATTATGTGTTACTTTGTCCTTGTTCCAGAAAGGCACAGTTAGTCCTTATGGGAACATAGTGTTCTATACAGCACTTGTTCTTTCTTTCTTTCTTTCTTTCTTTCTTTCTTTCTTTCTTTCTGGGAGGGAGGCACTTATATATGCAAACAGATGTTCAGTCAGAATGTCCACATAGCTTTGTTAATCCAGGTAATATTTCTATTGTGCAAGTGTATTACTGTAATTTTACTATTTGACTTCGCACCACAATCTGGCCCTGTCACAAACAGGAAGTACAAAGATTTACAAATGAATAGTAGTATGTAGTTATAACAGTGCAGCAACCTGTGACCTGTTCTATAGCAGTTATTTTGCATACTCTGCTTAGTAAGGGAAGGGAAGACAAGGCAAGACTGTCTAGTAGCCGTTCCTGGCTAAACAAGTCCTTGCTCTGAACTGAGCCCTTCATGACTCCAGTAAACACAGAGGATTTCTAGATTGCTGCGCAGGGTCACAGAGGAAACTTTCTGTGCCAGCACTGGCGGAGGAGTGCGGGGGGAGCGCACCTCCACTGGCAGCACGATGCCGTTAGGGTGCCATTGCGGCTCCCCCCCCCCCCGCGCTGGGTGCCATGCCCCTGCAGGTGGCATGCCACGCCCCTGCGGGCGGTGCCCCACGCCCCCGGGACGCATGCCAGCCCCGCCCCTGCCTGCTCTCCACACCCTGGTGCTGAAGCATGAAGCTCTGCCACTGCCTGCCAGTGCCATGCAGGTGCCCTTGTATAGAATTTTTGTGCTGGGGCAGAGTGCCAGTAGCTTTTGCAACACTGTGTCCCAGTTTAATTACAAAAACACCAGTTTCAAGCTCACTTCTACATCAGGGCCTACTGCCCAGTGCTAGGAACTGTGATGTCTATGCAATGGCTCTGAAAACTGGGCCACAACATGACTAAAGTAATTTATTTGCAGAAAAACTTTTACTAGACTCTGAAAATTTCAAAGACTGTAGAAATCATCTGAAGTACTCAACTCTGTTGGCTAGAGGTCTCATTTTAGAAATGCATTTATAATGTTTAATACATCACAGCAGTTTACAACAATATAAAGACATAAAACCAAACAATAAAATCAATGGAACAGAATAGAAAAAAAATTCAGCAGGCATTTAAAAGATGGCACAGAAGTCTCCTGGTGAATTTCTATTGCAGAAAGTCATGGGCAATGTGGCTTTGGGGTTTATTTTGGGGCCCGAATGCTGACAAAAATGTGTTTTAGCCATGAAGCGCTTTAATTCCTGTCAAAATATTTGCAGTCAAACAGTGCTTTACAGTGCATTGTTGTTTTCTTTCTCATATAGTCCATCTGAAAGGATTCTGTGATGGCAGGATGTTTGATTGCAGAGATGTAGCATTCACGGTTGGAGAAGGAGAAGACCATGACATTCCCATTGGAATTGACAAAGCTCTGGAGAAGATGCAAAGGGGAGAAAATTGTATCCTACATATTGGAGCACAGTAAGACATTTGAGATTTCTCCCATCTCTCTCAATATTTTCAGTAGTTGGTGTGATAAAGCAGAGATGTGGAGCCACCCTCTGAATACAGGTGTTGCTGCAGCTTATCGAGCTGGTGCTTCAGCAGGGCAGCTGTGAGGTTGATGCTGTGTGGATGTACTGACAGAGCCAATATTGTGCTCCTGTCAATGTTTTTACACAGCCACAACATCACCACCACCACACAACTCTGTCCTGGTCCCATTCAGGTAAGCTGTAGCAGTGCTGGTTTTGGGAGGGCAACTCCACAGCTCTACCTCACCATACTGGCCACTACTGTCTGTCTCTTACAGATGCACACACTACACAGCTTCTACAGCATTCAACTCTAACGTAAGCAGAGATGCATTTAGACATTATTTTGCCACAGGTTCTGTGGCTGTGCCTCCAGTGTGCCAGAGTGTTTTGATTGCTGGATTTTGAACACACACAGTTGCCCACAATGCAGAGCAGTCCTGTAGTTTTTAAAAAATAAAATACTGCTGTTTGATCAGCTTTCCTTCAAAGTAAGGTTACCAGATTTTTTTCAATGAATCTGGGGACACTTTTCAACTTCAATGGATTTTGTATGGGGACTGATTTGTAAATCCAGGGACTGTCCCCGGGAAACGGGGATGTCTGGTAACCTTATCTCAAAGCGGCTTCATGCTGAAAGGAAAACTTTACAGTTAAGCTCTGGTGTGTACGTTTGAGTCAGGTATTGCACATGCTTAGACAATAGCCTGGTGAATAGGAGTTGTGGGATATAGGCAAGGAACCAAACAGGTAAAACGCAATGGGTGGCGACATCACTGTCCCCTCTCAGGTATATACAGCAACATACAAATGCAAATTGAAATGCAAGGGAGGAAATTACCTTGCTGTGCTTTAAGCTACTAACACATGCATATTCTATGTTAACCTTTGTCGCAAATGAGGTGATTAAAATATGTTAAACCAAACCAATTGTGCATGTAAAGTGTTTTTGTTAAATGATTTTCTATCGTAATACAGCTCTTGCAATTAATAGTGCCAGAACTACATTCTATTGCTAGCTAATGGTAGGAATCTTACATATGTCCTATGAGGTATTATCTCTCTTAAAACCTAGAGTAACATTATTCACATCTGGCAGATTTTAAGGGTTGGAGTAGAAAGAATTTAGGCAATAATTCCAAATATTATTATCTATTTACCCTTCTAAAGTTTAGTGTGATTATTAAAGATCCTAAGACATTTGTGAAAAATCTCATTACTGAAAAATAAATGCATGTTCCATTGAAGAAGGTATTAAAATTGAGTAGGAAGCAAGGTATATAATAGTATCTAATCTGAATACAAAGGAAGTAATGATAAGCCTAGTATAGTGTGTACAATCTGTGTGTGTTGCCACAGATGAGTTACTTGGCCACTGGTTTCCTAGGCAACATCTGTTTTGTTTCCAGGGGCCGATGTGTAGCTACCCACTGTTATCTCCACGTGAGCGCAAATATTCAGAATGCTGAATTAAGTGCCTCATCCTATGCTGTTTTTGTTTAGTATTTTGTTTCCATGCTTTGTTTTAGATATGGATTTGGTGAAGCAGGGAAGCTTAAATTTGGCATAGGGCCAAATGCTGAACTTGTGTATGAAGTTACACTGAAAAGCTTTGAAAAGGTGAGAATGGGATTTTTTTCCAATTGTAAATAGCTATAATACACACACACACACACACACACACACACACACGGCTGACATTTACCTACAATATCTCTTCTGCAATGAAAACATTTAGGATGTCCTGTTCTCTTTCCCCCTCCCTGCCCCTGCATGTTTGTGACAAAGCTTGGTAAGGCAGATACGTCAACTAAGGTCACAGAGTTCTTGTGAGTGTGTTTGTTTTATTGTTTTGGGTGAGGTCCAATACTTGTTCTGGGCTTGTTCCTTTTGTACTTCTTTTTTTTCCCTGGGCTGCAGACAAAAAAAATCATGTTCTGCCAAACAGCACTAAGAGGAGGGCAGGGCAGAATTGCCAAACAGGCTGTGCCCTCTTTGGGGTGCTAGAGAATGTACCCATCTCTGTACAGTATAGTAAAGGAACAAGATGTACATAAGGTGGAGCTGTGCTTTTATAGTCTATACTGGGGAATGTTTGCAGGAGGAAGGCGTTGGTTTCTTCTCCACGCTTTCTACTCTTGAAAGATTTGTAGAGGTTTCTCACACTTTCATGACTTTTTCATCCTATCACACTTCCCAAGACAGTGTTTGCAAAGAGATTTTTAGCAGAGCTATAATCATTTGTGAAGTGGGTCCCCAAGTTTAGGGCAGCATCCGCAGAATGCTGTCTTCATTAAAGTGTCAGCCAGTACCTTTAATCCGGATTTCTCCTTACTGGGAAAAAATCTGATAAATATATTATTATGCATCTGCAGTCATTGCTGGTGTGGAACCTGTTAAGTGCTTTTTGGGTGGGGGAATAATTTGGCACATGTGTGGTGATGTTTCAGTGGGTAGCTTCCATTGCCACACTTCTGCTACCAGTTGCTCCCCACATGGAGCAGATTTGCACAAGCCTTGTAATAATCAAAACAAATGTGTAGTGCTGCTTACTGCTCTGAATGGAGGTGGGGAAATGTGTGTGCCAGTCTTTCTGTGAATTAAGACGATACCTCTCTCTTTGCCTTCTCCAACTAACATTCAATTTAAATGTAAAGGATCTGAGGATCTGTTCATGTTGCTGAGATGGAGAGGGGAATCAAGTGAGTCCTGAGTGTCATCTCACTATTTTTCCAATCCCCTCCAAGAGTCTCTTACAGCTGTAGGTAGAAGCCCTGCTGCACAGAGCTATTGAAGATGATGGGTGGTGGAGAGGGGAGGGGAGGAGAGAAACAGCAGGAAGAGGCAAGCAGGAAGCCCCCCCTCGCCACCTCTTACTTCACCCACTGTTTGCAAGACATAGCCTTAATTTCAGTGCCGTAAATATTTAGTTACTCTGAAACTTGCTCTTAATTTCTAAAGCCAGATGTAGCTTACCTAGTACCCTCTATAGCTTGATGGTAGAGCATGTGCTTTCTGTGCAGAAGACCCCTGATTCAATCCCCAACTGGGAGAGACTCCTGTTGGAATCCGGAAAGCCACTGCCTGTCAGTGTTGGTAATACTGAGTTAAATGGACACAATGACCTGACCCAGCATAAGACAGCTTCCTGGGTTACCCTTTGTGTGTAATACCCTCTATTCCTTCCTACTCACTGATCCCATTGCTAACACTACTGCATTACTTGAAATAATACGTTCAAGTAATGTCAAAGTTGGAAATAGTGAGATTCTGTGAAGTTTACTGTGTCTCGGGGTCTGAAGACAATTTCTAAGAAAGAAGCAGGGTTTGTTGTCCTTATAATTACCTAATTATTGCTATACATGTTTCCTTTCAGGCCAAAGAATCCTGGGAGATGGACACCAAAGAGAAATTAGAGCAGGCTGGCATCGTCAAAGAGAAAGGGACTGTGTACTTCAAGGTCTGTGTCAACATGTCTAGAAATAGTAGCATCAATAATTGGAATTTCTTCTGATAAATGCCCTGTAGTTTAATTGCCAGTGATGACACTTTCGGAAGCACTGTGGTTCTCAAGCAACCCTAATGATGCCTCTTTTCCACCTCAGCTTCTCATTCCAAAGGTGGAGTTGCCTGTAAGCTGGACTGACGCTAGGAGTAGAGATGGCATGAGATATATTGGCGGTGGTTTGGAGGGTTTCTGAAATATTCTTTCTAGTCACATGGTAGTCTTGGCAGAATGTGACAGCACCCAAACTATATGACACTACTGCTTGCTAATACTCTCCTGACTTCCACACTTTCAGTTCCCATTGATGTTGCACCTAGCCCTTCCGTATTGCTTCCTTCTTCTCATTCTGTTGCTGTTCAAATTATAAAAAATTTCATAGTCAAATATATTTCACATTCATTACCATTCTTAATCTGATCTTCTTTACCCCATGCTAGGAAGGCAAGTACCTACAGGCAATGATTCAATACGGGAAGATTGTATCCTGGTTAGAAATGGAATATGGCTTATCAGAAAGGGAATCTAAAGCTTCAGAATCGTTGTTGTTGGCAGCCTTCCTCAACCTTGCCATGTGCAACTTGAAGTTGCGGGAGTATACGAAAGCTATTGAGTATTGCAATAAGGTAAAGAGACATTTGGCCATGTGGGGTTTGGGAGGCCATTGGTGGTGGGTGGTGGTCATATCCTGCCCTATATCTCTTTCAAACAACCTTTGACCCTGATTCTTTTAACATATTAGAGACAGATGCCAAAATATCTTTTTAAAAACTTTAAAAGGCAACAAACTTCTATCTGATAGATTTAGAAATAGAGCCTACTTTATAAATACTCCTGTGCTGATGGATTGTTGTGGCCATTGCCTGCAGAATACAACAGTTCTGTGGCATCTTGGAAGCAAAGTGCAAATATATGCAAAGAGTTAAGTTTAACAAATCCATTAGATGTTTAGTCCCTGTACTGTACCGTTTACACTGAGAGGAATGATTCCTCATTATGGCTGTGATTCTATACCCACTTACCTGAGAGCAAGCCACATTGAACTCGGTGACATTTATTTGTTTGTTTATTGACATTTGTAAAAACAAAAAATGAGTGAAAGAAAGCACAAAGCAAAGGCAAATAAAAATGTAAAAAAAGACAGGACATGTATAGGATTTCACTGTGAATATTCTGACTGCTCTACAATTTGTTACAGGAGTAGGGCTGTCCTTTCTAGAATGTCCCTTTTGACTACAGAGAACATGAGTAGTAAACTGAGTTGGGAAGAACTGCATATGATCCTTAATGTATATGATTCTTTAACTGAACACAATACAGGCAACAACCATTTTGCGCATGTTCAAAGCATGCACGACCGTGCACACGTGCATCTCTGCAAACCCGGAAGTGGCAGGGAAAGCGGGTGGGGTATGCTTATATGCACCCCGACGTAGCATGCAATGACCCAGAACACAACCCCTGCACAAATTGGGGGTTGCTGTTGCAAGAACTTTCTTAGGCAACACCTTCAGGTGTACATGGAATACATGAACTATGACAGCATCTCAAGGCAAATTTTTAGGGGTGCCATGAAACAGGGGCCTTTTCAGTTTTAATGTCAGTCACATAATAGCTACAATTTCCGTAAGTTTATTCTTTAATACTGTCGTGTTGCTACAGCAGGGTTTATCTGCATTTCATACTGTTTTCCATCAGTTAAGCATGCATAGGTATTATTTTAGAACGGACCATATTCTGGGTTTGGCTAGAAGTCTGCAGAATGGAACTGCTATTATGTGCTTTAGGTCTCTGAATGCAGCACACAGCTAGAATGAAGTGTTAAAAAATGAGCCAGAACATTTAAATTAGTAAAATAATTATGCAAACGTAAGGCATGTGCTTACGGGTACAACTATAAATATCTGGGGTTTGTGAGTCATCATCTAAATATTGCCTGTAAACTCTCTTTTGGGCCTCTGTTTGGAAGCTTTAAGCATAATATCCGTTTGCATTTAGTCACTGTATCATATTACTCTTTTTTGAATGTTCTATTTGTAGTTGAAGATGACTTGTCATCTACAACATACACATTTCCAACTAGTTTTGGAGACAAATCCATTTTGTAGATCAGTGGAGAGATTTCCACCATTTTAGTGCCAGCATGTTTGAGAAAATTACCTTGTTGGGTTTAAAATCCTATGCTTGATTCAATAATATTGAAGCTCTTATTTTTACATCTGTAACTGAGGCACCATAGAAACATCTGATAAAAACATCTGGCATCTGGATTTGGATTTTTGATTAAGAAGTTCAAATGCCAAAATTTCAGGGTATGCAGCAGATATATAGTATGTGAGGTTTAATTGTTACTTCACTTTTTAAAAAAAAAACAGCTTTGTTACTAAGGTCAATAAATAAGCTGTATGTCTAGAAACTCAGCTTTGTCATTTTGTCTAGTGTGGCTCCCAAGATTAATATGTACAAGCACTTCAGCATGCGTTGACTATTTCCCCTTCTGCAGCTCTGCCCCCCAGCTCTGTATGGTATGCCATTCTGCTGCAGGTTTTTTTTAGGGATAAAGTGCTGTATGTGGTGGTGGAGTAATTCTGTCTCCCCCACACTCGCATGTGCGCATAGAAATGCATTCTGTGCATGCACAGTAATCTTTGGATGACACCAGTTGGTCATATAAGAGACATTAAAATAAAAGGATATGCCTTGTACTGCTTGCATTTTAAGGGCTGAAGTCATTTTTCTAGAATATTACCTATTCCTGTGTCAGTGACTCATGTCCTTGCTCTTGAGCACTTAACAGCCCTCTTTTTCATTGGACTTGGCAGAATCAGGCTTTTCTAGAAAACCATGTGACTGGGGGAAAAACGTTCCTCTTTTATTTTCCATAAATGGAAATTGAGAATCTAGGTTATCCTGCCTCTATAAGGCAGTCCTGGTCACAGCTGTATGATTCTATATGCGGTTGTTGTTGTTTTTCTATTGTTGTCAACCTTAATTAAAACAAAAGCTGTAATAACACCTCAGCACATGACTTTATGACCAGCATACATACTCAGGGTTTTTTTAAAAAAAAAAAAAAACAATATTATTTTTTGAAGTTGTGTTTTCTACAGATCAGTTTCATTTGTTCTGAGACGTTAGCGTTGTATGCACTGTTGGGTTTGAAAGAAAAGAGGGGGAGGGTGTATGGGTAGGGCAATGCTTCTGTTCTTTTACTTAGTGTATGTGTGGGATTTTGTGTCAGTGTCACTTGTGTGGGTTCTCTTTCTATTTGCTTGTTATATTTCCTTGGTGGTGAGAGAGGTTGGGGTGGCCTAGAGTGTGTGGTTGGTTGTCTTGGGTTGGCTGTAGTGAGGTTTGTTTATGTGTGTGAGGGGGTGGGTTTTTTGGGTCAGGTTAGCCATGTTGAGCAGACATACTCAGTTGACACATTTTCTTTCTGTCCCACATCCTCTTCTTGAGTCCCGTTTTCCTCATTCTTGTTGTCTCTGTCTGTGGAATCATTTTAGCTATGTTAAATGTGTGGATGTATGTTTGCAGGCGTTAGCACTGGACCAGCTCAACGAAAAGGGCTTGTACAGAAGAGGAGAAGCACGACTACTCATGAATGAATTTGAATTGGCAAAGTGTGACTTTGAGAGAGTGCTCGAAGTGAATCCACAAAACAAGGCAGCCAGGTCACAAATCACTGTGTGTCAGAAGAAGACAAAGGAGCACAATGAACGTGACCGAAAAATATATGCCAACATGTTCAAGAAATTCGCAGAGAGAGATGCAAAGGTTTGCACCACGCCAATATGGCCTCCTTCCAACCTCTGTCCAACTTTAACTATGCCAAAATACTGAGGGGGTGTGGTATATAATTATACAGAAATATTAACAATGCATTGGGTGGCATTCTACGAAGCTTTACTTGGCATAGACCCAATGAAATTAATGGACCTGACTTAGTCATGTTCATTAATTTCAGTGTATCTACTCTGAATAAAACTTAGTGGAATACCACCCAGTATAGTTTCCACAGGTGGTGGTGGTGGATTCTTAGAATTCTCTTCTTGGGGGAAAATTAAGGTGATTTGGCAGCACATGGAGGAGGTGGCTCAGAGTCTCAGGGACATCTTCCAGCATCCCACCACAGAGGGGTTTCCCCCCCTTTGTTTATGGAGGGGTATTCAGTCCTATGATGAATGCTCATTTGGGGCACAAAAAATGGCACAATTGAGGAGACACTTACCGTAAGTCAGATTGTAGACACTCAGCCGTGAGCCCATAATTGAATAATTTTCAGATTACCAATTTAGGTAGGTAGCCGTGTTGGTCTGACGCATTCAAAATAAATAAGAAAATTTAAAAATTGTCCAGTAGCACCTTAGAGACCAACTAGGTTTGTCTCTAAGTTGCTACTGGACAATTTTTTGATTTATTTCAGATTACCGTTCAGTGGCACCTTAACTATATAGCTCATCCAGGCTAATAGGCTTTGAAATTCTCTATTTCCTTATAGAGGTGCACGTGTGAAGCTTCTGAATCACAACCAACATCTATGTGCATACAATATTGTAAGCTCCAGATGCATTTTCATTTTGTGACAAACGATTTTTATAATCTGAAAGTTTTCCAGAAACCCTTACAACTGCTAGCAAAGACTAATAATGAAATGAATGCATTCATCGTATTCCTTTTCTTATCTCTAGCAGTAGAGGTAGTTCTTTCTGTTCACCTCTGTGTATCAGAGATGGCTTCAGATAAAATCTAGACTGTTTTGTAAGCATTGAGGATTCACCTGCTTCTACCATTTCACAGTTCATCGTACACTCAGAGAGGGGTTTAGGTAACAGGCAGTTTACAGAGGCATATCTTCCAGTCCCTTTCTACATTCACGTTGCAACTTCAGAGGTTGTTAGAGTTGTAGGTACCTGAAACATTCATTTCCCATGTTGAGTTTCATGTGCCCAACTTCATTTACAGCAATTAATGGAATGGTATTTCTAAAATACTGCTAGGAAGCAATTCTCTTTGCATTATTTTTTTTTTGAGCTTAAAAGTTCTGAGAATCTTTGAATTTATGCTTTAAGAACTTCTGTTTTTACCTCTTCACTAATCTCCACATTGTGTGTTTGCTGTTGGTTACAGGAGGAGGCCAGTAAACCCCCAGGAGAGGGAGAAGAAAAGTCTTGCTCTGAAATTGGGCTTAAGGAGACAGTGACGGAAGGTGAAGAAGCAGAGGGCCACGTATGATTGTGCAGCAGAAAGACAATCCTTCTGAATTCTGCCTGCATTCAAACAGGTTTCTGAAGAACTCAGAATTCAACAGTGTTTATTGTAAAGGTTGTTACAGTAGGCGTTATTGTGGAAGCAAAAAGCCTATTCAGCAGCTTCACAAGAAACTATAAAATCACAGCCACTGCTGTGAGCATTCTCGGCAGTGGAACATGAGCAGAGCGACAGTATGGGACCACTCCAAGTGGAACAAATGGTTTTAACACACACACACACACACACACACACACACACACAGTCTTGGTTATAGAAGATTTTTGCTGAGGTGGCTCAAAGAGAACTCAATCAGTTTGCATCAGTTCTAAAGGCAGTGACCAGGGTTCTATAAAATGAGTTAGCATTTAGGAGCTGTCAGCTGTATAATTTTGGCATTGCATTTGGTGTACTGTAGTAGCACCACATGGGTGTATGTTGTCTGTCTTAAACAAAAACAAAACAAAAGATGCAACTGCTACCAACGCAAGGCATCCCTCTGGCCCTACTAGAACCATGTGGAAAGCAGTTTATGGCTTTGAAAGCCAGGCTCCTGGGATCTTTTTCAGTCTGTCTTATATTTCCAATGGGTTTCTGTAGCACAAACTGGTTTCTCAGGGAGCTGAGCAGTCCAAATCACACTATTATTTTTAAATGATTGTTTGCTGGAAAGGTCCCTGACCCATGGATGACTGAGCGTGCCACCTTCAAGGCAAGAGTATCTTTTCTATCCCCACCCAATAACCTGCTGCAGGTAGAATGAAAGGTGCACCTGGACTGAGTCAGGAACCCCCTTCTCCCCACAACACCAGTTGCGTGAGGGCACATCTATAGTCAAGTACTGTAGCCTGATTCCTTTTATGGATTTGTCTTGCAGATTTGCGGGAAAGGTATGCAGTGATAGACTTGGATTATGTGTTCAGTCCTTTTTTAGGGGCTTTCCAGATACCTTTCCCGAGATTATAATACAGCGAGTAATGAAGATATTAAGAAAATTACATTTCCTTTCAGGAAATTATTGCCATTAGTCCTATTAGCAATCCAGTTTTGTTTTCCCATCACATTATAAGCATCTTAAGAAACAAAAATAATATTTTGGTTTTAAAATTCCTTGCTTGTTCTTGGGATTCCTATCTCAAATTCTTACTTGGATTTCTCCCCAGAAGCTGTGCCACTGTCTTGTTTTTGTTTGCTTGATAAAGTGAAGAGGGTCCATTCTGCATCCAACCAATGGTTTTTTTCGAAATGATTTTAGCTTAAAGTAGCAAATGTTCACTGCAGATGAAGTATCAGAGTCATATCAATCTTCATTGTTTCTCAAAATACATAACAGCACTGAAATGCAACTCCTAGAGAAAGATAATTGTACTCAAGTCCCACTGAAATTATGATGATTTTAAGTGCAAAAAAATGTTTCTGAGTTTGGGTCAGCAAGTTTACTGATCTGTAACGGAATGCAAACAAATCCACAGCATATACTGCTATAGCACCAGTACAGACTAGGGCATTTTGCTTTCCTATATACCAGAAAGACAACACTGCTATGTTTTTAAACAAACTTTTTTTAAAAAATGCTCTAATTTTTAAAAAGGGAATTAACAAATGTTTAACATCTTTTCCTGTTAGCATCTGTTTTAAAAATGCATTTTCTTTTTTCCTCTCTCTTCCTGGTCCTGCTGGAAGCATAGTTTTCTCCATCTCTCCTTTCTACTTCACTGTTTGGTTGTTTAAACGAGCTAAAACCTTATTGGTAACTTATTCAAATAAAACCATCTATGGTATGGTGCCATTTCTCCTGGTGACATGAGGATGTCCCTAAACAGTCATTGAACAGGGGAAAAAGGCAGGTGTTCTCTTCTGGTGGAGTTCAGCACTTGAAATTTGTGTGGTAGTTTCCTGCTGGTTATTCTGTCAACTTTAAAGGAAACTAAAACTCAGTCAACAGCCAATCCTTACCTGTAAATTGTTGTACATCTCTCTATGTAGTGAAAGTGGCTGAGCACTTTTCCATACCCAGATTTTGTTGTAGATTCATTTAGGTAGTCGTGTTGGTCTGATGCAGTAGAAATATATAAAAATAATAAAAATAAAAATAATTTAAAAATTGTCCAGTAGCACCTTAGAGACCAACTAAGTTTGTTCTTGGTATGAGTTTAAGTGTGTGTGCACACTTCTTCAGATACACTGAAACAGAAGTCACCAGACTTCACTATATATAAAGGTCTGGTGACTTCTGTTTCAGTGTATCTGAAGAAGTGTGCATTTACACGAAAGCTCATACCAAGGACAAACTTAGTTGGTCTCTAAGGTGCTACTAGACAATTTTTAAATTATTTTTATTATTATTATTTTACAGATTTTGTTGGTTTAGGATGGTGTGAGATGAAGGGATAAAATCATACTAAACATGCACAGAATAGCAATTTGGCCGCATGACATAATGCTTATTATGTCATGCTATCATGCTGTAAACCAAGTGTTTTGCATTTCTATACCAAATCTTAGGCTTTAACTCTGTTTACATGAACCAAATTGGCATAACAGGGAGCAAGTTCTTCAAGACTGCACGTCATCATTTTCATTTTTGTTTTCTATGATATTTACATAAGCCACATGGCTTATTGTGAAAGTCTTAAACTCGCCCATAAAAAACTAGAAAGAAAGTAAAATCTGCCCTGGGGTGGGCTCTCAGTATGGGGTTTTCTCCCCAGATGATGTTGGTGATTTGCAGTGCTAGGAAGAGAGACCAAACTGGTAGCCTTGATCTTTTGCTCCCGACAAAATTTATCTGCCTCCAGTGATAAAACTGACTCAGTCCTCCTTACGTTCTTGCTACAAATGCAAGAAAGGGCAAACTACTCAGCACAGTTTTGTTTTTTTTAAAAAAATTGTGAAATGGTACCAGGCACACATTTTATGTAGTTTTAATTTCAGTTTTGCTATGACCATACAGGAAAGACTTTTCATCTAAAAGAGACCTGGCTTTGGTCCATAAAGGCCCCTCCCTAGTAGGCAGCAGCAGTAGAAGCTACTATGTTATGTCCTCCAAAGATAGAATTTCAGAATAAGGAGAATGATGGCCATGTAGTATTCAAAAGATGTTCCAAGTTTTGTAGAGTTCCATACTGTATTTTAAGTTCACTTTTGCGCTCTCCTAAAACCTATGTCTGGGACAAGGTAGTCACTAAGCACAATCCTAACCATATCTACTCAGATGTTAGCCTTGTTAGATTCAGTGGGACTTATTCCCAGGTAAATGATGTTAGGATTACAGCCTTAGTTTATCAACCTCTGCCAGAATTCATTGTAGCCTTTCCCCCATTTTCTCTTGTGGCTGTGTCATGTGGTGAGCATTCCATAATTTCCCCAAGCAACTCTTTTCTTGGCTTAACTAATTCTTCCTATTCTCACTACATCTTTGCTCAGTTACTCTTGTTTATCATCAAATTGCCCACTAATCATAGAACTTTGCTGAGGATGCCTGACAGTTTTATGTCTTGTGCCTGCTGTGGTTTGGAAACTTGAACCTCTAAAGGTGGATGTTCAAGCAATTTCCTGTTTTGCAATCCTGTAGATCTGTAGACTATTTTTAGTTTTATATCTGTTGGAACATCAAGATAACTGCATCTACCTCAGTATTAAGTGGCTATCATTTTGTTCTTGAACACAGCCATTTGATGTTCATTTCCATGCTCCAAACTAAATTGGCTCTTTTCTAAAATTCTATTCCACGCTGAACTAGAACCTCTGTTGCATTGTTCCAAGCTATTTGCACTAGCCCAAACTCTGTAGTACCTAGATTAGGTTATGCTAAGGATACTCTTATAAAAGAAAAAGAAGTGACTTCTAAGTCCTCGTTGGTATTTGGCATTGAAGTGGTAATTTTTTGCTTCATCAGAAAGAAAGGATCACACCCTATTATTAACAGCTGAATGCTTGTTGCCGGGTGAGTCTAATTATCCTGTGCTATCAGAGGGTGGTGGCTCTCCTTGGCAGTAGGTTACTCCAAAAACCACCTTTTACCTGTTAGAATCGCCTGCTGAGAAGAAAAAAGCAGAATCAGTAGCAGACCACTTGCTAAAATGACTTCTTAATGTGCCAAAACATTGCTGACCATGCACTGCCTTTTCTATTTTCTATGCTCCCTCTCTAGTTCTTGTGCCTGTATGGGGTGACTAACCAACTCAGGTGGCCTTTTTACTCTGCTAAGTCACAATTATGTATTCATTGTATCTGTGTTGTAACAGCGGACTAAAAAATCCAGTCACAGTTTGTATTAAGCCAGCTTCAAAATTTCACACCGACCATTCACAATATATTATTCTACTCAATGTCCACTTCAGATCCACCTGAAGTGCAGGCAATGCCAAATACTCAGATTCTTAATACCGTCTTATTTGAGGCACTTTTTCCTCTTTCTCTCTTAGTCAAGAGCCATTTGTCCTGGCATCATGAAAACCTAGACATTTTGTAAATTTCACCGGTTTCCTCAAAGTCTTAATTCAACAGCCAGAATTAGTAACAAATTTAGCTTGACTCACTACCCCCTCTTGCTATTTTGTTTTGCTGCCATGATGCTCACATCCAGGGATACATAAATTTTGTGTGGTTACCACTGAGCCTGCCTGTTGCCCAATTGTGAAAAGGGGACAGGCTTGTGCCTGCAATAATGATGGACTTGGTTTTCTGAGGCACTCAGGAGTAAAAACTGTTTCTGAGCACCTCTGATCTCCAGTGTGACTTCAGAGATAAACACCTAGCACTCTGTCCCTTGGTGTCTGCAACTGCTAAGGTTAAAAGATATGGGTAGGATTCAGCCCATGAGATCTGTCAGCAGAAGCCCATCCTAGTGTAGCAGGCCTTTCCCACTCTCCTCCCCTGTGCCTCCCCAAATTGGCTTTAGGGGCAGGTCAGGAGAACCCTCAGAACAGTGTATGGAGAGAAGGGGGCGAATTGTTCATGCTTGGAATGATCTGTTTAGCATTGCATTTAATTCCTCCCTTTGCTTGCCACCAGCAAGTTCATTTGTGGACCCATAACTGTGTTGCTATTTGTTTTCTGGTAGTGTAAAATTTTGGATGCAACACAATTCCTCCAAGTCAGCAAAGTTTCAGCATTCTGCATGGAATTTCTTTTCTGGCTAGAATGACCTTGCAGCTCCTAGTTAAGAAATCAGTACCTGAAAGAACAAGCAGGTTGGTAATCATCCCAGTGGGTTAAATGTGTCTTGCACCTTAATAGTTTGAAAGTTTTTCTTCAAATAAAACACAAAAAACAGAAGATGACAAGACACAGCTGTATTAATGTATTATTGGTAGCTGGGAAATGAAGCACTGTGGCCAGCTATTTTACCAGAGGTCTCATGTTACAAGGACAGTATACAAGGGATTTCTGACCCTCTGTTAACTTTCTGGACCACTACATATCCTGAAAACTTTGGAATAGCCAAGTTACCTAGAAGGTTTAAAAGGGTGGGTTAGATGGATGCACAGATGGTGTGAATGGCTATCAGCTAGAATAACTAGCTGGAAATTTCCATGATCATAGATAAGGTGCCTCTAAATTAACAGATGTTGGAGAAAAGGAACAGAGAAAAGCCGTGCCTGTGATCCTTCCAGCAGTATCTACCTGGTCACTATGGGTAATAGAAATAAATGAACTTTTATTTAATCCTTTAAGGCAGTTTTCATAACCTTGTGAATTGAGGTCTCTACTAAGCTTTGCTTTGCTTTGCATATATAAAAATGTGCTTCCTGCCCAGGATTCTATGTGTTGTGTTGTACAGATAGAGCTTCTCTTGTCCGCTCTATTGAGGAGAATCAGAACGCCCACTCCAAGCATGTGTGCAGCAAATAATTGTGCTCAGAGAGGAGCAACACTCAGAGAAACTATGTTGTGTACTTTGAAAATTATTTAAGGATTCAGAACGCATACATGTGAGCAGGACTGGCCCACCTTTTTGCCTGAGGTGGAACATCAAGTACCCACACCCCCAAAAAGCTGAGGTGCATACACGAGGCAGGCAGGTTATTTTGGCATTTGAGGCAGAAAATCCCACAAATGTTTATCTGCTGGAATAAAATGGCAACTTTTGCAACACCCAGAAACTTCTGCCTGAGGCAACCACTTTGCTTAATGGTTGGTGGCATGTGAGACCACTTCATTCATTCATTCATTCATTCATATATATAATACAAGGTTAATGCAAGTGTTGGGGAAACTGTATAAAGCAGCCATCTAAATTACTAAGGGGGAAGGTGTCCATCCCCTCCCAGCTCACATGCAAGTGGTATTTTAGTAACATAATGCACAGAACAAACTATAGGAGCTGAACGTGGGGTTTTTTTGGGGGGGTGGGATACAGTTTAATAGAGAGTTGGAGGTACTCCCATGCAACCCTTACAGCTTGGGTCTCTGGTATGCACAGAGCTATGATAAAGAGCCTACAGGCCTTGTGTGCTGTTTCTCCCCAAAGTACTATGAACTTTAATACCAGGAAATAAAGCTGCATGCTTGGCGCCCAAAGGGACAGCACAGAACTATGGAAGCTATTGGCAGGAGCAGTTAGCTGCCATAGTACTTGCCCAGGGGAAATGGTTAGTTGCCCCTTGTGAACAGGTAAATATCAAACTACAGGACGGGTGTAAAAATACACAGGTGGTTGCATGAGTGCAGTGGGCATATGTGTTGGGAAGCCAGGTTGTCTGCACATGCGATAGTGTTCTGATGTGTTGTAGTTGTACTACTACTAATTTACCGCACTTTAAATTTAAGCATCTCGCACAACCCTGGTCCAGCCTCTCTTTACTAGGCCACATTGGTTTTCACCCCCCACAGTGAAATAGCACATGCTACTTTTTAATGCAGCTTTTCTAACCTGAATGCTTATCTCCCCGTCAAGGGGGGAAATAACATGAAGTGGCCTTGAAAGAGAGAGGCGACTGAGAATTTCAATTACCATTTACAGGAAAAAATGCAGAGCAAGCCACCTACCTCTCCAGGCCAGAGACTCTGTACCTCCCTTCTTCAGGAGAATAAATGCCTTGCTCCATTGATACAAGGGCAAGGCTACTAAATAGCATTTTACAAGTTGCTTTCAGTCCAGCTTCAGCACTTTAGAGGAACAGAGGAAGGGAAAGATACCTTATTCTGAAGTGTCCTCAAAGCCTGTTGCAAATGCAACAGAAGCCCAGACACCATGGCCTTAAGGTGAAATTCATTCACTATCTTTTCTCTCTTCATTCAGACCTTTCTTGAAGCTACAGGTTTTTCAGAGTCCATTTATTTCTCACCAATTGGATTTGAGGTATTGCTACTCAGGCAGACATCTGAATCCTCTCTCTTCCATGCGGCTGGAGGCAAAATAAGTCTATAGCCACAAGTGATATCTATTTCCTCTTTTTCAGTAACTGGAACAAAGGAGCACAGCTGCAGCATTAAATCTGTGGAAGAGTTCAGTTTTCATGCGTTTTGAGGGTGAAGGCATATAACATTTTTAGAGTGGAGAGGCCATATTCAATTTAAACATATATTTTCCTCTTTTGGGCAAATGTTTAAAAACCAGTTCCATAAAACCGCAGTGTTAGATTTGTTAGAAAAGCCAGCTGCGTTGTGCAGGTTGGCAAGTGCCGGTGGCCTGATCATTGCACATATGTGCACATCAATCCTCACAGCAGTTTTGCATCTTTATTGCATGTTTACATTTTTAATAAGTTGAGGAAGAATGACTAAATGTATATGTGCCACTTTAAAATAAAAATAAAAATGCATAGTGTACCTGAAGCAGAATGAGAGGGTCAAAACTGATGATCAAGACTTCACCCTCTATTTCTTATATATACTTGGAGTCCAGTGATATTGCATATCCCTGTGTAATGCGCACATAATAGCTAGAAACTAGAAGTCATTCAGTAAAAAAGAAAAAAAACACCTGTTTCCGGCTTTCACCCACCTTTATTTTCTTTTCTGCAGAGTAAAAAAGAGTCATAAACAAGCTCTCTCCGCCAATTGGGCATCACGCAAAATAATTGTGTTCTGATGTATACATACAGCAGAAGCTGTTCCGAATCTCATTGTTGGCATTGCCTGTTTTGTTTTCTTTCCAGTACCAGGGTCTAGTTATTAAAAGAAAATGCCTCCAGTGCAATTTAAAGTGGCAAAGGGTGGTGTGGCAGAACTACCGTATGTCTCTCACTAAAACATAGCACAGCAATGTAATACAGTTTCTAATGTGGCACGACTCTGCTGAGTGGAAGGTAATGAATGAGAACAATTTTTATTAAATGATGTAGAGAGGCAATTACATACTGCTTAAGATCGCACACTGCTGGGGTGGGGCAGAGGTGGGTTGTCCCAAGTGTGTCCTAATGGTCTTTATATCCTTGGAGAGTGGGGCCTTCTCAGAACACCTCTTACAGAAACTTAAAGCACTTATCAGTGTTGGGGAAACTGTTTTACCCCTACTTGTGTCAAAAACATGAAATAAAAATAAAATCTGACCTTTTTTTCCACCATATTGTGGTTTGCTGTTTTCCATATTTCTTTTCTACACGTATAATAAGAAGCTACTGACTTGAAGTAACTTCATTCTGCATACACATGAAATTATGCATACACATGAGTGCCTGGAGGCGGTTGGAGGATTGAATCCTGACAAGACAGTACTGTTCTTGGGAAATGGGGCGGGTGGGTGTGGGGGACTCCCTGGTCCTGAATGGGGCAACTGTGCCCCTGAAGGACCAGCTGCGCAGCCTGGGAGTCATTCTGGACTTACAGTTGTCCATGGAGGTGCAGGTCAATTATGTGTCCAGGGCAGCTGTCTACCAGCTCCACCTGGTATGCAGGCTGAGCCCCTACCTGCCCGCAAACTATCTCATCAGAGTAGTTTCATGCCCTGGTTATCTACCGCTTGGACTACTGCAATGCACTCTATGTGGGGCTACCTTTGAAGGTGATCCGGAAACTACAACTAATCCAGAATGTGGCAGCTAGACTGGTGATTGGGAGTGGCCGCTGAGACCACATAACACTGGTCCTGAAAGACCTACATTGGCTCCCAGTACGTTTCTGGGCACAATCCAAAGTGTCGGTGCTGACCTAAGCCCTAAATGGCCTCGGTCCAGTATACCTGAAGGACCGTCTCCACCCCTATCATTTTGCCCGGACGCTGAGGTCCATCGCTGAGGTCCATCTGGCAGTTCCCTTACTGCGAGAAGCCAAGTTACAAGGAACCAGGCAGAGGGCCTTCTCGGTAGTGGCGCCTGCCCTGTGGAATGCCCTCCCATCATATGTCAAAGAAATAAACAACTATCCGACTTTTAGAAGACATCTGAAGGCAGCCCTGTTTAGGGAAGCTTTTAATACTGGATGAATCATTGTATTTTAATATTCTGCTTGAAGCCGCCCAGATGGGCAGGGTATTAATATTATTATTATTATTATTATTATTATTATTAATATTAATATTAATATATTATTATTATTATTATTATTATTATTATTATTATTACACTCTGTGCTGTAGAGTGGAGAGTACTGCATGACCAATGTACAGCAGGATCCTATGAATGTTTGGAAGTCCCACTGAGATAAATTTATTATTATTTACAACAGCCGATGTAACAAAACAAAAAAAAAAGGAGAAGTCGATGGAATAAATTGCTACAACACACAGGAATAAGAATGTGAGGACTCACTGGACACAGGTAACAATATCGTTATGAGTGTAAATGTCACATTGTAGAGATTATTATTTCAAGAAGAATGGAGATTCTGGCTGCCAAGTTGGGGTTATAGTAGAGTCTGGAGCCCATCTAGTTCAAGTCGCCAAACTATGTCCATTGTGTAAATAGGCAATCACAGATCATATGCCACAGGCAGAGCTTTTATATAATGATGCTTTTCAATTATGTCCGTTGTCAAGTGCACAGTAATCAAATACGATCCAGCCTACTGGCCACCCAGTTCCCTTTGGGTTGTACTCTCGACACAGCTCATGCCCAAGGTGATGGAAGAGCAGCACTGGTCCACAGAATCATCTTGCACTTGAAGTGGGTTTCCATGGCATTACATTGAGATTCATTGTAAAACCAACATTGCCTGCAGTATTTAGAAATGGATCTGTTTTCAGTCCTGCATTACAGTACAAACAAGAGAGGTAGATGTTTGTGTATGAGAGACAGACTGACAGAATACATCATTAAGGCATTCGCAGCCCATTAGCTAGATAGAGAAAAACTGTTGCTGTGCCAGTCAAGACTGTGAGATCTTTTATTAGATTCCCTTTTAAAAAAAAAAAAAAAGCAACTGCCATTCAAATGTGCTCAGAACTGAAAATGAAGTAAATGGATACCGCAAATTCATGATGTGGTTCTTGTTGCCTTGGAAAGCACAACCCCAATGTCACCTTCTCCCTTTGCACAATCCTGTTAGACATCTTCCCCTGCATTATATCCAGCCGCCATAAAACAGGATTTGGGGGATATTTTCTCAACATCAAAAGCAGGAATGCAAGAGTCTGTACGCTGCAGTGCAAAGAGTGGTCCCTTGCTTGAATGGTCCCCCATTCTAAGGACTCAGCCTCTAAAGATTAAAGGGGGGGAGAATGTATATGGAATAGTCAAGTCCTGGTGTGGCAGGAGAGGAATTGTTTTGCTAATCTACGCAGCTATAGTTACTCAACAGTGTGGGAATGAATCACATTTTCTAGCTGCATGCCTAAGGCGTTGCTTCTGCTAATAGACACATTAGTCTGATGTAGGTATGTGGAACCTTTGACCCTTTGGGTGTTGCTGAGCTACAATTTCCATCCCTGGCCATTGACCATGCTTGCTGGGACTGGTGGAAATTGTGGTTCAACAACATCTGGAAAGTGAAAATTTCCATATACCTGGTCTAAGGTCCCAGGGTGCGGTCTGAAGATAGTTAAATTTCTATACCAGCCTTCATCCAAAGATCACAGGGTGGCTTGCAATATAAAAACACAAAAATATATAGCATAGTAACAAACAAAAATCGTAAACATCCCTCCCTCCACCACAGTTTTAAAGGCAATAGATTGTTTAAATAGCCAAAGGCCTGGGAGAAATGTTTTTGCCTGACACCTGAAGATAGGTAACAAAGGTGTCAGGTGAGTCTACCTGGGGAGAATATTCCACAAGCAGGGAGCCACTGCAAAAAGGCCTGTTCTTGTGCTGCCACCCTCCAAGGGTCTCACATGATGATCACAAGCCCCAGGTTGGTTCATATGGGGAGAGGCAGTCCTTGGGGCATTGTGATCTGGAGTCACTTAAGATACATGTGGAAACCAAAGGGAACCAGACCTGGCTGCACTGTCAGTGGAGCTTCCCAGTGCTCAAGTAGGTGTTGTGTGAAGGAAGTGTCCACCCGAAACATTAAGGCAGCACATGGGCAAAGTTCAGAATGAAATTGTAAGTATAACATTGTTCTAAGCTGGAAGGACAGAAAACAACTGCTCTGCCATTGTACAGAAGGGACTTTGGTTCTTCAGCTTTCCCCCCTCACCTCTGCCCACACACCACCAAATTCCTTGTAGGCAGCTGAAGTTGATGGTAGTAAACTGCCACCTAGTGGGATAAAGATGCAACTATTTGTGGAAAAAGACCAAAAGCTGGCTGCTGTAAATTAATTCCATGGAAGGAGAGAAGTTGGAAGATGCACATAACTATATCTCGGCATCTTCACCCAAGATCCAGAGGGAGGTGATGAGAACAAGGCTGTGAATCACAGTTGTGATAAATGGTTCGTGCAGATGGGGCACTGCTCCACCAATCTCCGTCTGCCAGTTCTGTGCCCAGATTTCTTCTAAAGCTTGGGAATGGAGTGGCACTCTGTATATGGTTAGATTCCAACTCCCAACAGCCCCAGCCATCGTGTCCCAAGTCAAGGATTATGAGAGCTGTAGTTCAGCAACATCTAGAAGGCCACAAGTTCCACATCCCTGCCCCAAAGAATCCTGGGACTAGTAGTTTGGGGATATGGCTGGGAGGGAGGGCTATCACACACACACACACACACACACACACACACACACACCCCACATTCCCTCACAAAGCTCCATCATGGACTTGCCTTGGGAGAAGTGACTCTGAAACTAGTTTAACTCTGGTATCTATCTATCCTAGAATGATAGAGTTTGAAACTGTTTGTTTTCAGTAACAAGCACTGTGATATCTATCCCACTGATAGGAAATACATATATATTTTTGTCATAAACTTTCTCGCTGTACTAGGTTAACTATGGATATGTTCACATTTTCACCCTAAAGTGTACTGAAGTCAGCCCCCCCCCCCCCCGTTGTGCTTTGAAACCCCTCGCCTTAAAATTTGTTGGAATCTCCGTTCGACCGAGCCACTCCTCCGGTCGAGTCTCCGAAATCTCCTCCGATGGTGATTAATGATCTAAGCCTTTGATGAGGCTTCAGGCACGTTCCCATTACGCAGGGTATCCAAGCAGCAGCAGAAGGAGCCGAAATATGTGCTACATCGCTACGTTTTATTGCTAACTACGCAGGACAGAAAAGAATATGCATCTGCTCTCTGTGAAAGGCAGAGAACAACTGGAACAAAGAAACAGGAAACCAGTAACATCAACATCCGTCTCCCGTCTCCCATGAGACTTCCAACAGTCTGGAATATAAACAGAGTCTTGTGACTCCAAGCACTGCACAGTGGCATGATAGAAAACTAACAAAATGTTGGTGAACTACGGGGTTCTCCATTGCTCTGATTCATTTCAATATGTGTTCATGCCAGTGGGGTTTTAAAGGGCAGTACTCTTCTTAGCCCATTTGTAGTTCTCCAATTCCAACAAAACACCCCTTTTGGAAGACTCGGTGGGTGGGGTTTTACCAGAGCTCTTCCTCCATCTGCAGTCAAATTATCCAGTGATGCTGGAGGTTGAGGGAATTCCACTGTAAGGAGCAACTTTCTCTTGTCTGGTTGAGTCATCTGGCTTTATGATGCACTGACTCCGTGCCTGACATGCTGTCATCTGGATTGTGTGAGAGCTGATGTGTGGAAGATCTGGCCTTCATAGCACAGAGTTAGGCAATGTTTTCCAAATCCTGTGAACTGGAATGGAAAACACCCTGGTGGCATTTGATAAATAACACACAGCAGTATTTAGCATTTGACAGCTGACAGTTTTTTGAGATTTCATAAGAGAACCTTATGAAAATAAGGAGATGTCAAGTCCAATGCATTTGAACTATAAGGTACAAATTCCATTTGCAAAATATGAAATTGGCATTCTGTATTTCTCATTTATAATTTGGGAGAAAATGGCAATTTGGGGGAGTATTAATACTTGTGAATGTTTCGGCTCTACCCATCATCTTCAAAACTGGGTAAGCTTGTTGAGCAGAGAGTCTGTTTATTACCTAGCTATTCTAGAGCAGCAGGTCAGGATGGAGTTAATGTGTCAGGAAGTTGCAGCACACTGTATAGCCCTTGTTGGTCAGACTGCATCTCTCCTAAGGCGATCAGGGCTGAAATCTTTCACTGGAGAGGCTGAGCGCAGCTCTGCTGAAGCTCTCAGAATAGCTTCCCTAATCTCCAGATGGAGCTACTTCAGCAGAAATGCTTCATCATATAAAGTACACTCTCACCATCACTGAAGAGTCTAAAACAGAGAGATTTGAAAAGAATGGAGGGAAAGGTTCTAGTCTTCCTTGGGAAGAGAGCCTAGCAAGCAGATTTCCTTTTCAGTTGGGAGACATGGCTAATAAGCCTGTTTTCTGCTAGGCAAATATAAACAGAGGCTGCTTTTGCATGAGGATCTTCAGTGCTGCTGAGGAACAACATTTCTACAACTGGCTGTACATGCCATTAGAATGCAAATTATTGTGTTGTGTTGTGTTCTATTGTATTGTATTGCATTTATTTATTGCATTTATACCCCACCTTTTTCTCCAAGGAGATCAAGGTGGTGTGCATGGTCCTCCCCCTCCTCATTAAATTCCCACAACAACCCTGTGAGGTAGGTTAGGCTGAGAGGCAGTGACTGGCCTACGTTTCATGACCAAGTGGGGATTTTAACCCTGGTCTCCCAGGGCCTAGTCCAACACTCTAACCTGGTAAATGGTGGAGACAGGGAGAAAGGTTTGGTTTCAAGACTCATTCAGTCTTATATAAATAGATAAGAGGCTCTGTAGATGATTTATGAAAAGCATGGGAAACAGATTAAAGCATACAAACTGAAGAATAGTTCTAGGCGGGTATGGGGAAGCTTGCCTGGCATCTTCGCTACATAGCTTGCGGTGTCAGGCAAAAACATTCCTCTTCTCCCAGGCTTTGGCTAATAAAGCAATCTATGGCATTTCAAATTCCCATCTACATCTGTTTTGGCCAGTAATAGAGAATCTTAATCACTGTCAATTCTGGATCAAGATGGAGACAGAATAAAATTGCAGAGCTTTGAAACTGTAGTTTACCCCCTCACAGAGCTACAATTCCCAGCACCCTTAACTAAAGTTCCCAGGATTCTTTGGGGGGAAGTCATATGTCTTAAACGTATGGTGTGTATACAGTTTTGCTATGGAGAGATGCAACTGAAAAGCTGAGAGCCAGTGTGGTGTAGTGGTTAAGAGCAGTGGACTCGTAATCTGGGGAACCGGGTTCGCACCCCTGCTCCTCCACATGCAGCTGCTGGGTGACCTTGGGCCAGTCACACTTCTCTAAAGTCTCTCAGCCCCACTCACCTCACAGACTGTTTGTTGTGGGGGAGGAAGGGAAAGGAGAATGTTAGCCGCTTTGAGACTCCTTCAGGTAGTGATAAAGCGGGATATCAAATCCAAACTCTTCTTCTTCTTCTTCTTCTTCTTCTTCTTCTTCTTCTTCTTCTTCTTCTTTTTCCTAGGCTGTGAACAGGGGGTGGGGGTGGGGCGGGGAGACTCTGGCACACAGGCATGCAAAGTTCCATCCTGGATCTATGGTTTCACACATTTTGCACCAGTCCTTGGCAAGGCAGACACAGTGTTGCATAGTTACAATAATCTTCCCATGGCCCTGTTTAAATGAATTACAGTGACAGATGTTCCATTCTACAGATCTCCCAGGAGGCCTGGCTGGCAGTCCATCAGCCCCTGAAATCCTATTACCTAGTTTGAAGAAATAAAAAAGTTAATCATCTCCTCTGCTTCCCAGCTCCCTCTCATCACCTGCTTCACGGAGGCATTGCTAACTTCTCTCTCGGTTGCCCAAGAAGCCCATGCTGAAGTTATATGCCGCTGCACAGTGTATACAAACCAAGGATTTAATTTCGAACTGTGGGGGGAGATACTCAGAACAAAGTGCTAGAGGTGCCTTGCAAGGACAGGGCGATGGGAAAGGCAAAGGAGAGCACCCACAGGCTGGCTGCATTGAAGTCTTCCATTTGATTTTCACAGCAAACAGCTTCTTGTACAGATTTCTTTGATCAAGGCAGCACCAGGGAAGGAAAGAGGAAGGAGCAGTCTTTCCATAGGTCTGCAAGAGAAGTGGCTTTGAATCCCAGGTCTGCATTCCTGCTCTCTCCTGGACCAAGGACCTCTGAAATAAATTAGAGAGACTGGCTGCTAGCAATGCCCCTTCAGTCAGACATCCTCCGTGAGGTGTGGACATCAGATGGGTAAGTACAAGGACCCTCCACCCTTAGGTGTGGGTAGATAGTTGCTAGGGACGACTCCTAGCAACCTGAGCAGGAAGTGAGAAGGGGCCGTATTTTATCAGTTCCTTCAGTGCAGGCTCCAGGGTGTTTATTTTGTGGGGGCGGGCGGGTAGGCTTAAGTAAGATGCTCCCACTCATCCCTGCTCTCAAGTGGGCTCACCACCTCCTCCTCCTCAGCACCGTCACTGCCATGCATTTGCTTGGCCTCTTCCACTGGGCTCCATCCACACAATTCCCCAGAGGGCAAGTGCAAGGCTAGTGGAGGATATTGCTCAGTCACTGCTTGCATGCTCAGAGGACATGGGAGAACAGGCAAGGGCAGAAAGAAGGAGAAGGAAGAGCAGGGTTGGGAAGTTTCAGGGATCAGTCATGAGTCCCTTTCAGGGCCATGAACCTCAGCAGGCGCCCAGTGAATGTCTAAGGTTCTTCTGACCTCACCATGGTAGGCATGGTGGGGAAGCTCTTAGTGCGGGGTGATATATTCTGTTCTAGGGCAGACAAAGAAGATCATAATTTTTTTAAAAAAGATGAATCTGCTGGAGGGGAGGAAGAACATACATATTTTCTGTAAGCTGGACACCTTCACTAGGAACACAATCAGCTTTCTGGCACATTGGGACCAAGTGGGTTAGATGTCCTATGGTAGTCACATGGAAATGTTGCATCAATCTCTGGCCTGAATATAAATCTAATGAACAAAAACCACTTTAAGCCTCTGTGTTTGAAAACATTCTTAGCTCTTAGCTCTTGAATTGTAATGAGATTTTAGAAATACGATATTATTATCCTTGCCGAAGAAGAGTTAGGCAAATTAAGAAAAATGAAATGTGGATCTAATTAATTGAGTCATTTGTTTTGATCTTAGGTTATACAAAGCAATGATCGCTGTAAAGGAAAAATTTAGCATTGTACATTATAGTTGATTGAATTTTACATTAAATTATGTTGTGGAATATGTTGTACTTTAAAGAGGCATAATCTGAATCCTGGAATACTGTTCATTAGGGGAGGGGGTTGATTTATCCTTTAATCAGTATTTGTTCCGTCATACAGTTTGGTATGAAATATATATGCATCACCTCCTGCAGCTTAAATTCCATTTAATTTATAGGTACTAAGGGAATATAGCAGAGCCAAAACAAAAATGAAAGTTCATCCCAGTGTTCTGTTCTTTGAATTGCAAGGCCCTGCCCCTTTGGCTCTCATTGGATCCAGTTAATGTTATTATTTTATTAATTTATTAATCCCCTTTCATGTGAATCTCATGGCAATTTACAAATGCACCATAAAAACAATTAAAAGTACTATTCAAAACAGTACAGAAATATAGCTAACAATAGGCTCCCGCAACCAAAATCCATCTAAAAGATAGGCTACTGCTTATAAGTTGTTTGGGACAGTTGGAAATTTGTCTCTAATTTTTAGGAGTTACATGCATCTATAAAACATCAAATAACTCAAAGAGCCATTCAGAATGATATTGCATTTATTGGTACTTCCCAGCTGTCTTTGTTACATGTCCATTAAATACCAAGGCTACTGCTTGGAGAAATATCTAACCTACCTTTAGGCCATAGCAATACTCAGAGGACATTTACTAAGCTGAGTCATGAAACAATGTAATGTAGGGTTTTAGATGGGTTTTACACAAAAACTGCCCCCACCCCTGCACCAGAAAGTGCTGAATTTGTGGTGAGCAATATAATGAAAACTAACCACATTCTATGCTGTCCTGACATCTTCACAAAGCTCCAATAAATTGTCTTGAGATGCTTCTATATTAAATTTAATGTTGGGGTGCATGACAAAATATTACTTTTTTATTGAATAGTGCAGGTATGTAAATAGCTAAAAAGGTGACTGGTCAGACCAAGAAATTGGGTATTTTGTGAAGGGGGTAACTTTTAAATATGCAGTGGTGGTAAGAGAGTGAGGAAGACCCTGATGGGCATCTCATCTCAACCATGAACCCATCTGGTCACTCAGGCGAGGCACAAGCTCTCAGCCTGAACCTCCCCCTGCCACCATCTTGTCTGCTAATCTACCTAGGGCAAACATGGGGAACCTGTGACCCTCCAGAAGTTTACCAGTATTTATCAGTCGACTACCAGTAAATCCCACTACAATTCCCATCATCCACATGCTTGCTGGAGCAGATGGATGTTCATCAACATCCAGAGGGCCACAGGTTCCCCATCCCAGACCTACAGGGCTGATGAAAGGATTCGGACAAGTCAATGGGTGTGAAGCTCTTTAGAGCATGATATAAATGCTAAGTATTATTAGTGTGATGGGTTTCAACCCCATCCTAGAAATCTCTATTGTTACTGGCATTTGTTGTGATTCACAGGGATGCCCACCACCAAGAAGGTGTGGTGGCCCAAGCAAGGGGAGGTCAGAGGTTTATGGTTTCAAAGGCGCCAGCACCTTGGAGGGAGTCCAAGGTGTGGGTTCAGGACCATGGAGAGTGCTCATGCAGCTGAAGCCAAAGATCCAAGTTGCCTTAGCAAAGTCCTGGTTTTATAATGAGGCTAGGCCACCATTAACAGGATGCCCCATCCACTGAGGGCTGCCTTCCAGCTAGTTATAGGGCAACTGCCTTCTGCTCTAGCTATTGGCTTGTTTGGGGTAATGAGATTTCTCTGGTGGGCATCTCTCTTCAGGGCTCTCTTGACATCCCAAGGAGTCAGACCACTAGCCATCATAGTCCAGTGACAGGGGTGGCTCCTCCAGGAAGCTCTGGTGTCTACAAACCCACATGGGACAGTCTAGGAACTAGAACTATCTCCTATTCAGAGCTGCAATTGCACTGTCTTTGAGGAGCTGTGTTGAAGAACCATCATATCAGTCATGTGGAAAATACAAAAAAACTTGTGGGCATGAGTAGCACTGATTCCACAATAAAATCCCTTCTGGAAGCACCTGTGAATTTCTGGAAGCACCATAGATAAGCTATAATGCCACCTGCTGACACGAGAAAGGATCACACATAGTTTCTGGGCACCATGGCTGTGCTCAGGCTCATTTAATTATTGGAGGATATCATAACATGGCTAGGAATTCCTCCATAAATATGTTCAGGTAATAACCTAAAGTAAGCCTGCCTAATACCTCATATTTGCTTTCCCTGTCTTCCTCTCCATCTTCCCTCAGTGCAAGTGAGGAACCTGGGAGCCCTCAGCAGCAGAGACTTAATAAGCAGGTAGGAAAATCTGTCCCACCCACCCTTATTACCTGGTTTCTTTTCTAGGCTGCAATGTGTCTGTCTAAGCTCTGGCTTCTCTTTGGGGCTCCTATTACAGCAGCGGCTAATGTTAGTTGTTTGAGCCGGTGTGTGAGATCCTGTCCATGTCTAGCAATGAACTGAAGTGATGCTTCATTTCTTCTGAGCAACTGATGATTTTGAAAAAAAATAATTGAGAAAGGTGGTTGCTAAATAATACACCATTGTGCAAAGTAATTGAAACAAACAATGGATTTAGTAGTTTATTGTACAAAACTCACATATATGTACATTAGTAACGGATATGACCTCTGATATTTTTAAGCAGCATTTGAACATGGTTTGGCATGGAGTCTGCTAGTTTCGAACAGTCCCTGTTGATTTTCGGGTCCCTGTACCACACTTGAATCAGCGCCTGAATGAGCTTCTCCATAGTCATACAGTCTACAGCAAGGAGGTGACTTTTGCATATAGCCCACAAATTCTCAATGGGATTTACGTCTGGGGAATTCCCTGGTCAATCAAGTACCTGTATTTGCTGCTCTGTCATGAATTTCTTCACCACTTTTGATGTGTGACAGGGGGCTAGGTCCTGCTGCAATATCCCAGTACCGTCAGGGATATCTTTTCCAGCTCTGGAATAACTCTCTTTAGTAGAACCTCAATATATTGTGGCGAGCGCATCATTCCTTCTATTGGCTGCAGGCTTCTGACACCATAATGACCAACTGACTTTTCGTGTTTATTTTGAGTACAGCATTACGAGTAAGATAGAAAATATGCTTTGTTTCAATTAATTTGCACAAGGGTGTAGCAAAGGTGAGGTCCCTGGACCTAATTATTACCATGAAGCTGGACAAAGGTGCAGGAAATTTCTGCAGCTCATACTTCAAGAGGGTATATGGTGCAAGAAATTCCTCAAAGCATATTTCAGTGAAGACTGGTTTATCTCAAAAACATCATTTTGAATGTGCTTGAAGAATGTGGGTCCAGTGGGGTCACAGTAACCAAGCCCAAAACTTTGTTTCTTACATTTGTACTGCACACTTCCTCCAAAAGAGCTCGGGGCAACAGATACACAGGAGGTTGTCCTATTTTATCTTTACAACAGCCCTGTGAGCCTTATGCTGAGGGATAGTGACTAGCTCAAGGACATTCGGTAATCTTCTTGGCTAAAGTGGGCATTTGAACCCACATCTCTCCAGTACAGATCTCTATTCATCACCCCACAGTGACTCCACTGTAGAAACATCTAGTCCAGGTCAGATCTTGGACCATGTCCTGTTTCCTCCTTGTTTAGGCATAGGGTTGGATGAGCCAGTCTGAGCCAATGAAATAATTTGTTTACCAATAGTGTGGCACAAGAAGACCATAGGTGTCTCCAGGCGCTAGGTTGCAGCTTTGCATTAGCACCTTTCTTGCACAAGATACATGACTTCCCGTTTGATCAATCATATATATAGCCCTTGATAAATGGGATTAGATGCAGGGCACCTAATCTGATCCATCTGCTTCTTCCTCTGCACCGTTGCTCCGAGTGACCTCAATCTCAGAAGAACAGAGTTGTTGTTACAGGCTATTTATGAGCACCTTTTGGCTCACGATATTCATTCTATACTGCCAGTGTTTCATAGGTAAACACAGCCATATTTGTCATGGTCTTCTTACTCTCTGTGTGAGACGGTATACTGGTGAGCTGTCCACTGATGCCTCAAATGCAATATATTGTTCAGGACACCCACATTTAGGCACATGTATGTATATGCATCTGACTGTGCAGATTAGTTGAGGTCTAGGGTAGTTTTAATCCTTCCCCCTAATTCTGATGTGCGGGCAGTGAGTGCCATTGTTTATGTAGCTAGAATGTGACCACTCATACTAAAAAAGGAAGGTATCAACAGGCTTGGAAGTGGGGGAATCAAGGTTTGAAGAAGGATTGTTTTTATATATATCTCCAGTGGGGGGAAGTGATACACAAAACAGCCCAATGAGGACTGAGCATGCTCAGTGGCCATGGAATGCTGACCGATTCCTGGACCAGGAAGCAGAATACTGAGTGGGAAAGGAACATTCTCAACAAAAGCACTCCACATATTGTGTGTCTGCCCCTTATGCCCTTTCTGGAAGCCAATATGAAAGTTTAAAGCTGCTGAGGCTCTAAGATGATTCTTTTAAATAAGAGGCAGCTGAAAATACTGAGACACACAAGCCTTTAGTTGACATAAGGAAAGAAGGTGGGACATATCACTCTCCACTCGCGTATACTTGTGCCTTCCTTTTATTACACAACAAGCGGGAGCTGCAACAAAATGTTGCAACGTGGAGTGTTCCTGTCAAGGACATTACACACACACACACACACACACACAGAGAGAGAGAGAGAGAGAGAGAGAGAGAGAGAGATGCCCATTCCTTACAAAAGGTCTTCTAGTATCAGTCTTTGTTTCTTTGTCTAATGGTCAGTGTTCTGTACAATGCAAATCCCTATAGGGCTTTAGTTACCTAAGCATTTCCATAAGCAGATGAATCGGTGGCCAGTTCAGGCAGAGTTAAACATCTTCCAACATTTAAAGGAAATGTGAAAATGCTCCCAAGGTAGACTGAAGGAATGGATCACTATACACAAGCTCTCATTAAGCCCCTTAGAAAGAAAATAATGCACATTGCAATCCCTCCCTAGTGGCTTTAAAACATTTATTTTCTTTGAACCTAGATATACTAGCTATTTCCAGCTACAGTCCAATTTTAAAAAATAAATGAATAAAACAAAAATGAGTAAATATGCTTCCCCTCAGCCTGCTGGGACAGGATTGAACCTAGAATATTGTATTTGGAAGGAAGTCACTCTCCCCATTAATGCAACACAGAGAGGGAAATTATGACCTTTCAGATGTTGAGTTAGAAGCTCATATTGTAACAATGCTGAGATAAATTATATCTACATATGCCAAGAGTTCTCCATATTGGAGTGCAATATTTTCTCAGTAGCAGTATTCCTTTTTTAACCTGACCAAGTTAATAAACATGTTCTTATTTGTTTCCCTGTTTGCCATCAATTGGGGACCTGGTTGGTAAGTTGTGTTATTCTTGTTATTATTGCTGTTGTTATTTTTATTGGGGTGCTTTGAATATAACCTTCTATCGTCTGTCAGTCTTCTGCTTTATATTTTGTTTGCTCTGCATTTGGGCACCTCTTAAGATAACTCAACAAAATTTGGCATCATGGTACCTGAGAGCACATTTTTATCTACGTTTGGATACAATTCGATTCCATTTTGAATCAAGATGGTGAGCTAAATCTTTCAAAACTGCACTCTTTTTTTAAAAAAAAAATCTTAGGATTCCCAAGCAGTGCCAGGTACAAGGCTGTAGTACTTAATAAACTGTTTTTTAAAAAACACATAAATAACCCTTATAATGAGATTAGTGTTGTATGAACTCTGCTTGTCAAGTTTAAGAAGGCATATTTTATTGCAATTTAAGCTTTTCTCTGCACTGGAAGAAGGTCAAGGTTTTATCCACCACCACTGCAAAATAAAAGTCTTCAGTAGACTATTTTTGTGTAGGTGAGGAGACACTACAGATGTTACCTCTGTGAGGAGCATTCCGGCACAGCTTCTGGCTTAAATTAGTAACATGGTTCTGCTCTTGCTATGTTGTTTATATGTGAGAAGCTGAGGTAAATGTTCTCATGTTTTCTCTCTCCCTTCAACTTCACATTCTGTCAACTGGAAGTACTGTTACCAAAAACTGGATGTCAAATGTTAACTATGAATCTTGGCTATTGAATATTCAGTGGATATTTTACTTCAGAAGTCACAGTAGAGTATTTAGGCAGCAATCCTATGCTCACTTCCTTTGGGAGCAAGCCCTGTTGGATTCAATAACTTCTAAGTAAACAAGTATAGTAATGTGATGTTAGTGAAGTAACTTCTCTCAAAACTCTAATAACCATTACCTCAGAGAGGTGATATGTTGGTTTATTATTGTTTCTGAAGTGGTGAGGTCCATGTAAAAACCCTTGACACAGAAGGACTGGGCATTAGCACAGCAAGGTGTCTAAGAATGCAGCCACACCAGTTGCTAATGGTGGTATTAAAAAAAAATCCTTCATGAAGATTAGCCACCATATCTTTTTGAGTTAAATAGTTCTTCAGCAGTTCCACAGTGAACCATTCCTACTTTTCTGCACCACTCATAAATCAGTACCTTACTCCCTTCTACAAAAACATTGTCATGGTGCTGCCATTTAAGAATTTCAGGAAACTAGTAGCTAGTTCATATGGTTCTTTGTGTCTCTTCAACTGACAATAATATGTCATGGTGTGACTAGGTTCAGAGGTCTCCTCAGACTGCATTCAGACACACTGGCGCAACAACTGCACTCCTCCCAGCTGTCTGGATATCATGACTTAAGTACACATCAGTGGGTTGCTGTTTTTAGTTGCAATTTTGTTAAAACTCCCAATAACCATTACCTCAGAGAGGTGTTGTATGTACTGGCAGCTGGATAGAGGACACCACACCAACAACTGGTGCATATGGCAATATTGACTTTAACCTTGCAGTTTTCTGGGAAATCTCCACACACTATTTCAGCATACGCATTTGCATTTTCTGCAACATATTTAGAGAGCAATACACATTCATCACCCTATGGCAAAAATTCCAGATGACTCAACAGAGCTGAGTAGCACCTTTCCTTATTCGCTTTTTTACCACTACATAAACCAGACGGTTTAGTTTCTTCATAGGTATCAGTGAGCCACCTAGTGGTGCTAATTGTGATGCAGCCTAAAATAATTGAGATGGGTGTATTTGACTCTGCCCTATTCATCATTGTTCAGTTGCTGTGTAGTTTCGTCACATTTTCGTTGGTTGCTTGGTTGTGAAATTTAAAACGTGCCCAGAATTATTTGGGTGACAGGAGCAAATTTCTTAACTACAATTATTTTAAAAAATAATTGACTTGAGATAAATGCAAAACAAAGTATTGTTTTCTTTTTTAAAGTCTCCCCCCCCCCCCACTTTTCTCTTCAGTTTAAATCATTATTATTATTTATTGACTTTATATACCGGGTCTCAGGGCAGTTCACAGAATAAAATAAAGATATAAAACCACAAAATACCTAATAAAAATAAAAACAGCAACCCAACCCCCCCCCCCAAAAAAAACATTTTAAAGGGCATAGGATGTAAATCGGATTAACCAAAGGCCTGGTTAAAAAGAGCGTTTTTGCCTGTCGCCTAAAGGTGTATAATGAAGGCACCAGGCGAATTTCCCTGGGGAGAGCATTCCACAGACGGGGAGCCACTTCTAGCCTTGATGGTTATAAGACACCTCACCATGATAATGTGCTTATGGTTTATTCCCTATTTAAAACAAACAAAAAACACCCAGAAGCCACATAAAAAAGACCCTAAATCTCTTTTCGTTTTTACCAACCTTATCATTCTAAAGGCATGATTCATGAGTTTTAAGCATGTGGGATTGGCAGGAGCGGACTGGTTTTGCATACTGGCCGCATGGGGCTTGTCTGTTTATTCTGACACACACCCAGTTACTATCCTGGTGCCTGCAAGGCCCTCCTCAACTAAAGGCTGTGTGTCTCATCTACTCCTCCCTGCATTGTTCAGTTCTGAGTGGGCCTGAGTTACTACATCTTTTCGCGCTTTGCAAATATGAGAGTGCTTTGTTTACTTCACGGTTTTGATTCAGGGCCAACTCAACTCACTTGCTTTTGTAAGCATGTTGCATATGCACACATATTGTGTGGTTGGTTCATGTTCTCACCAGCAGATGCCAAGCTGGAGAAGGGGAAAAAATCCGCACCCAATATAAATTAACCAGCTTAACCATTTTGCTTATTTTCCCTTTCCATTAGCATTTTCACCTTGGGATTATTTTAGTAGCAAAGACTCAAAATGTAAATTGAGTGGCAAGAAAGACATTAAGTTCAGGAATATGTTATGGTAGTCACTTATTGCTGAATGGGGGGGGGGAGGAACAAGATTTGCATTAAAATGGCATGTGCTGATTCGTATATACAGATTCAATTTTAGAAATAATTACCGTAATTTAACTAGAAATGCAGTACATCTCACTACAGTGGGGAAAGACCTGGTGACCTGTGCCCTTTGTTGGCCTACTCTATTGATGGGCAACTTCAAAGCCCCTGCTCTCTCTTATTGTGGGCCTTTAATTTTTTTAAAAAAAATTGGACTTGGCCCAGATAGCTCATCAAATGAAAAAGGTGGACAGTCCCTTAGGAAGGATACTTACTTACAAAGGTGAAGGAATAATAGTCCTGGAGATGTGCATGACCACAGGGAGTCATGCTCAGCCTTCTTTTGGCTTATAAATCAGTGCTGCTCATTTGAATCACCTGAATGTGAGATTGTTTCCAACAGTGCCCCATCCCCACACTTTTCATCAGTTTACTTTGCTGCACAATTTTCTTTCCATTGTAGCCTAATAGCAGGGCAGAGAAGAGCGGTGGGAATAGTAATGCTCTCGGTCCCTCTCCGCTCGCAACATACACAGCCCTCATCCTTTTTATTGGACCGTGGTGGTCGGTACTGGTGGAGCAGAAGGCAGAGAGGTGTAGCCAGAGTCCATGACAGGCAGCCCTGTCCCCTGAATGGTTGTATAATAAGGAAGCAGGCTGAGGTTGGTGGGACAGAGTCCCAATCACCCCTATAGACCAGGCTCCACTGCTACTAGATTTTATTAGAAAGTTCATCTGTTATCCACAGTTCTCCTAAGAAATTGCCTTATACCAGGTCAGACTATTTGGCCATCCTAATGCAGTACTGGCTCTCTGGGGTCCCCAGCAGAGACCTTTCCCTCACCTGGTACCTTTTAATTATAAGATGCCAGGGTTGAACCTTCCACATTCAATGCCTCTGCTTTGCTACAGAGGTCTCTCCACATTCTGGTTACATAGGAGAAGTCCCGCTTCCATTTGAGCATGTTTTGGATCAGTGGTTCAATCAGGGCAGGACTTTGAGGCTGATGTCCAGGGTCCCCAAACGCAGCAGGGCTAGCTTACCACATTTGGTAGGAAGGGCACGCTACTGTCATCTAAAGATGGAGCCTCCGCATAAGTCTAAAATTACTGAACTATGCCACTCTCTCCTGAGTTTACAGGACCTTGGAATTCTTCTCTGTTGCAAAGCTTAGGGCAACAAGATGGTAAAGATTTCAACACACCTGTCAGGTGAACATAAGAACATGAGCAGAGCCAATTGGATGAGGCCAATGGCCCATCTAGTCCAACACCTTGTTCTCATGGTAACCATCAGGGCTTGCTTCCTTCTCTCAAAACTGGGGCCCCTTCCTAACAAGAATGGGGCACAAGTTTATCAAAACAAGATACAGTGCACTGTTTATGGGCTACGCTTGCTGTGTAGGCTTTGGACTACCATTTCCCCAAAAGCCCAAAGCCATTTCCCCAAAGCCTCCCAACCTATTATCAGAGAACAAGGCAGCACGTCACCAGGCTACTCTCAGCAGTTGTCTGGAAGAGGGTCATTTGGGGGGGGTCATTTCAGGAGAGAGATGTTGCATTGGTTTTCACAACCCATGTCCCCTCATGCAGCCTCACCTGCTGGAGCAGAAGCCAAAGAAGAAACGGCAGGAGGCTACTTCACTGGAGGCCAAGCCAAGAAAGACCAGAGTGAAAAAGCAGGAGGAATCAAGCCCTGCGGAAGAGCCAAGTGCCCCCCGACCAGGTAAGGGACACAACCAATGTTCCAGGTATTGTGGTAGATTAGCACAGGAAGCTGCCATATGGTGATCCAGACCACTTGTTCCCATATCTGGCAGTGACTCTCCAAGGCCTTCCCCAAGAGTCTTTCCCAACCATGCTACCAGTTATGAAACCCTATGTATGCAAAGCCTGTGATCTAATACTGAGCAATGGGCTCTCCCCTTTTCAGGTACCTCCCCACAGGATAATATCCTACACCCCGCAGCCAAACCAGAAGTATGGCAGTGTCATCTCAAGCACTGGTACACAAACAAGTTTCATGCCGGCCCTACTGCTGTCTCCATCAGTCAGCAGGCACACAGGAGCTGGCTCAGGTGGCCGCAGTTTTCATGGCTGGGTTGCAAAAGGTGATTTAGGCTGCAACCCTAATACCAGCCGCTGCCCAGAGGGGTTTATGATGGAGCCACATCTACAACCCTACCATGCACAAGTGGCTGGGGCAGAAGCTAATTCTTTTTCCTCCATGTGTTTGTTTTTTCCACTATTTGCTGCTGAGGCGGCCAGAAGTAAACCCCCCGGGAAACAAAGGAGCTGGGGAGAAGTGCTTTTCAGGAAGGAAAGACTGGAATGGGATGAGCTCAGTTTCCTCCTCCCACTAGCTCCTACAATACTTTAAATACCCATTTTGCAGGAATTTGGTATGAGCCCACTTATGCCATGCTCCTGGAGCACCTAGAATCATAGAATCATAGAATCATAGAGTTGGAAGAGACCACAAGGGCCATCGAGTCCAACCCCCTGCCAAGCAGGAAACACCATCAGAGCACTCCTGACATATGGTTGTCAAGCCTCTGCTTAAAGACCTCCAAAGAAGGAGACTCCACCACACTCCTTGGCAGCAAATTCCACTGTCGAACAGCTCTTACTGTCAGGAAGTTCTTCCTAATGTTTAGGTGGAATCTTCTTTCTTGTAGTTTTCTCCTTTCTTGTACCTTTCCTCCTTACTTTCTAGGCATGGTCCACATTTTAAAACTCCATGTACAAACACCACTTTTTTCTGCTCTGGAGCTTTCCCTATGAAGACCCACTCTTTAAAACTGAATTGGAGCAAAATCTGTGGAAAGCCCGAATAGCCGTTTGCTCTGGTTCAGCCAGTTTTCGCAGAGAAAGCTCCAGAAGAAAAGAAAGGGTGCTCGGATACAGAGCTTTAAAGTGCAAACCTGTGCCTGGAAAGAGCAGGGATAAGCCCTCAGTTTGGCCCTTGCCCTGATGTTGCAGCCATAGTGCAGTCGCAGTGTCCTAATCTGCTTCATCCAGGAGAGGGCAGAAACACAACAGGCAGGCAGCTCAGCCAGAAGGACATTGCACACAGCCCCTCACACCACTGGCTCCTGTGAAATTATCCTTTTACCACATGTAGCCAAAGCTTCCTGGTATTCCTTCTCTTCAAATGAGAGCACAGGGCAAACTCTTTCTGTTCTCACACAGGTAAGGTGTTTGCCACTCTCCCAATGGCCCAGCTGTGAGAGCGCTTGTTCCCAAAACACCAGTTCTGTGAGTTACTTGGGGCTCCTCCAGACGACCTGTTTATTGCATCAATCATCCTGATTTGCTTGCACAAAGCTTATATGAAGGTTCGGTTACAACTGCTCTTTAATGAGCGTTGATTAGCATTCATCTTGATTTGCTTGCAGGATGTTTTTCTGTCTTCTTTGATAGTTGTTCATTCATTCTGTCACTTTCCAAACTACAACAGGTCTGATGCTATTTAAAAGTGGGTTTGTTAGGGAGACAGGACGCTTTAAATGCAATTCCCCATTATGTGCTAGAATCCCTCCTGCAGAATACTGACAGTCTTGGAGGCACCCTTGCACTTATAAAATGTGCAGCCTCACAAATCCTAAGACTGGCTTTCAGACAGGCCATTTTCACATCACTGCACCCCTCCCCCTCATAGAAACACAGGAAACTACCTTGTACCGAACCAGACCCTTGGTCCATACAGCTCAATATTGTCTACACGGATAGGCAGAGGTTCTCTGGGATTTCAGTCAGGGAGTCTTTCCTGCATGTAGATCCTTCTGCATGTAAAACTGATGCTCTGCCACTGAGCTACAGCCTCCCTCCCTCCTGTTATCTGCCATTGTATGCACACCCCTAGTGCTCTTTTCTCATCCATCCTGACTCTGGTGTCTTCTGTCATAAGCGGCTGTCAAAAAAGTGAGAAAGAAAAAGGAAGAGAAGCCAGAAGAAGAAGGTGAGAAGGACCCACCTGCCAAAAGCACCAAAGAGCCCAGGAAGAAGAAGGAAGCTGCCTCTTCTCATCTCGTTGTGACCAAGGCATCAAAAAAGAAACAAGGTAAGATGCTCCCCATTCTGTGCTCCAGCCAGTGTTTTGAGCAGCAGCAGAGGATGTTCCATTTCCCCGCCTCTAATTTCCAGCACTTGAATGTTTTTCTTCAAGAGATTTGAGGGGTGAGTGTGTTGAGGGCAGAGGCTGTTATGCTAAAAGTCTCCCAGAGCAGAAATACACATGTCAAAGTTTCAGTTATTCAGTGTGGCTGCCCATTTGTCATTAAAAGTGTGCATTTCATTTGTTCATCCATTGTTATGGTAAAAAAAATAATGAATGGGAATTTGTGTGAATGGAAATGAAATGAGCATTCATTCATTCATTCATTCATGGGAGCCCTTTTTCTTAAATTGTTCTGCATCAAAGAAATAGGCTAGGACACTATGTACAGTTCACAGAAAGGTCACAGAGACATCTGTTCTGAAGCAAAAGAGGCAGAGGTGAAATTATTGATAAAATGAACAGTTAATGAAACATGATTAGTATTAATCCATAAGCAACTTGCCAGTCCTCTTTCCTCCACCACCACTACCTTTCTCTGTCCTGTCTTGCTACTCTCCTCTTCCTCCTTAAAACCTCTTGGAATCTCTACCCCCTCCTTTGGGTTACCATTACAGGGAGGTAGGTTATAGCAACAATGATTGTTTATGCAGTGTCAAAGTCCTCAGCTCCAAAACTAAAGGTATATATCAAGGTGCAATGCGACTAGGTTCTGTTCATAATAACATTTGTATCAATTGATGTGGTTTTTTCTTCTCATTTCCCTTCCTTAACGGCTGTTTGTCCAAATTTCAAACTTCTAGAGGACTCTGATGAAGATGATGATGATGATGATGAAGAGGAGGAGGAAGATGATGTAGAAAGCGAAGATCCTCCAAAAAAACCCAAAAGGAGGATCCACAAAGATGTTCCATCTGCTGGCATTAAGGAAAGGAAGCCCAAAAGTAAAGGTCAGTGGCTTTCAGTGGCCATCTTTAAGCCATAGATACTGGCTGAAGAGTCACTTCCTATTCCTTAGGAGCCCCTGGAAACCGTAATTCTGTGAGGAAGACCAGGAATCTTTCTCACAGTAGACATCCAGATGCCTGTGGGAAACCCACAAACAGGATTCAAGCACAAGAGCGCTCTCTCCACCTTTGGTTTCTAGCAACTGGTATTCAGAAGCATCACTGCCTCCAACTGTGCAGGCAGAGCATAGCCATCATGGCTAGTAGCCATCAGTAGCCCTCTCCTCCATGAATGTGTCTACTTCTCTTTTAAAGCCATCAAGCTTGGTGACCATCATTGCCTCCCGCGGGAGAGCGTTACACACACACACACACGGCACATGACTTTTATGTCCTGCAGGAAATATGGTTAAGGAAAGGCATTTGAGGGTGAGCTATAATGGAGACTCATATGTTTTGCAATCACCTCCCCTTTCTCATCCTATAGCCATCCTTTTCCCCCTTCCCTTGCTTTCTGCTCATCACCCATATGTTTAGATTGAAGCCAGGCTCCATCAACCACCTCCTACTGCCCCTGAACTATTTCCATTCCAGCTGGCCATTGCAAGAAATACTATTTATCTTAAAATAATTTGTGCCCATGTCTGCTTTTTTCTTCTTCCCTCCTTGTGCCTTTCTCCTTTTGTCTCATGACTTTTAGATAACCCTACAGGCAGGGAGTGTCTTGTCTTGATTGATTCAGCCTTTTTGGCTCCAAGCGGGCACAAGAGCACTAAATGAATTAAAAACTCTTACCTTTCTTCAGCAATGTTTCTCCATTTTTATTGTTTCCATTCTTTGAGTCTCATTGACTTCTGTTGCACTGCATCTTCCAGGCACAGTCCTGCACTTTAAAGCTTTGCGTTCAAGAGGAGCTGTTGTTATTGTTGTCCCAGCGCTTTCTCCAGGGAAACCTGCATTTCACCACTGAATCAGAGCAAGTGTTCATCCACAGAAAACCCAATTGTCATTTGCCCCAATTCAGCGGTAAAACGTGGGTTTTCCTGGGGAAAGCACCAAGACAACAAACAAACAAACAAACAACACTGCTCAGACATGCAGCTTTAAAGCTCAAACCTTTGCCTAGAAACCTGGCAAAAAATGAAGCCTGGAGGAGTCCCTGCTGTATCCTCCTCTGCCCCATCTGCCCCAATCCATCTCCCTTGACTGTTCTCTCTTCAGCCACTTTCCAGTTGCTGTCTTTTCCAACCTCTTGATGAAACCCTTTATTGATCATTTCCCCCTTGGACAGGAGACAAAGCTGAAGCTGATGTCAAGACAAGAACTGTCAGGACGCTGAAGAAGGAACCAGTGTCTGTCTTCCAAGTCAATGGGGACAAGAAAGAGAAAAAAGTTAAAAAGAAAGGTGAAACACACACACACACACACACACACACACACACACACACACCACTGAGATCTGCTTTGTGGTTCCCCCAGCTCCACCCTCTGCAGGATTCCCTTTAGCTGTTGGTGACCATACATTTAAAGCAGCATTATACCACTTTAGACAGTCATGGGTTCCCCCCCAGGAATTTTAGGAGCTGTAGTTTGTTAAGGAGCTGTAGTTTGGGATGCGGGTGACGCTGTGGGTTAAACCACAAAGCCTAGGACTTGCCAATCAGAAGGTCGACAGTTCAAATCCCCGCGACGGGGTGAGCTCCTGTTGCTCGGTCCCTGCTCCTGCCGACCTAGCAGCTCGAAAGCACGTTGAAGTGCAAATAGAGAAATAGGTACCGCTCCGGCAGGAAGGGAAACGGCGTTTCCTTGTGCTGCTCTGGTTCGCCAGAAGCGGCTTAGTCATGCTGGCCACATGACCCGGAAGCTGTATGCCGGCTCCCTTGGCCAATAAAGCGAGATGAGCGCCGCAACCCCAGAGTCGGTCACGACTGGACCTAATGGTCAGGGGTCCCTTTACCCTTTACCTTTAGTTTGTTAAGGGTGCTGAGAGTTGTTATTCTTCTCAAATAATTTGGGTCTCCCAGGGCAAAACTGCACAGTGGTTTTGGGGCAGTGGGGGGGGGGAGCTACTGGAGAGGACCTTCCCCTAGCACTTCTCTGCTCTAGATGGTACGCTACTGAGGTGGTGTTTCCAGGCTCCTCACCACCACCACCACAAAGGCTAAAGGGCTCTTGTTATAAGGTGTTTGTGTAACATCAAGTTTGAACTTTCAAGGTTCCAGAGGAAGGATGATCAAAGTCCCACCCCACCTTCCTTAGGACTACATAACACTTGCATGCCCTGAGGGGGTGGCAGAAGATCCAAAAGACCAGATCAAAGAGCTTGTATCTTCAGAGAGAACTCTCTGTTCTGTATTTTGTAGCATTTGCATTTTAAATTGCAAACTACCTTAAGGTGCTTTGGCAAAAATAAATGAAATGAAAAAGGACATTTATAAATGGGTCAAGCAAGCATTCTGTGCTATAATCTCCCCTCTCTAAAAGCTAAGTTTGCATGGATGCCATGGTGCCATGCAAAGATAAATGAACTAGGGAAGGAACCAAAATGTTTATTTAGAGCTGTGTAGTGAAAACCAAAACAATTCTGGTAGCCTCTTAAAGAAGGCATAAAGAAGCTTATGCCAACCTGGTGCCCTCCAGATTCTCTGGACTACAACTCCCAGGAGCTCCAGCCAGCATGGACATGGTAGCTGGGGTTGATAAGAAAGACTCTTCCACCCCCCACGCAAGTCTAAGTATGTATTTTTGTTCCTAGTTTGAGGCATGAGAAGGCTCCAAAACTTTGAGTGAGGAAGCAACCAAGCTCCATTATTTAGAATGAAGGTGTGGAATTATTCTATTGCCAATGCCTATATTTTGCAAATGCGATGTTAAGGAACACTCTTCTGCTAATCAGCACTTCCTGAGGGTTTGGGGGGAGACCCAGTGATATCCATTAGGCAGGGGTCAGCAAACTTTTTTTGGAGGGGGCTGGTTATCCAGTCTCCCAGACCTTGTGGCGGGCCACACTGCGTGCGCGTGGCAGAAATGTCTTCTTTTTTTTTTTTTTTAAATATTTTATTAAGGATTTTCTTGTTTTACAGAAGTGTAGTGCCTCGTATTTTTTTTCCCATGTAACATTTTTACAAATCCGTTTCATTTGTTGAGGCATTAGGGGGAGAAGAAAAAAGAAAAGAAAAAGAAAAGGGGGGTGGAGAGAGGGAAGATGGATGGGGGTGGGGTCGGGTGGCGGTGTTTCTATTATGTTTAATGTATGTAGAGTTTGGTGTCAGCGTTGCTTGTGTTGTTCACTTGTGTTCCTTTGGTGGTGAGAGAGGTTGGGGTTGGCCTAGGGTGTGATTGTTTGCTTGTGATTGGCTGTGGTGATCTTTGTTTTCGTGTGTGAGTGAGGTGGGTGGGTGTTTTGGATCAGGTTAGCCATATTGATTTGTATGCTGTTGGTGGATTATTGTCATTGTCCTGTTGGGCTGTGTATGTGATAAATGGGAGCCATACCGGGGTGAAGGCGTCTTCTTCTGTTTGTCCCCGTGTCAGTTTCAGTTTATTAGTTAATTTTTCTAGTAGGGCTGTTTCCCATACTATTTGGTACCATTGGTCCATGCTTACTCCTGACAGGTCTCTCCAGTGTCTGGTTATGGTGTTTCTGGCTGCTGAGAGCAGGTGGGTTATGAGTTCTTTGTGGTGTAAATGGGCATTGTTGTCTTGGAAGATGTTTAGTAGGGCCAATTCTGGGGTGATGTCTATTACTTGCTTAGTTATTTTACATATTTCTTGTATGGCTGTTGTCCAGAATAGTTGGATTTTGGGACACTCCCACCACATGTGGAGGTATGTGCCTGTGGAGGTGCACCCTCTCCAGCATTTTGGTGAGGTTCCTGGGTGTATTAGCGCTAGTTTCCTTGGTGTTAGGTACCACCTGTAGGTGAGTTTCAGTGTGAGTTCTTTTCTTTTCGTTGATATGGATTTAAAGGGGGTTTAGACCACATTCTGGTCCATTGAGTGGGGTTAATCTCATAACCTATGTCATTCTCCCATTGTTTTTGATTGCGTCTAGGGGATTTACAGGATTTTGGAGTAGTATTTTGTATATTGCGGATACCGTCCCTTTACCGTTTCCCTTTGTTGTTAGGAGGAGGTTTTCGAAGGTTGTCAGGGGCCTAGTTGCTGCTGATTTTACTGTTGGGTTGTTTAAGAGGGCATGAAGTTGGTGTTGTGTTAACCAGGGCATTTGGGTGTCTTCTAGTTTGTCTTGTATTTCTTGTGTTGACAAGGGTTTGTTATTTTTATAAAAGTCTATTAGGCGATATAAGCCTTTGGTTCGCCAGGTTTTTATCTTGAGGTTTTGTGCTGCACGGTGGAATAATGGGTGGTACGCCAGGGGATTAGTGGGGATGGGGTTGGGGATAGTTTGCCTATTTGTGTTTTCCATGCTTTGAGCATGGTCTGTGTGTACCTGTTAAGTGTTGTGGGAATTTTCTTTAGTTTGTTTGGGAGGAGTGGGTATGTTGTGGTGCAGGTGTTTTCAATTGTGTCCCTCTCTAGGTGTACCCATTGTTTTGTCTCATCTTCTAGTATATATGGGATTATGTGGCGTATTTGGTTGGCATTGTAATATGCTTCTATGTTGGGGATTCCCCATCCTCCTTCTGAGGTGGGGAGGTGCAGGTATTTGGGGCTTATTCTTGGTTTTTTATGTGAGAAGATGAAAGAGTGTAGTTTTCTCTGCCAACTGCGAAGTTGGGTTGAGGGGATCCAGATTGGGGGCAGAAATGTCTTCTCTCTCCTCCTCCTCTACGCAGGGCGGGGAGAAGGGCGGGGAGAAGCCGGGAGGAGGGAGGGAGGAGGCACCGCAGTGTGTGAGAAGGAGAGGGAGAAATGGTGCCCCCCAAAAACGGCGGCACAGGGGGAAAAAATAACGAACAGAATCTACGCGATCCATGGACCATCCGTGGGCTGGATCCTGAGGGCAATTAGGCCAGATCCAGCCCGTGGACCATGGTTTGCTGACCCCTGCATTAGGATATAGCCAGATATCATTACCAAAAATAAAATACAGCCTAATTCCTTTCTACAATTTAAAAACCTTGCTCTTCACAACACTAGATCTGAAAGATAGTGAGACAGAAGGTGATTCTGATTCTAGCACCAAGCCAACAAAAACTGAAAAAAAGAAGAGCACAGCTTCCATGTTTCAGGCTGGGGCAGAAGGTGCCAAGGAGAAGAAAACTAAAAAGAAAGGTAGGTGCAGCATCAGCCCCTTTCAAACAGTGAGCAGGGTAAGGAGATGGAGCAAGAAGGTACATTCGGCTAAGACCAAAACACAGTCATTGCAGCTGGTCCAGCAACTTTAGCTAATGCAGAATGCTGCTGCCCCACTGTTGACATGCTCAGATAATAATAATAATAATAATAATAATAATAATAATAGTTACTGTAGCCTGACCTTGGTTGATGCAATTATGTTCATTAATTTGTTAACCCCCAGAAATAAGCAGAGTTGTCTTACAGTTACCTTGTATCCATTAATGGTTTGTGTTCTAAAAGGAAATTTTATAATCGCTATGGGGACTTCATAAAATGTATGGACCCCCACCCCCCACTTCACAGATTGAATACAGAAAAGTCCAAGTCATCAGGATCCTAGACTAGAGAACAAGATGCTGGACTAGATGGGTCTCCAACCTGCTCCACCAGGACTCTGACAAAGGCCAGTCTGGATACTCACTGGGTGGCCACTAAGCAGAGTGTTCTTTTTTTCCTCCAGCTCCTCCCAAAGCCACTGAAAATGAAAGTGAGGATGAGCCCACAGAAGCAGTAGCTCAAAAGAACACCAACAAGAAAGGAAAAACAAAGAAATCCAAGAAGGTAGATAGCTGGGAATGCTCCTAAGGGGCATGTGAGGGATTCAAAATCCCCTTTGAAAGAAGGTGCTTTGTGAAAGTCAGAGCAGTTTCTTTAGCGAAGTCATTTCTTGTGGGGGAGGGACTACAAATCTTTACCAAAAGCAGGAATAAAGCTATGGTGTATTATTAACAGTGCTAGCCACCTCTCTGCATTGAAACAAAGGCACTGTACAGGCACACTGTCCACTTCCCCAGCTTGTCTTCCTCAGTTTTCTTAATATAGGACCAGCTTCCAGAATAGACAATTAAATTACAGCTGGGGAAGCAAATTTCCAGCCCAGGTTGCAACCTTGTTCACCTTTGCTGCTGTCTCGCTTTTCTATACGACATTCCTGATCTGAGAAACCAACCATGGATTCCCTGATGGGGAGGACATGTGATTTCAGAGAGTGCGCCAGTCTCAGTTCACACAGAGACCAGCCACTGTTGCCCCTTAAACCTCCTTCCCAGTGCAACCTGGCCCTTTGTCCCAGGATGCTCTGCTCAGAGAATCCAGGGGTCACACTTGAGTTTTTTAAGCAAGTGGAATTTAGGTAGCAGGAGATCTACTGCAACAGACCGCGGGGCAGGGAAACTAGCCAACCAAGCAACCAGGATAGACATGGTTGGGGATGAGGCCATATATGTGATGATGCTGAAGAAGAAAAAGAAACACAAACACAGCAGGTGACTAGTGGAGGTCATGCTGGAAAGCCTGGGGCAGAACAATGTCCTTGAAACAAACCTCCCTTCTCTTTCTTGGTGCTGGACTGTAGAAGGAAGAGAGACCGCCTTCCCCAGTCATTGAAGTGGACAATCTGGAGGAATTTGTGCTACAGCCAGCTCCGCAAGGAGTGACCATCAAGTGCCGGGTCACTCGAGACAAGAAGGGGATGGACCGGGGCCTCTATCCTACATACTACCTTCATTTGGATAATGACAAAAAGGTGAGTTGCTCAGTGGGAGTGTTGCCTTTTGTGCAGAAACAGAGATGGCCCTGCAGCAAAGCCACTTATAAGGATGGGTAAAAAGGGCTGATAAATATATCCATCTTGGTAGAGATCCTATGTCAACTTCTTTTCCAAGGGCCAAACAGGTTGCATGCATTAATCACAAAACATGCGCTCTCTCTCTTTTGTTATGTATGTAGAAGCTGCTGGGGAAGCCTGAGCGGCCTCAGAGCCATAGGGAAAGGAGAAAGGAAATTCAACACACACTCTCCCAAGGCTGCTCAAGTTTTCCCTTGCTTGGAGAGGCACACACAGCAATCTCTTCTCACAAGTGCAGCTGTACATAGGGGAGGAAATGGATCAAACTACTCTTGAGATAAAAAAATTTAAGCTGATTTCCATTCCTATCTACAGAATGCACACAACTCTGGAAACGGGAGCCTCGGCCCAATTTGTCTCTGGCAAACCAATATGCGCTCACTGTTGCTGTGGCTCTTTGGCTTCTCTTCTTTCTCTAATTGTGAAACGGAGCTATTTCACAATTTTAAAGACTCTTAACAAGAGGAAACCAGTAATTAAACCCCCTCCACCCCTTGTGCACAGAACAGAAACTGCCTAATGAAGGGGGTAATTTATCCCTAATGCTGAAGCAACTAGAGATGGAAGCGGCAAGAAGGATGCTTCTAACTAAAGTCTCCGGAGATGTTTGCCAAATGGGACTTACCGTACTTTTAAGAAAACTTCATGGGGATGGGCGTTGCCAGATAACACAGTTCTGTACTAAGTACCTTGTGGCACAACCACCTAAATTCATTTCCCATCTGTGGAAAAGTAATGCCTCAGCAGCCCTAAAGGCATGTAGCGTGGAAGCTACCTGAGGACTTAAAATAACAACAACAACAACAACAATTGTGGATGGAGCTCGGGATTTTTGTATGCATTACAGTCAGAAACTGCAGCTGTCGTTACTTCCACCTGTCTCTTGCAGGTCTTCCTACTGGCTGGTCGCAAGCGCAAAAAGAGCAAGACCTCTAACTACCTGATTTCCATGGATCCCACTGACTTGTCTCGGGATGGAGAGAACTTCATTGGAAAGCTGAGGTTAGGCTTGACATTAAGATGTGGTTCAGACATAACAGGACACTCTGCAGGGAGCAATGCCATCACACAACATAGGGTTCCCTTTAAATACAGGAAGGCTGATAAAAACAAGCTAGCTTTTGTGTCTGGGAAAGATTCATTTCTGATTGGTTCCCAATTTCTGTCTAGTTGGGGCACATTTACACAGAAGGGAGCCAGTGAGATAGCCTTTTAGTTATGGCCCTCCAGATGTTTCCAGACTGCAACTCCCATCATCCCTGAGCATTGGCCATGCTAGCTGGGGCTGATGGGAGTTGGAGTCCAACAACATAAAAAAGGGTCTCAAATTCCCCATCTCTGCGATAGATGGCTTGCTTTATGCATTTTGTTGCTGCAAGGTGCCACGAACTGGGATTTCCCTGCTTGGAATTACTCCAAAAGCAACTCTAATTATTAAGGAGGGAACTCTCCACACTACAATATTTTGTTGCAGGTCCCACTGGTTATTACTATTATTGTGTATAGGTAAAGGTAAAGGGACCCCTGACCATTAGGTCCAGACGTGACCGACTCTGGGGTTGCGGCGCTCATCTTGCTTTATTGGCCAAGGGAGCCGGCGTACAGCTTCCGGGTCATGTGGCCAGCATGACTAAGCCGCTTCTGGTGAACCAGAGCAGCGCACGGAAACGCTGTTTACCTTCCCGCCAAAGCCATACCTATTTATCTACTTGCACTTTGACGTGCTTTCGAACTGCTAGGTTGGCAGGAGCAGGGACCAAACAACGGGAGATCACCCCGTCGCGGGGATTTGAACCGCCGACCTTCTGATCGGCAAATCCTAGGCTCTGTGGTTTAACCCACAGCGCCACCCGCGTCCCTATTATTGTGTATACAGCACCATAAATGTGCATGGCAATTTACAGTGTTGCATGGCTAAAGTCCCACATTTTCAGTGCTACTTTAGCTTATTTGGGCAGCCCATACTGACCTCCCAAGTAGCAGGATTGCAAACAAGCTTATATGTGAGGGGAGGGGGAGGGTAGTCTTTGCATATTTACATTGCAGATGGTGCTCACAGGTAAATCAAAAAAGTCCAGAACACAGGAAGCTGCTTTATGCAGAGTCAGACCATTGGTCCATCTAGATTAAGTGATCAAGCAGTCTTTGCCAGCCCTGCCTGGAGATGCTGGGGATGGAACCTGGGATCTTTGGCATGCAAAGCCTGAGCTTGCCACCAAGTTACAGCCTCTCCCTTAAAGTGTGGCCTCTCTTTCCCCTGGTGCTGAGATTTGTCAATAATTACACCCCTAGCCCAGCAAGCCAGACACACCCTGTTATCAGATCTGGTATCAAGATTGTCCCTCGGGGCAGGGCAGAAGTGGTTTAGCCGGTTCTTATCCAGAGGAGAGGCATGTCGCAATTTAATAGGCCTGGGCATTTGGAAATACTGAAGATGCCCTGATTGAGTGACCTTTCCATTCCCTTCTTATCCCATCCCACTCCCATATTCCCTCCCTCTCTTACACACTCACATATATAGACTATACCCACATTGATGCAAAGTATACCTGGTTAACTCAATGTTATGGTGTTTATTTTAACAGAAAAGGGGTAATTGTGCAAAGGGGTTCCTTGACTCTGAAACCCTCATCTGCTTTGCCTGATTGCTGTGGTGGTTTTTTGTTTTTTGTTTTGCTTTTAGATCCAATTTGATGGGCACTCGGTTTTCGGTGTTTGATAATGGTGTGAATCCTGACAGAGCAAATTCGGATTGGTCAAATGTGCGCCAGGAGCTTGCAGCTGTTGTTTATGTAAGGAACCGCATTGTGCCACTCCATCTTTTCTAGCCATAATCTCCTGGGCAGCTGCTTTCAATGGCTAGAATAGGGGTCAGCAACCTTTTTCAGCTGTGGGCTGGTCCACCGTCCCTCAGACCATGTGGTGGGCCAGACTATATTTTGGAAAAAAACATGAACAAATTCCTATGCCCCACAAATAACCCAGAGATGCATTTAAAATAAAAGGACACATTCTACTCATGTAAAAACACGCTGATTCCCGGACCGTCTGCGGGCTGGATTGAGAAGCTGATTGGGCTGCATCCGGCCCCCAGGCCTTAGGTTGCCTACCCCTGGGCTAGAATATGCTTGTGGGTATCTTTCCCAAGGGAGGCTTGAGAACTCTTTGTCTGCTGTAAAAACTGTTCCCGAGTGGAACAGAGTCTTAATGCCAACCGGTTAGTGTCACCCAATGAAGGTAAAATCTGCAGGATCTACATTGCATGGAGTGGCTGGGGATAATTCAAGGCTGGGGGTGGAGTTATGCTTGTCATAAATTGATGCCTTTTCAAATCTAACCTAGATGTTTCCAAGGCATGTGTTACATTAGCCAAGTCCCTGTCCAATCCGCTTACTTTTTAAACCACCCTGCCATATTTCAGTCCAGCCAAGAGTGGTCCCTTATCCTCTGGGAACCAAAAAGGTATCTATATCCACAGACAGGTAAAGCAAATGCTGCAGCTGGCACAAGATTCACCCGACTCCATTATTGCGGACATGAATGCTCCAGGGCTTCTCTCAAGGCACATGCCCTTATAAGAATGGTAGTTGGTTAGGAGTTGCTTGGAATTATAACTCTGATAGGGTTAAACTGCACTACCCAGAATTCTTAGAGGGGAAATAATAAGCAATAGTGTTTACCTAACAGAACAATCATGTTTGCCATCTCCAGATGCAAGCACCTTCATATCATCAATATCTCCTCCATTCTCTAGGCTAGGGACAGGCAGAAGATAGATCCTGGCCCTGAAAACAAATTATTGAGCTGAGCAGCATGTGCTCAGAGGCACCCTGTTCTTTAATTTTAAATGTACCGTATTTCTTCTCTCCTGAGTCACTATTTTGCATCTGACTGCTTGGTGGACCTTGGGTCTTTATTATTATTTAAGTACTTTTTATTAGTTTTTTTCCCAGATATACAAATAGTTCTGAGCTAGAGTGTATTGTCAAACAGCCATTCTTCTCCATACACAAAATAAATTGTGAAGCATATAATAAAAACATTCTTTAAACAAACAACACAAAACCTTGGGGGTTTTATTTGAGAGAAGAAAGGTAGATCCCACATGCTGACATTTGATCATCACTGGCAAATACTCTTGCCAGGCTAAGAAGGCAGGGAAAGGAAGGGTTTTGTTTAAAAAACAACAACAGTGGTATCTAACTCCTTTTCAGGTTATAGCAGGTTATGTTTTATATGTTGGGAGGATGCAACACTACCATGGCAAAGCTATAGCACAAGCTTGAGACTGACAGAATAGCTGCTTTAAGCTGTTACGAATCAGTTGGTTTGGGGGAATATAAACAAATTCATAATGTTTTGAGGATATGTGACTGTGATTGAGTTATAAGCGTTCTGGGTTTTCTGTTTCAGGAGACAAATGTATTAGGGTTCAAGGGACCTCGAAAAATGACAGTGATTATCCCTGGAATGAATTCAGACAATGAGAGGGTGCCAATCCGACCCCGAAATGTAAGTTACCAACATGATAAGCATCTACAACACACTCCTAGAGGCCATCTGGGGGAAAGGGAGATGGGAGATTTTGATGCCTAAGTGCCAGCACTGTGGTCTCCAGCCAGCCTGGCACCACCAATGGAACAATAAAAAGGGCCCCCAGGGCCAGAGGGGGCAGGGACCTCCTTTCAAAAAATATGAGCAACTAAAATTAGGAGGGGCAGAAGGCCTTGGTAGGATTGGCAGGTGTCTCTCAGTGCTGTGTACACACTTGGGGTAGAATACACCTAACAAGTCCCCTCAGTGCAAACCGTGTGAGGTCTTCCGCTGTCACAAAGGGGGCTTTCCCCCTCTGTCCTCTCCCTGCAGGCCCTCCCCCCAACTGGCTCGGAGGCGTCTGAAGAATCCTCAGAACAGGGGAAGGAAAAGGGATTATTCCATCTAGGCAAGTTGATATCCTTGCACTGATGGGATGTTCACCATAGCATGACACCCTTAATATACTGGAACCTTAATATCCTATCATGATAGGATGTTCCTAGTGCTACCCAATCACTGCTTTGCTATTTTAAGTTACAAGTGGAATTGCAAGTGATTTTCCACATTCAGAGTCCTGAACCTTTGTTTTGGCCACACTGGTGGCCTTGAGGAAGCTGCGATAGTTGGGTCCATTTGCATCTCAGCCCACATTCAGTATAACTGTTGCAGTGGGTGCCATTTATGACCCTGGTTTTATTTTATATTACAGTGGTACCTCAGGTTAAGTACTTAATTCGTTCCGGAGGTCCGTTCTTAACCTGAAACTGTTCTTAACCTGAAGCACCACTTTAGATAATGGGGCCTCCTGCTGCTGCTGCTGCTGCTGCACAATTTCTGTTCTCATCCTGAAGCAAAGTTCTTAACCCGAGGTACTATTTCTGGGTTAGCGGAGTCTGTAACCTGAAGCGTATGTAACCCAAGGTACCACTATATTTCTTAATCAGTCCTCTCATTCCCACATAAAAAAAAATAATGAAAGTGAGGTATAACACTATAATACTATACAGTGGTGCCCCGCAAGACGAATGCCTCGCAAGACGGAAAACTCGCTAGACGAAAGAGTTTTCCGTTTTGGAGGTGCCTCGCAAAACGAATCTGCAATGGGCTTGCTTCGCAAGACGAAAATGTCTTGCGAGTTCCTGGTTTTTTTTTTTTCCTTTCCCCCCTCTTTTTCTAAGTCGCTAAGCCGCTTATCTGCTTATCTGGTAAGCTGATAAGCTGCTAAAAGCCGCTAAAAGCCGCTAAAAGCCGCTAATAGCGCTAATAGCGCTAATCCGCTAATCCCGTCAATGGGCTTGCTTCGCAAGACGAAAAAACCGCTAGACGAAGACACTCCCAGAACGGATTCTTTTCGTCTTGCGAGGCACCACTGTACATGGCCCCTTATCTCTGGGAACCAGAAAGGTATATCCACAGACAGATAAACCAAATGCTGCAGCTGGCACTGAAGCGTGTTTGGAAATGATTTAATTTTGTGCTTTTCTCACATTTCTTGCCAGGATAATGATGGGCTGCTCATCAGATGGCAGAACAGGATAATGGACAACTTAATTGAACTGCATAACAAAGCCCCAGTGTGGAATGACGAGACCCAGTCTTACGTGCTCAACTTCCATGGCAGAGTTACTCATGCCTCTGTCAAGAACTTCCAGATTGTCCACAGCAATGACGGTAAGTCCTATGGAATCCTCTTGGCCCATAAGACTGAAGGCAGACCTCAAAGAATCATAGAACTGTAGAGTTGGAAGAGACCACGAGGGTCATCTAGTCCAACCCCCTGAAATGAAGGAATCTGTGACCCAACGTGGGGCTTGAACCCACAACCCTTAAATTCTCATGCTCTACTGACTGAGCAATCCTACATTGTGCTAACTTAGGAGGTCAACCAGGATTGGCTCTGGAATTATTGCTACTCTAGGCAATAAAATGTGTGGAGCAAGGTAGTCCTTGTATTATACTCTCCATTTCAACAGACAGCTTGTAATCTGAAGAGAGATGGGGCAGAAAGGAAAGGTATAATGACAGCGTCATTATATTACCTATGTTGGGGTTTGCTTTTCTCTCACATTTATGCTTTGCCAATAAATTGCTTGGGATGCTGGTTCATTGTTAACAATAGTTATAGAACCAATCAGATTTGGAGACAAGGCATGCAGAAAGCTGGATAAGCAGACGCTTTTGACTCAGATGCTAGCTGAGTGTCAAAGCAGACTTGAAATTGTGTCTGCTGTATGAGGGCTGTGTGGTCACACAATGGCTTCAAAAGGACTGTTTGCCACGCATAATAGCATGCTCAGGCGACCGCTTCATGCCTGAACCACACATCTATCTGTGGCATAGTAGCCACTTGAAACTGCAGCTGTGTGAAACCAACACTCAGGAGGAGGTTCAGATGAGAGAGTTTTATGGTGGCATGTTGACAATCTCTGTGATTGCATGGGAAGCTCTTTTCCATGAATGACTTGCCACATGGAGTTGCCTCTGTGCAATTGGTTGTGTTTCCTCCCCCAAATGCCAACCACCTCACAGAGTACATGTGTGGACCAGGACTTACCTAAAAAGAAAAGGCAGCAGAGTTTGGAAATAAGTTGTCTGAGTTGTTGTGTAATTTAGGCCAGAGGAAACCAGAATGTCCACTTTCCAGATACAAGGATACCTGACCTATCTGCTGTGAGAAGAACCTTCCTGAAGCCTGTACTCTGTAATCACAATTTGGGAATGTGTTGAGTTTTACAACCAGACCTGAATGAGCCACCAAACTCTCTAAGGAGTTTGCCTAAACGTAGACAGGAAGGGAGGCATGCACAAATCATCCACGAGAGGGAGCATGACAGTCAGAAGACAGGAATAATAAGGGTTTGGGTTCCTTGCTAAGCCCCTTGGATCTGCTGAATGACTTGGAGCCAAGCTTTTGTCTGGTTTTGTCTCTGTGTTGTTGGAATTCTTCCTGGGTATGCTTCAAAGTTTTGAGTGTTAATTTATGAGACACTCGTAAACTCTGATGATGTACACAAGGTGTTCCTGATTACTCAAAATAGTCATCCAGTTTCTGATGGGGCTAATCCAAAATGGCCAATAACGGGTACCACTTGGGCACTAATTGCCCAATTGATGTAGCCTCCAACTCAAAAGAACTGTTCTGGCATTTTCCATTAGACATGAAATACCTTGGGGTACAAGATGCCAAGGACTGCATTGATTTCACTCAAGAGGCACGTGCAAATAGTGTTAGACTTCTTTATGTAATAAAAATCTAAAGGGTTAGTGTTGATATTTTGAGTTAGCATATTCTATAGGCAGAACAAGGGATTCCAGGATCCCTTATGCCTTTGATGATGATTTGGGTCACTTACACAGCTCATAATATAAGTTTTCCTATGCCTCTATGAAACCCTCTAAGGATAACAGCAAATACACAATAATTGATCCAAGGGTGACTAAGCTAAGATCCCCTGATCTTGCCAAGGCCTGCCAACTACGGTAGTTTTCAAGCTCTGATTCATCCTTGAACGTACTAATCAGAAGTGCAATTCATTTAGGGGTTGCTAAATGAGATAATATGGGATGAATTTACTAAATAAGATCAAAATTAAGACTGGGGTGGACTTTGATAATCTCTGGTAATATGGTGCCTTGAGAAAGACCAAAATTTGGTGCCCATAAACAGATCATCATCATCATCATCATCATCATATTTGTACCCTGCACACCTGACTGGGTTGCCCAAGCCACCTTGGGAGGCTTCTCAATTTTGTGCCCCCTGTCAGTGTTTGTAAAAAGCAAAAAAAAAGAAGGAAAGGGTTCTGACCTCCCTTTGTCTCCTCAGCCTGGTCCTCGGACCCTTGTCAGCACAAAAGAGTCCACGAGAATATCCTTGCAGAGTTTTATTCTCAAAAGTCTTTGTGCAAAACACGACTGAATAACTATACACACCAGCACTAACCAACCAACCCAAACACCAGCCTCAGCACAAACTAACATTTCTCACTTTATATATACAACCTGCTGCAGGCCGCTGAGTCATGCTGACCCAGCTTTATTCGCATTAAAGAAACAGCGGCCATTTTAGCCGTGACACCCCTTCTGTTTCTTAAATGCGAAAAACCCCAACAGAAACAATACATACACACATTATATACTATCTACATAAACCCAGTTTTGTCATCAGTTCATTATGGCATGTTGCTGGCAAAGGCTTAGTAAACAAATCAGCAATATTATCTTGTGATTGACAATACTCCAGTTTGATTACCCCATTGTGTACACAATCTCTCACATTCGCATGACGGATAGCAATATGTTTTGATACGGATTTCATTATTTCCGAGCCCGCTAATGCAATGCACAATTGGCTATCTTCATACACTTGGATAGGCAAATCAACTTTACAATCTAGATCTTTTAGTATCTGTATAAACCACAAGATTTCATTGCATGCTAGTGACAGGCTCCCATATTCTGCCTCACAGGATGAGGTCGCAACAAATCCTTGTTTCTTTGACCTCCATCCAATTATGGAATTGGCAAACATCATAACCATTCCACTTGTAGATTTTCTGGTAGCTACACAGCTTCCCCAGTCCGCATCAACAAATACTTCTAGTTTTTCATCTTGTGTACTAGATATCTTCAAACATACATTTAATGTCCCCTTTAGATATCTGATAAGCCTTTTCAAAGCACACCAATCAGCAGTACTGGGTTTAGATACACGTTGGCTCAGAACATTTGTAGCACATGCAATGTCTGGCCTTGACCACTGGCTTAAATACAACAGTGATCCTATTTTTGAGTGATACAACTCAGGCTGATCAAATTCATCATCACACACTGTCTTTGGGAAATCTGGTGTCATGGGAGTCTGAACTGGCTTGCAGTTTTCCATGCCAAACTGCTCTATCAAATGAAGAATTTTCTCTTTCTGACTCAATAGGAAGCTTCCATCAGCTTCCTGCCTTACTTCTACTCCCAAGTAATTGCTTACAGGCCCTAAGGATTTAAGCTTAAACCTCTTTTCCAGTTGACTTGTGAGCTTCTGGATCTCATCTGTGGAACTCCCTGCCACAAGCAAATCATCAACAAAGACTAAGAGCATTAGATATTTGTTGCCTGTCCCCTTGGTGTACAGGCATGGATCAGCCACACTCCTTTTAAAACCAAGTTTTACAAGGGCTTCATTTAAACACTGGTTCCAACACCTTCCACTTTGTTTGAGACCGTAAACAGCCTTTTTCAAACGCCAGACTGCACCATTCTTCTCTTCAAACCCAGGGGGTTGTCTCATTAACACTTCATGGTCTAAATTTGCATGCAGATATGCAGCATCAACATCAAAATGGTGCACTGCTAGTTGTCTTACAGCAGCAATGGAAAGCATTAAACGAAAAGTTTCACTCTTTACAGTGGGAGAAAACACTTCATCATAACTCTCCCCTTTAATCTGAGTGAACCCTCTGGCTACTAATCTGGCTCGAAAACGTGGTTCCCCAGATGCAAGGGTTTTCCTTTTGTAAACCCACTTGCATGACACCACTCTGCCACCAGGTGGCGGCATTATGACCTCAAACACTTTGTTACGTTTAAAAGAGTCCATTTCTTCTTTCATAGCTTGTTCCCACAAAGCACGTTCCCCAGGAGGTAAGTCTAAGACTTCATTATAACTTTGTGGTTCCACACAACTCACATTGCATACTCTCACTCCTCCTAGGGTCAAACGCTGAGGAGGTACACCCTTGTTTGAACGCTGGGAGCACCTAGGCACAACTACTTCTTCTTTCCCCCTTATCTCTGGCTCTTCTTCCTCTTCCTCTAGAGAAGTAGTATTATCTATTGCCACATCTTTTGGGGAAATCTGTGCCTCTTCCTCATCCTGCTCCTGCATTGCCAATGGCTGAGAAGAAGCCTCTTCTCTTACTTGCAGGGGCAGTAGGCAATCTGGGTTGGCATGGATCACAGTCCATCTGTCCTGGTCAGCGAAGTCTGCACTTCGTGACAGAACCACGCGTCCTGGGCGTAAATTGAAACGCCACCCTTTGCCATAGGACTGGTATCCCACAAACCGCAGTTTCTGCGCTCTAGCGCCCCCTTTCTGGCGCTGAGCTTTGGGGATATTTACATGTGCCCAAGAACCCCAGTTATGGAGCATTGTCCACTCTGGTTCTTTCCCAAACAACACACGATATGGAATATCTTTTATAGAGCTAGACCAGGTTCTATTAATCAAAAAGTTCGCTGTCAGAAAAGCCTCGCCCCACAGCCTATGGTTGTGACCCAATCCTGCATCCACTAGCAGGCAGTCCTTTACTGACTGTATTACAGCCCCACGTCTTTCACACAGACCATTTTCAGCAGGGCTATAAGGGTTAGTCAAGCGATGAGTGATCCCCTTACGTCGCAACCATGCCCCAAATTGTTTGTTCAGAAATTCTCCGCCCCTATCTGTTTGCAACTGCACAACAGGGTGAGCGAAGAGTTTTTCAGCTTGGGCAACCCATTCTCTTAATGTGGGGAAACACTCAGATTTCTGCTTTAACAAAAACAACCAACTAAAACGTGATTTATCATCTATTACCAGAAAAGCATATCTGGCGCCCCCCTTCAGTCTTCTGTGGGAAAGGGCCTATCACGTCACAATGGACAAGTTCTAAAACCTCTTTAGATACTCTGTCACTTTTAGAAGCCACAGGCTTCCTCTTAGATTTGGCCATTTTACATACATTGCAATCTAGGAAACAGTTACAGCTGTTTACTTTTAGGTTCTTGCACACCTTTTGCATCTCTGAAAGCACACGGAAATTGGCGTGACCCAGTTTTCTGTGCAGTTCATGTACACACCCCTTATGAACTGGCAAATTATCCTGGAGCACCTGGGCTGCTTTAACAGGCTTGTCCTGCATTACATATAACCCATTTTCCAACTTTGCATGGCCACATACCTGAGTTCCATTCTTTATCAGACAGCCATCCTGCGTGAACTTAACACTATACCCTGCATTAATCAAACAGCTTACAGACAGTAAACAATAGTCCAAACTGCTGACAAACAGAGTCTCTGGTAGAGTAGTGTTCAAGCACTGCAGGAAACATGTTCCCTGGCCATCAATCTTGCTTCTACGACCATCAGCAAGACAGATTGAGTCATTTCCATCGGCTGGCTTCCCCAGGGTCTTAAAGTCCTCCCGACTATTGCAGATAATCCTGCTGCTGCCAGAGTCCAGCAACCATATTCCTCAAGGTATCTTCCTCTCCTCCCGAGAAAATGCAGACACAAAATGAGCAGAACGCGTGTTCTTCTTCCCTGAAGAGAACCCCTTCTGCTTACGTTTCTGCGTCGATTGCTGTCTCTGCTCCATGTCGTCTCCTGGAAGCCTAGCCCTGCATTGACGTTGGAGATGCCCAGGTTGGTTGCATCTATAGCACCTCCTCACCGCCATGGCCAAGTCCAAACCTTGGCGTTGCTCCACTGGCAGATTCTGCTGCTGGCCCCCTTTGCTGTAACTCCTCAGCTCTTGGAGTTCAGCCTGTCTATCTGACCTTTTTTGTGCTTCTTCGGTCAATCTTCCAACCACATACTCAAGGGTCAGATCTCGGGGACGCATACTCTCCATGCTGTTAATTACTGGCAACCAGCTTTCAGACAAACTTGAAAGGATAATGTAGGTTTGGTCAGTCTCATCATAACGCTTACCTCTCTGCTGTAGTTGAAGAAACAGAGATTTCAGCGTTTGAAGATGAGTTGCCAAACTCTCACCTTCTTTCATAACAGTCCTGAACAGCCTTCTGGTCAGAGAAATTATAGTTCCAGCAGTTTCTCTGACATGCATTGCCCTTAATAAATTCCAGCACTCAAACGCTGTGCTGGCATTTGCTACATGCAATAACTGAGAGTTGCTCAAACACAGCATAATTTGGGCACGAGCCCTTTCATCTAGCCGTTTTTTCTCAGCAGAGTCCCGTCTCAAAACCTCAGTTTCAACACAGTCCCATAGTCCATCTCTCCTTAACAACTGCTGCATTTTAATTGACCAACTCAGCCAGTTGCTTTCTGAGAGAAGTTCAAAAGGGATGCCTCCCCCAATATTTACAACTTGGGAAGACTGGAAATCTGCCATCTCTGCTGGTGCTTGCTGAGCCCCTTCTGTGGGGCCTTCAGCAAGCTCTCCTGACTCTCTCTTTAGAGTCCAACTGGATGGTCCTGGCTGGCACTCACCGGCTTCTAGCTGCTGCCTCTGTTGACCCTCAGGTCCCGCCTGGCTCTGCAACTGGTGTAGCCGCTCTGTGAGTCGCCTACTGTGGTCCTCTAGCAGTTCAAACTGTTCCAGTAGCTGACACTGAGTGCTTTGCTGATCCTCAGATCCTAGCCGCTCCAGCGTCGCTGCAGACAGTTACAGCTTGCCACCAACTGCTCCAACGCACAGCCACTGGCTCCATACACCACCAGGACTCACCAGCTCCCTGCTGAGATGCTGCCAGTCGTTTTGCACTCTGCACATGCTCAGAAACACTGGGCCCATAACCTGTCAGTGTTTGTAAAAAGCAAAAAAAAAGAAGGAAAGGGTTCTGACCTCCCTTTGTCTCTTCAGCCTGGTCCTCGGACCCTTGTCAGCACAAAAGAGTCCACGAGAATATCCTTGCAGAGTTTTATTCTCAAAAGTCTTTGTGCAAAACACGACTGAATAACTATACACACCAGCACTAACCAACTAACCAACCAACCAACCCAAACACCAGCCTCAGCACAAACTAACATTTCTCACTTTATATATACAACCTGCTGCAGGCCGCTGAGTCATGCTGACCCAGCTTTATTCGCATTAAAGAAACAGCGGCCATTTTAGCCGTGACACCCCCTTGGCTGGGTGCCCTGTGTGGGGGATCACAAATTGGAAGAAATGTTATTCATGAAATGAGCAGCTGTGTGAAGGGCTTTTAAAAAGTAAGTAGCAGGACTGAGGTATCTAATTCTGATCAGGACCCTGGCAGTATGTGGTAGGCACTGGGGCTTAGCCTTGATTGGGACCACACTAGGCTAAAGCCTCCCTACCACCAGGGTCAACATCTAGACCCCACCCTCCTAGAGTTCCTATTCCATTCTTAAAAGCTATTCCCACAACTGCTACTTGTGTCTCACTTAATTTGGCCCACATTACATCCTCCTAAGGGGATACAGGTGGTGCTGTGGATTAAACCACAGAGCCTAGGACTTGCTGATCAGAAGGTCGGTGGTTCGAATCCCTGCGATGGGGTGAGCTCCCACTGCTCCTGCCAACCTAGCAATTCGAAAGCATGTCAAAGTGCAAGTAGATAAATAGGTACCGCTCTGGCAGGAAGGTAAACGGCGTTTCCGTGTGCTGTTCTGGTTCACCAGAAGCGGCTTAGTCATGCTGGCCACATGACCAGAAGCTGTACGCCGGCTCCCTCGACCAATAAAGCGAGATGAGCGCCGCAACCCCAGAGTCGGTCATGACTGGACTTAATGGTCAGGGGTCCCTTTACCTTTACCTTACATCCTCCTAAAGAGAGCGTACAGGTGGACCAAGTTGGAAACCATAGCCCAAGCTTTGTGATCAACGAGCTTAAAAGTCTCTCCAGTATGTATCCAACATGCTGAAATCAGCTGCAAACTTGAAAGTTTATGCAAGCAGGATCCATAGTCTTTAAAAATCTGATTGGATGTGCACATTGCTGTGTGACTATAAGAATCTGGGCCTAAGCCTTTTGTGGTGTGTGTGTGTGTGCGCGCGCGTGTGTGCGCGCGTGCGCGTTCGTGCATGTGCGTGCTTTGATCTTGCGCTGGTTGATGCTCAAAGAAGCAACTCTTGATACAAAAAGAGGACAAAACGTTGACACTTCCATCCCCCTTGCGAGTGCTGGGGCTGTGAGCACCCTGCAGAATTCACATGAGAGCAACAAACATAGGCAGCCAAGCAATTTCGCCGGGTGTATGACTTGTCTGCTTGTCACCTGTCCAGCCCAATCAGGGGATGTTACTGTCTCGGGTGTAGGATTACAGGACAGAAAGAACCTGCTCAGGGCCCCAGTTATTTTTACAGATTTCTTGTTGCTCTCAATGGTAACAAAGGAAGTCATGACCGAAGCAGTGAGTCAGAGAGACCTCTAGAATACCACAAATGTCTTGGTTAGGAATTCTGTTGAGGGGGCAGGTCTCTAGGGGGGGAGGCAGCACATATTGGGTCTTGTGCTCTGTCCACCCAGCTGGAAAAAAGAAATGTACTTACTTGGTAGCTCTGTTGCAGAAGAAGCAGGCATTCATTGCCCAGCAGGTGGCCAGTCAACTCCTGAACTCTGCTGTTCTCTTCCCTGTCCCATCCTGTTCTTTTCTCCTTAGCATTTGAATAGGAGGGTCCGGAATAAAAAGGTTTTGTTCAGCTCCATGTGAGCCATACTCCCTTAGCACTGGAAATAGAGATATAAGCCATATGGTAGAAAACCTGTTCTCTTCAGGCATTCTCTGGGAAGTCACCTCTGGTGACGACATCTTAGGAACATCCAACTTCCTTTCAAATGTCTGGAGGCAGCTATGCCAAGATAGAAATGCTACAAGGTTTTTTTGAGGGGGGCGGGGGAGAGTATGAAAGTTTGGCAGCTCTGGAAATGGGTCTTTCTCCAGAACCCCATTCTTCTCATGACAGTGGGCCAGTGGTGAAGAGTCTTTTTCAACTGGAAGGCACAGAGGACCAGATGTTGTCATTATTCATTTTGGGGTGGGGGTTATGGCATTGTAGCAGAGCCTATTTTTGGTCCATCTGCTGAACTGATGGTGTGCTCACCTCTTTTCCTACAGTGGACTACATCGTCTTGCAGTTTGGCCGCGTAGCTGATGATACTTTCACCCTGGACTACAACTACCCACTGTGTGCTGTGCAAGCTTTTGCCATCGCCCTATCCAGCTTCGATGGGAAGCTGGCTTGCGAGTAGCACATCATGGCCAGGTTGTCCTGAGTCTGGGCCAGAGAGGCGAAATCAAAACAAAGCCCCTACTATCTGGACTGTCTGCTGCGGACAAGAATTTGTCTGATGATATAAAGCAAATGAGATAGTGTGAACAGGAAGAACAGCTTAACTGGTATTGCTGAATGTTTCCAAGATGCAACTGGGTGAAGAAGAAGAAGAAGAAGAACTTGCAGAATCAATAAGCACGAACACATATTCACAGAGTAGGTTTAGTTGGCAACACTATATGCACACACATGTCCTTGGCATTTGCCTTCTAAAAGAAACAGTGCTCAAGCCCCAGCAAAACAGCTGCTTTATGCTGCAGTGTTCTGGAAGGTCCATAACTCTAGGATGCTACAAAACAAAACAGAGGAAAAATAGTCTCTGTTAAGTTACTTGCTGCCAAGGGATTTGGAACCAGCTAATGGTCTCAGGCTATCAAATAGTCACTTCCTGTGTATATATATACTTAACAGTCAAGACTAGCCATTGTTTGGTTCTTTGAATCCCATGAGAATTTGACTTCTTTAGATTATTGGTGGTGTGGTGGGTTCTCTTTGATAATTTATAATTTACATGTGGAAGTTTTACATGGATGCTGGGGTTTATTTTCTCTCCACTGATAACCATCAATAAAAGGGTAAGTGGTGGGACAAGCTCCAATTTCTTGACATTTTAAAAATCATGGTCTGCCTAGCTACTAATCTAAATTAGTTAGATGTAAATGTATAAGTTGCTTTTGGGGTATTTATTCGATTTGTATTTATATAATTTGTAACTCTGGTGTCTAACAGCTTACTTTCAGTACTGCTGTGGGATTGTTGGGTGAGCTGGGCGACCTCTCAAAACCAGTGGCGACCAGTGCCCATTGGGACTAGTGAGATGGAATGGAGGTAGCCAAAACAGTAGGTAGAGCCTAGCCAATGACAGGCAGAGCCAGCTAATTTTAGTATAGCCCCCATCCTCCTTCCTGCTAAGCAGGGGTGCCATCTATGTGAAGCCATGGGAGCTGAAGGGGATGGGCCCACCAAAGTTCTGTGCAGAAGACAGAATCAGGATTCAAGGTGACCTTGATGAACTGGGCCCAAACAAACAAAAGGAATTTCAATAGGGACAAATGTAAGATTCTATATTTGTCAGCTGCACAAATATAAGATGGGGGACACCTGGCGTGCCAGCAGTACATGTGAAAAGGATCTAGCTTAACATGCTTAACATGAGTCAATAGTGTGATGCAGCAACAGCAGCAAAAAAAAAAGGTGCTAAAGCTATTCTAGGTGTATCAACAGAAGTCTAGTGTACTGCTCAAGAGAAATAATTGTCCTGCTCTATTCTGCCTTGGTCAGACCATACCTAGAGTACTGTGTCCAGTTCTGGGCACCACAATTTAAGAAGGATATTGACAAGCTGGAATGTGTGCAAAGGAGGGCAACCATGATCAAGGGTCTGAAAACCAAGCCTTATGAAGAACAGTTGAGGGAGTTCAGTATGTTTAGCCTGGAAAAGAAGAGACTGAGAGGAGATACAATAGCCATCTTCAAATATCTAAATGGCTGTCACATAAAAGACAGAGCAAGCTTGTTTTATCCTGCTCTGGAGGATAGGACCCAAACCAATGGATTCAAGTTATAAGACAGGAGATTCCAACTAAAGATCAGGAAGCACTTTCTGGTGGTAAGAGCTGTTTGGCAGTGGAACGGACCCCCTCAGAAGGTGGGGGACTTTCCTTCATTGGAGGTATTTAAGCAGAGGTTGGATGGCCATCTGTCATGAATGCTTTAGTTAAGATCCCTGCCCTGTAGGGGGTTGGACTAAATGAACCTTGGAGTCCCCTTCAATACTACAATTCTATTATTGATTCTACCAGAGGACAAAGCCACACTCCTTGTATGCTAAAGATAATTCTGCTGGTAATAAAAAAAAGGCAATTGCTGCATTTTACAGTGCACCAAAAACAAAGTACAGATCCGTCCTCTAAAAGCTTACAGTCCAACTTACGATGGGAAGCCAAGGGTAACAAGGGAATAATGCTAAAAAATGCTGTTAAACATACTTAGGCTTCTTTTTAGTTAAGACAAAAGTCGATTCCAAGAGACCATTTTAAAAAACATTTCCCCTGATTTGTTTGCAGAAAGATTAGGCCGTGTTGACTATTTAATTAGCATTTATTCTCATTTGTGTTTGGGAAGGTTAAATGACACTGCATCAAAACAAGTGTTATCTATACTCTCCAATGCTTTTCCCCATCACTTTCTTTAGAGAAAAATGTCTGATCTTTTGAGGAAATGGGTTTATTGCACAAAGCCTCCCAATCAACTATAATTGTGCAGCTTGAATTTGCCTGGATCCCATCTGAAAACAGCGATAGTTTGGAAACTTTACTGGTGCACAAACTGGTGTGTAGAGTAGAAGCTGGGGTGTGGAAGTGGGAAACCATCCCCAAATACCTTTCTAGACCTTGCAAAATAATTTCGCCATCCCCATCACTCAGGAGTAATGTGCACAAAGGAATTTTTACTAGGGAGGAGAGCACTAACTTCCCAATGTTGTCTCCATATAAATGTTATAAATAAATGGAAAGTTTAGGAGAGGGATTTTTTAAAAAGTGTAAGTGTTGTCTATGATAAAGCACCTATCTAGGTAACCCTAATTTCCTAACGGGTAACCCAAATTAGCCTTCTTGTATCTAGAGGCCCTCTCTGTTGGCTGTGTATAAGCAGTTTCCTTTTGTCTTCCTCTAGAATCAGAACTTCTCGAGTTCAACTTATTCTGTACAGCCTGATTGCTTTTTCTTTAGATTTACATCATCTTACCTGCTTTACACTCTTAGGTTATGTCAGACTAGACACATTATAGAAAGATTAAGAGTCCAGTGGAGGAAAACAACATACAGATAGCTGTGCTGCAGGCGCAGCGGGGTCTCTCCCCCCTCACTATCTGTCTTCCTATTTTCCAGCATGGTTGGGAAAGTGCTAATCCTGGAGTTGCTTAGCTATTGTAAATTATTACAACACTGGATCCATATTAAAGATGGAGGGGGAGGGGGAAAGATGTCAGAAACCTTCAAGGCTCTGCCTGCTAGGTGTCTTCCTTTTGACAATTAATAAGACTAACAACAACAATTAATTACAGCTCACATGTACAAAACATCTTTCAACCTTCCTTCCACACCTACTTGGATGATTCATCATGGCTTAGAAGACATCTGCCATCCCACAATTAACACCACACAAAGGCATAAGGACAGGAAGTAAAGGCTCTCACTCTGTCCAACTGAAACCCAGAAAAAAATAAGGCTTGAAGGTACTTAAACCACTCCAGCATCCTAACCAAATTGAAGCACATCCATTCATAAATAAAACCATCACAGGAACCCCCATGAGGACATGTATCCTCCCAGCAGCTTCTGGAAAAAAATCATCAAAGCCCTCATCGATACTCTTGCAAAGTGTCACAAAGTGACTCACAAAGAAGAGCACCACACCTTCTGAGTCACTGCCACCAAGCACTTCCTGCAACAGTTTGGCCTTCCCATTGATGCTTTCTTCCCTTGATGGCTGCCTCCTCCAACCAAGAAACGCCTCGGCCTAATCCTGCTTAGCTTCCCTCGGAAATATAGCCTCAACAGGGGCAAAACAATTGGCACACTCTCATTTCTGAATGCCTCCCCAAACAACAGGATGGATTAGAAGAAATTGTTTTTCTAGCAACCCACTCCACCATGCACCTGATCTCAGAACCACCATCTCTGGCTACCTCCTGCTTCTCATTTGCAATATAAATGGGAATTTCTCAACTCCCAGCAGCCTAAGGCCACTGTTGCCAGAAGCCAGTAGATAAATCTGCATGACAAAACAGGCAAGAAGGGCAAGGAGACCCTTATCCTTGGATGACACACACACAGTTTTTTCTTCTGTAGTGTCTACTACCCCTGAATTTATAAGCAGCCATCAAAGGATAGGCTTTGTTTATGAAAAGAGGAACCGAAGTGGAAGGTGAGGGTATGTAAGAAAGGAGGTAGCAGTCTCCTACTTTTGCAAGGAAAAGTGACAGGAACTCAGAGCCAACCTTTTACTGTCATTCGGTGTTCATAGCTTCTGGTTGTACGGTAGAGCTATATTGGTCTGTCCAAGAGTCTGTGCCAGTGCCCTTCCTCTTCTCAGTATCTGACTCTTGCAACTTCCTGCTATTCTCCTGCTGCTTCCTACATGGCAGGAATTAAGGCAAAATGAAACACAGAGTGCCTCATGAGTTAGCCAGGAATATATCAAGCAAGAGGAGTTGGACAGGGACGTCAACAAGAAGGACAATCATTGTCAAGCACCACGCTCACTGTTAAGTCTGATCAGTGCATTTAATAGTCATAGTGGTAGTAGCAGTAGCAGTAATAGCAGCACCACCAGTGGTAGTAGTGCTCACTGTTACACCTGACAAGTGCATTTAGTAGTAGTAGCAGCAGCAGTATTTGTGGTGGTAGTGCTAGTATTTATAGCCCACTTTTCATTGAATATGTCAATTCCACAGCAGGGAACAATGAAATTACACACACACAGCAGAATCCATAAAAACAGGTCCAATAAATATCATAAACAGATTAATGACTCTATCATAAAACAAACAAAAGTGAACAGCAGTAAGGATGATTAGAATGTTCAATTTAACCAAATACCACTGTAAAGAAAACAGGACATTCAACTGATTAAAACAACACAATGGTTTTCGCACAAGTTCCTACCCATCTCTCACTGGGGCAGCATTTAGACAGGGAAATAAACCCAAGATATTGCATCCCTGGGTAATTCTTCAAGAAGGGAAACAGTAAGATGTATGCACTGTATTACTCAGTGAAATTACTGACTTAAAGAGGAAAGCTTAGAAAACAAAAATGAAATCTGGTTCCTCTGGCTTCTACTATAGTTAGCACCACTTCATTCTCTGCAATGATTGGAAATCTGGCATAGACATTTCTGTGTGTTCTTATT